CTCCCCTAGGTCGACTCAGCCTCAAATGAGTACCTTGTAGCGGTGTGTAAGCATCTGCACTGGGGAGACAAAGGCGGCCGCCTGGGCATGGTGCTGGCCACGGACCCTGTCGTGTGCCGTGCCGGGCTTAATATAGGTGCTCGGTAAAAGTACTTTTCCCAGCAGTCCGTTAAGGATATACTCAGGAATCTTTCGTCTTTGGTCGACTGCTGCATCACGCAATGGCGAGAAATGGCTGCGACTTTCATCCGGCAGCGGACTGACTATGGCTGCTGCTGCTGATGATGACTGCTGCGAGTTAAACAGGAGAGCCAGGGCGCAGCCTCCGCTATCATCTGTACCGACGGCAGTGCCGGATTAAGCTAGTGCGGGGCCTGTAGCATTATGCAAAAATGGGGCCCTAAAATAAAATAAAAACGTAAATATTTAAACAATTTTTTTAACTTGCATAGTAAAGTAATTGTATTTTTTCATTTGCTATACAGCAAGATAATACGACAAATCGCTAACCTTAAACACCCAGTCGTTCATAAAAATTGAAGGCAGTATAGTACTATAGTAATAGAGCAAGTGCAGAATCACTGAACCGGAATTGAGAGCTTGAAAGCATTTAGCGCGGGGCCCTTGAAAGTGCGGGGCCCGTAGCACGTGTAGCTACAGTACTTTTGCTTCGAGGATAATCCTGCACTGACCGACGGTGATAGCGCAAAGAGGATACTTTCAGAACGAGCGACACGTTGTCAACTTAATTGGCAAAAGGGGTGGGGGGAGGTGGTGGAGGTTGGGAACATTCGTCGGGTTGCAACCTAATGCGACGGCACATCCTGAGCTGGACGCTGTCCATGTTCCATGCGGGTCAAACAATAACCAGATGCATCGCGCTGCCGCTGTGATCCGATTAGGAGGCGAACAGAGAGGGGGGGTTTGGCTAGGTCGCGTTATTTATGACTGACAGTTTAAGTGGTAAATGGTTTGCGCATTGCGCAAGGAACCCAGTGACCCGGGGTTCGATTCCAAACCGCGACTAACATTAACGCGATAATATCCGAACCCAATTCCTAGGTCTTTCCGTGGTCAAGTCATCGTATTGTCTGTAAACTGTGCACACGGTCAAGGGGGGGGTGGGGGGGTTGGTGGCGTGTGGAGCGGTGGCGCAGTGGTTAGCGCACTACAACTATCAACCTGGAGATTCAGTTCTATTCCGGGCCACGATGGCCACTATCAGCGGTGACCGATATTTGAATCGGTCCCGGGTCTCTCCTAGGTCGAGTTAGCCTTAAACGAGTGTCTGGTGTCGTGTATGAATATATTAGCACTGGAGCAGATTGCAGTGGTGCTGACCACAATCACCCCCGGCCCTCATAAGTGCTCGCTAACAGCACTTGCCCCAAGAGCCTATAGAGGCTGCACGGGGGATATTTGTCCTTGTTGATTCAACACCAAGCAACAATGATACTTTCAATGAGAACAACTTGACCCATATACACTTTTAGAGTGGATTACACAAACGCTATTGCACAAACGAACATTCCTATTCGACAGAGCATGTGAATAGGCCGCGTGCCCAATGCAGCGATGGTAATAATCACAAATAATAACCCGAAAGAAAACCCAATAGTTTTCGATAATAAACAGTTCCTTGCGAAAGCGCATCGGGCTGACATTTCGTTTGAGCAGTTGTTTGTGCCCAGTGCTATGAACCCGGTGACCTGGGTTTGAATCCAGGCCGTGGCTCACGTCATTGGTAAGGGATGCCTGAACCAGTCCTGGATATTCCCCGCATTCATCAACGAGCACTGCCCATTGTGGATACGGAATGGATAGTTAATCCGCAGGACACGGGATTGGAAGGTCTTCATCCAACAGTGGATTGACAGGAGGCTGTGGATCACCATGAGTGTAACATTTCAGACAGAAGGGCAATTTCCTTAAAGAGTCACCCGCATCGGATGGTGGCGGGTTGGTTCGCACAACTCGCTACGAACCCGGCGACCTGGGTTCGAATTCCCGGCCACTGGCAGCGCCGTTCCCAAGTGGTATATTAACACGTGTCGGGTCTTCCCCCTAGGTTTGCTCAGCCTTAAATGAGTACCTGGTGCGGTGTGCCAGCACGAGCACTGGGAAGAGGCAAAGGCAGCTAAACCCGAGCACCTGGGTTAGATTCCCAGCCACGGGCAGCACCGTTGCCCAGTGGTATATGAACACGTGTCGGGTCTTCCCCCTAGGTTTGCTCAGCCTTAAATGAGTACCTGGTGCGGTGTACCAGCACGGGCAAATGGAAAATATGCATGGCAATCGGGGGCGTGGTGCTTACCTCACGAGCCCCTCCTGTACCATAGGTGGTGACGTTTGTCGCTGATATGTGTCAGTGTGTGTATGCATCTGTGTGTTGTTATGTGTACTGTATCTTACGCGTGTGTGTGTAACAACATGCACAATGGAGCAAAACTTTCCTACATATTGCGAGTCACATTATTCACGCGTTGCATCTGCTGTAGGGCAGTGCTAATGACAAACTACTTTTTTAACATATACAATGCCAATCAACCAAGTCCCCAGATAGTTGATAACTTTATTTTTTTGGATAAGTTTTCAAGACGCATTTCTTCAGTGCCCCTTCTCGATCGATGCGCCCATTAAATTAGTTTTTTTTTTTGCAAAGACCCACGACGAAGATCCACATTCTAGTCCCGACAGACCGCTGAAGCGAGTGCTGTTAGCGAGCACCTATCAAGGATCGGCACGGCAGACGAGTGAGCTTCGGTGCATCAAGCACCATGCCCGCGCCACGCGTTTGTCTCCGAGTTGCTATTAATAGATCGGCCCCACATTTTGGGGCTGAGACTTAGGTTCGGATACGAATGACAAAACTCGCGCAAATCGCTGCCGTGGTCTCGTACGATCGTTTTCCAGTGCACTAAACCCTGACCCATCAACAGAACATTTATTCATGAAATCACACAGACACACACACGCAGGCACGCGCGCGCGCACAATACAATCGTTGCATCATCACTGCATTTCTAAACGGCTTAGTATTGGTCCCACAATCGCCGTTTAATCGGGTGCAAATAGAGGGTTTGGAAAGTCAAACAAGATGGACAAACGAGTACACGGAATGCCCTACGAATAATGGTATCGCACCCGTGGCGGGCTCGCAAACAAAACGACGTCAATGAATCCACACGACGTTGGTGACTCACGCCTGCGATCCCGGGATTGCAGAGGCATCGGTTTGGTGGATCACGTGACTTCGTGCAACTCCGAGAGCCAGCCTGCCTGCAACTTTACTCAAACGGGGGGTGGTGGCAGAGCGGAGAGAACGGGCGACTGTGACTCTGTCTGTATCTGCCCCTTTGTTGGGGCCAAGTGCTGTTAGCGAGTAGCAGCGCCTATGAAGGCCGGCACGGCACACGAGGGGGTGGGTGGGCAGCATCACGCACGGCCGCCTTTGTCTCCCCACTGGCGATGTTTACACACCGCACCAGGGTACTAATTTGAGGACGAGTCGACCTACGGGAGGCCCAGGACCGGAACAGATAATCGTCACTTGGTGTATACTGTGAGTGTGAATCGAACCCGTGTAGGGCACTGCCACCCCCCCTCTTCCTTATGTAAATCGCTCATTTAAAAAACTAATTAGCTAAACATCCCACTGCAGGACCGTCCTCATGGTTGAAAGAGGATTTAAACTCTGCAATGCTATCCTGGTAATTGTTTTGCTATCCCAATTAACTCTGCAATGCTATCCTGGTAATTGTTTTGCTATCCCAATTAACTCTGCAATGCTATCCTTAGTGGACACCTGTGAAAAAAATAGCTTTATAGCTCATCGGATTCCTCCTGTATAAATACATATTCTCACTCGGATTCTGAATCTGTATTGCGTGTACTTCTTGGGGGGTTATCGTCTTAAATAAAACAAATGGACAGTGTCCACATGCGGATTCCAGGGACTCACATTAGGGGCCCAACGACTCAAATCGAACCCCACAGACGTACACAGAGACCCTTTCCTCTCTTCCTCCGCACGTGACCAACTGCCCCTTTCACTCTGCAACATCAATTTGGGGATCGAGTTTCAGACGCGGCTCCCATCTCCGCAACCAGCCGTGCGTTTTCTTTGGTTCTTTCGGTAAAAGTCACGTAGAATGAGAATCAAATAATAAATTAATAAAATTAAATAACACAGTAAAATTCTCACGACCTTTCGGCCACAACACAAGTGGCCTTCTTCAGGTGAAAGGAACAGACCTGTCGGGACGACAGAGCTTCAATGAAGCTCTGTCGTCCCGACAGGTCTGAATTTTATTGTGTTATTTTATTTCATTAATTTATTATTTTATTCTCATTCTACGTGACTTTACCGAAAGAACCAACGAAGATTAATCCTTGCAGTCACGAAAGCTTTAAATCGAAATTCAGCCGTGCGTTCTTCACCACGCCGGTTGCGAGCACCGACTGGCGCAGGGCAACTCTCGTGGTGACATGAATAATGAAAGTGACTTACAAAAAAAACAAAAGCGTTTTGCATCGTCACGAAGAAAAAGAAGCGTGTCCACCGATTGCCCTCCCGAAAGGAAGCTCCAGGTGTTCGTGCAGCTACTCTGCACGTGTCGCGTCGCCACCTAGAGCAAGTAGCCGCGAATTACACGAATTACATGCTCTTCCAAACAGGAGCAAACTTTTCCCAAAGTGTCCTCGTTGTTGTACTATGCTCTACACGCAATGGCGCGCCGTGGACTCATCAAGACGGCGTCAGGATATCTGGCCAATTTTATTCAGGAGACAAAAATTGGCCGATTAATGATGTTAATGATCTATAGGTATTTTTTGTATTTACCAGGTAAGGCCCACTGAGCTATATGGCTCTTTTTCAGAAGCGACATGGCCACAAAGGATAGCTCAACGAAGTAACTTATCACGTGGAAATGTATAGCAGCCAAATACTCTAAACCGCGTGTTTATTCTAAATGTGGAGGGGAAACACCGTACCCGGAGAAAAATCCACACGCCCACGTGGAGAGAGAGGGAGAGACATGAAAACTCAAAATATACAGGCATAAGGGTCGGGGGTCAAACCCACGACCTCCTGCATATCAGGCGAAGTAGTTAACATATCGCCGCCACTAATCAAGAATCCATCACCCCGAAGCGGCTGCAGTAGGATACGGACACAGCTGCCCACGGCATCTCTCCTCCACACTTGCGGCGGGAACAGCCACTCAAGGGAAGAACGTCGTTGCTGCTGTTGTATTGCCGCTTCTCGGAATAGCAATGGGATTCCGTTTACAAACGTGGCATCGTTACGGTGTAGCCTGCAAAAATTACCGCGCCTACGTCATTGTCTGTTCGGGCAAAAAAAAAAAATTCTGCATTGTAAGATTTTGTTTTAAATACCCTGGCGCTACGGATAACCGCTCGTGCGAACTTAGCTGTGAAGTGGGTTTTTAGTTGTTTGCAGTCGGCTAGGGGAATCGCAGATCTCACTGAGCTCTGACAGTAACGATCCGAGGTCATATTGCGGGGGGGCGTGCACATCCTCGTTAGAACTTAATCGCATCTGCGAATATATTCGTCGTTACATCCCCGTTATATAGGTATTTATATGTTTTAAACTCTTATATTTTAAATAGCCTTCCGCCCGTGGCTCTTCGTCCACCTCTCCGCTCGGCCACCGCCGCCGGTCACGCCGGATGGCCCTCTCTTCCCGTGCCTCCCTCGAGGTCCCCGTGCTGGAGGAGCCACTGCGACGTGCGGGAGAGGGGACACGGCAGAGAGAGAGAAGAGGGGGAAGAGAAAGTCGATAGCGACAAGGCCCGAGGAGCAATTTCTCGAAGTCAATTCTCGGCCGCCAACTGACACCGTCCAAGCGCTCGCCGTGGTTGCGTCTCCGCCGCGTTGTTTCGGCCACGGTGTCCGACGTTTCGCTCGGCGTGTGCGCGGGCAAGGCTTCTTCAGGAACCGAATTCACAAGCTGCCCGGCGCACTGCGGCGTTAGGTCCTTGAAGAGGCTTCCGAGCTACGCGGAGCGAAACGTCGGACACCGCGGTGAACAAGAGCGATACGGCAAGTCCTCGTTTAGCGCGGCGGCGGTAGATGCGTTCCTGTAAAGTGCCGCGTTCGGGGAAATATGCCTTCAGCGAAAACAATTTCCCCATAAAAAAATGTAGCGATAAAGTTCGGCGAGATACGATGCACTATTACGCAGACGCAGCGAGATGGCGAGCCTAATAACCGAGGACACGCCGCTGTAGCGCTCAGCCGCGCAGCTCATAAAAGTATTTCGTAACCAACCGCTCAGAAACGGCGTCATAACCGCGGTGCGTTCCACGCTGTTCCGACTTTTCCCCCGCGGGAGATCCGCGTTGGAGCGAAAACGCGTTGTGGTGTGAACGCCGCGCTTCAAGGCGAGGACTTGCAGTATCCGAGTGAGCGTGCGTGTGCGGCGAGCTGCCGTACCTGGTTTATGTCTGGGAAGTGGTCCCCACCGGCCTTTGCTTGCGCTTCGTAGGTCCCTGTAACGCATCGTCGCATTTCAAACGTATGCAAAATCAACTTGTTGACAACAACGGTAGCTTTAGAGAGCATGAAAACATACGAATCTCAGTTTGTATGTTCTGAAGTATAGCCTACGCGAATCGATTAATCAAGTGTCAATCAAAGTCACTGACATTGATCAATGTCCAGGTGGCTGGGTGGTTCAGCGGTCAGAGACACTGATTCCCGCATCGCTAGATTCATCGGTGTGTATCCGCGTTTCAACGGCCCATGATTAAATCGGGTTCTCTAAGTTAATAATACATGGTCGCTATGCACTTAAATTGTCCAACTTCCATCTCTGAGAATTTAAACATATCGGCCAGGCTGTCGTGCAACGGGCATTGCTCTCAGTATGAGAATAGGTGTTACGCTTTCTGGCAATAAAACAGTTTGTGTTGAGATGTTAAAACACCAAAAAGAAACCTTTTACAAGGAATCATGTCTGCATGAAGCGCACACGGTACTTGTGGTGAACATGCAAACACAAAAAATACACGCTCTGATAATATAATGCATTGTCTTCGAAACTGATTGGTCCACACCAGAGACAGCTTTCTTTAGAGCCTCGTCTCAAAATTGTGCTAGACCAGAGGACGCCAAAAGGCGAACAGCACAAAGACAATGCCATCTATCAGGGCGTTGAGAGCTCGGGGCGAGTAGCTACATGGTGGGACCTCATATTTTGATCGTGGCAAGGAAGGTCCCATGAGAGTGAATGGGAGACTGCTGCCCCCTAGTGCATGGACGAGAGGCCACTTGAATTGTATCTCAGAGGTAGTTATGCGATATCTGCTTCCACGGGCCTTTCTCTTAACAACGGGGCGTGATGATGCACTGCCGTGCTAGAGCTATGCCGATGGCACGATGGGGGTAAAATCGTGGAAACTTTTTGGGTACGGCAGGTCCGCGTTTGACGCGCGGTGCTTACACGACGCGTTTTCGCGGTTACGCGGTTCCTGCATGAGGGAACGCTTGTCGCGCAACGCGGAATGCGCACCGTGATAAGTCGGAACTTGCCCAGTTATAACACGGAACGCACACCGTTATAACGAATGGGCACCGCCATAACACAGAACACGCACCCCGTTATACCGTGGAACGCGCACCGTTATAGTGCCGGTGCACATGCGCGCGCGTGCGTACAACAACAACAACAAAAACCGACGACGACAACAACAAAAACCGACGACGACAATGACGAGACAAGAAAGACGCTCGCGGCTGCGGCGGCGTTTGCCGCTCGCGCGTTGACTTCACCGAAGAGCCGGCGGAGCGCGGCAACGCAGACGGCAAACTCGGTGAAGTCCAGGGCACGGTCGGCGCCGGCGAAACGCTCCCACACTCGCTCGTACACGCGCCAGCGGAAACGGAAGCCTGCGCGCGAGGACACAAAGGGCAAAGGTCCCCCGTGTAGCCTTGACGGGCCGTTGGGGCGAGTGGCTGCCAGCGTAGCAGCACCGATGAAGGCCGGCGCGGCACACGAGGGGCGGTGGGTTGCCAGCACCACGCCCGGCCGCCTTTGTCTCCCCAGTGGCGGTGTTTACACACCGCACCGGGTACTCATTTTTAGGCCGAGCTGACCCTTGTGGAGGCGCAGGACCGGTCCAGATAATGGTCACTGGCGTTGGCCGTGAGCGGGACTCGAACTCGGGTTCCCCCGGGGTTCGTAGCGCAGTGCGCTCACCGCCACACACCACACACACACACAGCAGGGGTGGCAGTGCACCAAGTTGGCTTGCTCTGCCCGTCGATGTGACATTTTTATTTCAAACGTGCGGTGCGATTGATCGCAGGTGCAAGTTTGCATCTACGTCGCCTCATGAAGCAGGGTTTTGTCGCGACCTTTCCCAACTGCAGACCAAACCCCAGGCAGATTAAAACAAAAGCCGGCGTTATCTAATCCGCGCGGTCTTGACCGCGTTGCACACGTCACCGCTGGCGGAAGGCCCCTCCGACTTGAAAGCAGCTCCAGAAAAGCCCGTCTATCTGTCGCAAACATAAAGTAGTCAAAAAGTCCAATGATGCGATGCGACGGGGTTCTGGGAACAGCAACGCCGGTCCCGGACTGTCTGGGCCAGTAGTACCTGGACAGGTGTTAACCGTATCCCTTGGCTACTCCACATCTGCCCCTGTGTTGCCCAGAGGGTGTTGTACGCTACTGTGGTTGGCATAGGCCCTGGTGTAAGGAATGCGATGTGGGCCCCCACCACAACCCCCCCCCCCACCACCGCCACCGTCAATTTTATTCCCATCTGGTGACTCGGGCATCTGGGTCCCTCCAGCAGTCCGTGTGGGGCTCGGCGCAGCTGCACCGCCTACGCTACCCTCGCCGGCTTTACCCGAGTTCTCGAGCGCTTGGCCCAGCTCGTAGGAGGACATGGCGCCCGAGCCGTCCCTGTCGAACGCCACGAACACGTCCTGCGGGGAAAGGGAACCGCGGGCGTGAGCCGCCTCGCAGCGCCACGGGGCGAAGGTGAAACGGTTGCAGGCGCCCCCTGCAATTGACGCCGTGACGCCCGCGACAATCGCGTATCGACTGTCTCGGGAAAAAAATAAAATGTCGTTACGTCGTATGTTGGAGCGCCCGTCTCATTTGCGGGAAAAGTATTTGCGCAACGAGATAATCACGGCACGTCACGAACGCATAGCCATTGCGCATCGCTCGAATGTCGGCCGTGCCAAACCTTTGTTGGCAGTAATTGAGCGAGTTGCTCAAGTCTAGAAGGCATGTTGGTCCATCTATCGCAAACATGAATTACGCAATAGAAATTCAAGTGATGAGATTAATTTTAAAAGTGATGGCCGTTTACCTGCAGTTTCTTTATCTGGGCAGCAAACGTCTTGGTCTCGGCAATGTCCACTTCGTCTTTGCCTGCGAGCTGAATGCATCCGAGATTAAGGTCTAATCCAATGTCATCTTTACAGAGCGCTTTTATCCAAGGTGCTTTACACGGGTTATGAGTGGTACAATTAGGATACAAAATAAAAGTGATGGGGTTTTGGGGAGGGCGGTTAGTGGGTACCGGAATTACGGAGGTGCTTAGGGATGGAGGGATGAAGGATGGGGCCAGGGAGAAGAGGCGGGGTTCTTGAGGGAGGAGCGGAAACTCGACAGGGGGAGGGGTGCTTCTCGATTCGTGTGGAGGGAAAGTTTGTTCCAGTGCAAGGGGGCGAGTAGGGAAAATGAGCGGTCACGGTGATTGCGCACAAGTGGAGGGAGTTGGACGGTGAGGAGCAGAGATTGAGAGCGGAGGGAGCGGGAGGGGACGTAAAATGAGACGAGGGAAATGAGATAATGATGGGACAAGGCCATGAAGAGATTTAAATACCAGCGTAAGAAGCTTGAACAGACACCGGTGGTAAATCCCAGCTGTGAGTCCGTGCGACGGATCTTGCCCAACAATGAAGGCATAGATAGCCAGGCGGTGTTAGCGGCAGCGCACGCCTGTAACGCAGCACCGTCGATGTGAGGGGGTTGGTGGATCACGCAGATGTTGAGGAACTGCCTTCCCGCTAGCATCGCGCTGCCACAGTACCCTGGCCAGCAAAGACGTGGACTCCACCTGCTGCATCTGTACGGGATGGAGCGTTGCCCTCTCGCACGCCGTGAGGTTTTTCCGGCTGCCCGTGTCTCCTCTGGTACGTACACACTCACTAAGTGGCCGACAACGCATCACTCTACACGAGGACTGCAGAGCTTGGGCGATTGCTGACGCCAGCTCACTTAGAGCATTGCTCATAGGGCTCGGCAAGGTAACGGAGAGTGAGAGAGAGAGAGGGAGGGACGGGACCCATCCACTGAGCTTTGTTGAAGTCGCTCGCTTGGCCGAGACAAAGGATACCACGTCTGGCATCAGCGCGCTGCACGACCGCGCGTCCAGGCGCGCGGGGCCCGTGTGTTCTGCAGGAGAAACACAAAAAGCGATCGACGAGGAGCTCAGATGAGTCGGTGGAGGCGGAATCGCGCATTGCAAACATCCAGCACAATCAATGCAATCGATGCACAATCGATGCACAATCAATGCGCAATCAATACACAATATATAATTATCAATGCAATCAATGCACAATCAATGCATAATCAATACATTCTGAATGCATTGTCAACCTTCATGGAAAGCGCCAAAATCGTAAAATGTAGACATCTTACTGATGTTGAAGAGAGCCACAAAGTCGGGAGCGGCGATGGTCTTACCCTGTGGAGAGACGCGCTGGCACTCTTGAGACGTACAACAAAAAGCGGCACGGTCCTGAACATTCATACCGAATCAATAATAATAATCTCTTCAAAGACGCCTGGTCGGCGTGGAAGAGTAGGCCAATTGCCCCGTTACAAGGGGGCGCCCTAAAACTCCCTCTAGTGGAGGCCTTTCCGCCAGCAGTGGCGTGAGTGGGGAGTTGCACGACCGCTCCTTTATCTTCACCCATCAATGACCCTGAGTTTAAAACACGTAACAGTAGGCATTCGCGACCAATATTATTCATGATAAATGGTTATTTTTTGGGTTAGATCCCCTAGATATAAATGTGTCATGAAGCCACCACCACTCGACACAGCCAATTACAAACGTCACAATTCTGGCAAACCGCCTGATGAAGCTCCAACACGCCGGTGTGCTTGAGTCGTAACTAATTGGCACGTTTTGTTTATGTGACAAAACCTTAGTAATTGATTGGCTGTGTTGGATGGTGTCGAGTTTAATGACACACTCACGATAACTCTAAGGCATCATGAATGTGATAGCGGATGAGGCTTTTATCAGTCTAATCCACCATCACGCTCCACCCATTCCTCCTTCAACCCCCTGCACCATCGCCTCCTTCCCCTGCTACCACATCTCATTCCTTGTCCAAACCCGATCACTAACCGCGTTACCTACCCCACCCATCCTTCCATTATTTTGCCATTTTGCACCGTAGTATGTAGGCATTGTCAAGCGCCTTTAGCTTAAGGTGCTTTATCAATCCAAAATAGATAGAATAGGCAGAAACGGCTGGGTCTGTGCGCGGATAAACGATGGATGCTGGGCGCGCCACCGACGCAGAGTGGAGTGTGACCAAGGGGGGCTCCACCGCGCGTGGCCTGGAGCGTGGAACGCACGTTTCTCGTGAACGTGGAGAAGAGGTGCTCGATGGGTTCCCCGTGACGTCCCGGTGGTGCCGCGAACACGACCTGGGCACCAGAGACGCCGATAATTTGGTCAACGGGTCAAGAGCAGATGTATCACCGGTTGGCACCACCACCAAAGACAAAAGATCCCCCCGTATAGCCTTAACAGACTGTTGGGGCAAGTGCTGTTAGCGAGCACCTATGAAGGTACAGGAGGGGGTTGTTGGCCTAGACCCACGCCCGGCCACCTTTGTCTCCCCAGTGGCGATGTTCACACACCGCACCAGGTGCTCATTTGAGGGTTCATAGCGCAGCTCGCTAACTGCTAACCCACCGCTGCGGAGATGGAGCGACGAAATTAGTTCGTGCGCGGGAGCGCGATGGATTGTGGCAAGACCGCGAGTGATCGCGACGGAGTGGGAGGGTCCTTCATCCAGCAGTGGATAGACCTCGGCTCGTGAAGATAATGATGATGACGGTGACGAACTACTAAAGCTTTTCCACCTCAAGTTCCACCAACGTCTGTTGAGGCCCCCGTACCGCCGTGGTACGCGATGGGCACGGCAACCCAAAAAGCTGACCAAGGATCGGTGTAAACGTGGCGTCGAGAGGAGACACGTGCGCAGCCCTATGCGTGACTCACCGTTGGGTCGAAGGTGCAGTCTGGCGCCTCCATACACCTGGGATGTCCGGTCCGAGAGAGACACCGAATAACCGTGGGTCACACGCGACGCGACAACAGCATGGAATTACGTTTCGCTGCTACGTATGTATACATGTTGAACTTCTTTCGCATGTAGTCAACCGTGGTAATCGGAGGTGCGGGGGGAACGACAAGCACAAAAAAGAGTTCTCAATATAAGAGTTTTCAATCTAGATTTAAACGTGCATAGCTCCCATCGGCTTCCTAATATCTCCGGGGGCTTCCTAACATCGGAAGGAAGAGCGTTCCAGACGGCCGCGGAAGCGCACCCGAGCGCGCCGAGCGATGCGGCTGCAGCCAACAAACCACCGCGACTTCCACCGCTCGCGCAGCGCCTGCGTTTGCGTCGTGGCCCGAAGCGGCGTGCGACTTCAGCGCTCGCGATGGGATTCCTTCCCTCCCCTCCACCATCCCTTCCCCCCCCCCCCCCCCACACCATGGCAACCCCGGCACTCGCCAGGAGCGGTTGTCGCGCTTGGCGAAGGTGCGCAGGAAGAAGTCGCCGGGCTCGCCGGGCCGGTAGGTGGAGGGCACGAGGACGTAGGCACCCCGGGGCAGCACGAGGCGCGCCGTCACCTCGCGCGCGTTGGCAAACGCGCGGCTCTCGTGGACGCGTCGTGCCGCCGCGAAGAACGTGCCGGGCAGGCGGCCCGGGACGGACTGCAGCTACGCACGTGGGTGGCGGAGGGCGAGTTTTACAGCCAGCACAGGCAGGCGGTGCAACAAGTGGTGAACGACCGGCGAATCGGATCGTTCAACGGCGATCCGAAACAAATGCACGCGGCTACTCCTCTGAGGCGGCCGAATGGCATCGAATTGGAATCTGTTGAGCACCACGTGGGAGGCCTTCGCGACCAATCTCATCCAAAATGCAGGGTTTTTTTGGGGGGGTTAGATCGCGTAAATATATAAATGTGTCGTTAGACCCGCCACTACCCGACACAGCCAATTATTAAGGTTTGTTACGTAAACAGAACGTGCCAATTCGTTACTAGTACAGCACACTGGTGTGTTGCAGAGTAAATCCACATTGTAAAAAAATTAAATGTATTTTTTTGTACGTATATTTGTTTGTTCCTCGTTTGTGGGATGAACGTTGAGATTTATTAGGGCAAGGGGTGACCAATAAGGTCTGAATTGGTCTGCAATAAGGTAGGCATTGATAATTATTCAGAATTTGAAACCATAAGTTTATTACATGTACACTACTTAGTTACGTCTCATAAATCAAACCTCTGCAATTTGTTTCCAACACAAATCGACTCACCCACTACTCAACGTACAACTCCATAATCCACTGCAATCCAGTGCAATACAAAGTCGTGTCCCACACGACGACTCATACGCGAGCAGTCATACACGAGCTGGCCGTTATTCATCCGCTCGCTCGCGATCATTACAAAACCACATACGAAGCGTGTACTTGACTTGCCTCTGGAGGAATCTGCAAATGAAACAAAACCAAATCATTAATACCGTATTATTATGCTGCTTGCTGTCCATGCAAATCGCCATCTCAATACTGTTGCAGGAGGGTCTTGCTGAGTGTTTTGTAGTGGGAGGCGATGATTGCTATTTTTATACAGTTTTCTAAGCGCACCCATATTTCTGGATGCACCGTGCGGAAGTGCATAAATGTATAAATGTGTCTGGATAGTCTTTGTGAATTTGCTTCATACAATAGTGCACCCATGTGTATGTGTACACATTGTCAATGCGCTATATACATTGACAGTGCACCCATGTTTCTGTGCGCATATTGGGAATGTGCTCAATACAATCGTAGCCCACCCATGTTTTTGGGTGCACATTGTGAATCTGCTGTATGCAATAATAGCGCGACCGTGTTTCTGGGTGCACGTTGTGAACGTGCTAATGTAAAACAACAGTGCACCCACGTTTCTGGGTGCACATTGCGAACGCGCAGAGCCCCAACTCACGCTGTAGATGCTAAAGCCGATGTGCAGGAACGTGGAGCGTGCTCCGCGCTTGAGCACGCGCCGGTTTTTCTGCATCAGCGCGACCACCACCGTGCACGTGACGTCGCCATGGTCCTCCAACCCATCCTCGTCATCATCAGAGTCGTCGTCATCCTCCTCGCACAGGGTCAGACGGAACTGTGGGTTCGTCCAAAACGTGCCTGAATGGCAAACACCACGTGGAGTCTACGCGTTAACGCATAAAGACAAAGATCCCCCGTGTAGCCTTGGCATACTTTCGGGGCAAGTGCTGTTAGCGAGCACCACGCTCGCTAACAGCACCCGCCCGGCCAGCTTTGTCTCCCCAGTGGCGATGTTTACACACCGCTCCAGGTACTCATTTGAGGCCGAGTCGACCTAGGAGAGCCCCAGGACCGCTTCAGATAATCGTCACTGATGATGGGTCGCCGGGTTCGTCGCGCAGCACGCCAACCGTTACACTACCGCTCCCCACATGTTAACAAGGCAAAGATCCCCCGTATAGCCTGTAACAGACTGTTGGGGCAAGTGCTGTTAGAGAGCACCTATGAAGTCCGGCACGGCACACGATGGGGTGGGTGTCCAGCACCACGCCCAGCCGCCTTTGTCTCCCGAGTGGCGATGTTTTTACCCACCGCATCAGGTACTCATTTGAAGCTGTTAACGCATACTGTACCTACATGCATCATCATCAGCCATGATCTATCCACTGCCGGATCAAGGCCTGCCCAAGGTGGAACCATCTCACATGTGCCTACAACTACCAGTTACCATGTTGAACTGATGCCCCTCTGTTACGATCATCGTTATGATCACCACGTGTTCTAGCACTACATGCTGCGGCTGGTACTTTTGACTATGATGATTATGATGACGATAACAATAGTGACAATGATGATGATGATGATGATCTTGACGGTGAAGACAATGATGACGGTGAAAATAACGATCATGATGATGAACGATGACAATGATGGTGACGACGACGACAAAAATAATGGCAGCGCTGATGACGACGACGACGATGATGATGATGGTGGTGGTGGTGGCAAAGGCAATGATGATGACAATGAAAATGATGATGGTGACGACGACGACACTCGCCCTCAAACTTGCGACATCCCCCCGCGGTGCACCCGGGCACCCATCGGCCCTCGTGCGTGGCGAGGGCCCACCCAGTGGCGCCTCCTCCGTGCGGGCTCAGGCTGCAGATCTCCACGTTACTGAAGCAGTGCACGAAGTCGCACCAGGACATCCTGCACACGGAGCGGCGCGTGGCGTCGGCTCAAGGCCGCGGAATTGTGGGTCACGTCATCGCATAGATGTGTGCAAGTGCGCTTGCCTGCCCGCCAGACAGCCAGCAAAACGTTCTCTCTCTCCAATGTAGTACAATTTAACTTTCAAAGTACAGCACGTGTAAGAATACGTTTTTTTACCCTTTCTGGCAATGAAACAAGAGGTGTTAAGATGTTCAAACTCCAAATAGATGCATCCTTTTGCAAGGAATTAAGTCTGCATTAACCACACGTACTTGAAGTGAACATCCAAACAAAACATGCTCTCATAATATATGCATTGCCTTTGAAACTAATTGGCCTACACCAAAGATAGTCTTCTTTAGTTTTTCAAAGCCAATGCATGTATTATTATATAAGAGCATGCTTTGATTGCATGTTCACCAAAAGTACTGTGTGGTTAATGCAGTACTTTATTCCTTGCAAAAGGTTGCTTGTTGGTGTTTGAACATCTGTTCGCATTTTTTTATTGCCAGAAAGGGTAGAACATATTCTTAAATCTTGATTTGAAGCTTTCGTGACTGCAGGAATCCATACTCTTTGGTTATTTCGGTAAAGTCACGAAGTTAGAAATAAAATAAAACAAATAAAATTATATTTTATAAAATTATATTTTATTTGTTTTATATATTTTTTAAATAAAATTATATTTTATTTGTTTTATTTCTAGTAACATATTCTTATTTTTCATACTTTGATACCGCCAAAAAAGGTCCCAGTACACAATATATGTGTCCCTACGGAGGTGGGTGGGTCACCGGGCAAAGCGCCTTTTTTCCTTTTAACCCATCCCCTGGGCTACATCATCTCTCCACTGAACGACGGTGATTTTAACCTCAAGTATTCTAGACGACGTTGCGTTATGTGCTTGCAGCTTTTCTACGATGGAGTGTGCGCAAAAAATAATAATGATGAAGAAGAAGAAAATAATTAACACTTGCAATGCACCTTTCACACCAGAGGTCACAACGTGCTGTACAGAGCTACAAACAGACATTAAAACAAATAATAACCCCCTATTAAAAGCTTGCAGGCTAATGATAAGCTCACCCCACCAAATGAAGTAAAACAAAATCCCACGGAGGAACAACGGATCAATTAATTCATAATAATCACGCGTGCCTTGTTTTTAATGGGGGCGGGCGGTGGAGTGGGGAAATAATTGTGTGGGGACAGGGCAAGACAATGGTGTCTGGTGGTCACCAAAACTCCCCGTCATCTTCTCGTTGAAGCCTTAACCTCTCCTTCTCTTCGCAGGACACCGCGTTCCACTCCGGGGAGCTGCGGCGAGACAGCACGGCGAGCAGGGCAAACGACGGGCACCCTTCTCGTATCTCCACCACGTGGCTAGCGCCGTGCCGTAACGCATATCCGCGGCCGCGCGGCACGGCCAACCAATGTGCCGATTGTGGGGTTTGGTGTCGGCTCGCAGTGTGAGCAATGCTCTGTTTAACAACGGGCCGCCTGCTCCTCTTTCGGGACAGCCGTGGCGAGCGCTGCTCCGTGTCGTGTTGTTTTGTTTTTTCATCTCTCCAGGCAGGCGGCTCAACCGAGCGCTTTTGGTGCGCCGATGGTCGCTTACCCTCTCGGTCCACCGACCGGTCAAAAAAAGTCGAACGACGATTGCCTTTGGCAACGAGAGGGCAGTTTGCGGGGATTGTTTCTCAAACATCGCCGGCCAGTGAGCTGAAGCAATGGTAATCGGCCGTGTTAAACGCTTGCAATGCTTGGCAATGTAATCCTTCACATCATGGGATCTCCTTTGCCAGTACCAAAATATGATAATAGGTTTGTCCACTTTTTTATGGCAACAACACAAGCATAACAAAACAGTTGTGTTAAGATATTAAAACACCAAACTGAATCCGTTTGGCGTCCTCTGGGTCTAACACCGTTTGGGACGAGGCTCAATAGAAAGCTGTCTCTGGTGTGGACCAATCAGTTTCAAGGACAATGCATATATATTATCAGAACGTGTTTTTGTTTACATGCTGACCACAAGCATTGTGGCTAATGCAGACATGATTCCTTGTTAAAGGTTTCAATTTGGTGTTTGGACATCTTAACACAACTGTTTTGTTGCCAGAAAAAAGGGTAAAAAACTATCATCAATGTAATCCTTGTTACCTGACGTTATGTTTAGATGGCGACTTTCATCGAGGCGCTTAACATCATTTAATAAACACGACGCTTCGAACAAAGAAATTATCGAGAGGGCAGCAGCGTGCAGGATTGGTTGACTCCAATAGAGGCGGTGGGCGTCAGGGCTCGGGAAGGTTTAGGGAAGGGATGGGAAGGAGTTGAGGGGCGGTGGGAGGGAAGAGAATGGGCGATGGAGAAAGGTTGAGGCTTTAAGAGAGGAACGGAAGGAGGTCACGGAGGGGGACTGCTCAATGCATTGGGTTTGGTTGGGTTGGGTGGTGGAGGGTCTTACGACACAGATTTAGTCAGGTCGTTACGTTCGCGAATCCAAAAACGATCAACTCTGAATGGTGATGTTGTCTGCTATAAGCTCTTCGTCTGTAATATATTAAAATCGATATTTTAGCATTCTTCACACGCGAGTATTTTACTAAAGTGAGGAATGGCCCGATGTCTAATTAGGACGCGACCTCGTGGTCGCACAACGCCTTCGCTCTCCATGTACTCAAACAAAACCACTGAAACAATCGTCATCATCATTAGAAAATTATACAAAAACAACAGCATCATACTATTTATATGAACAAGTACAAAATAATTAACACCCCACCACACCAAGCCCCCACCCCTCAGCAATGTCTGTATGACTGTATGTCTATCAGTATGTCTGTAGGTCTGTCTGTATGTCTGTCTGTCTGTATATATGTATGTCTGTATGTCTGTCTGAATATCTGTCTGTAGGTCTGTATGTCTGCCTGTATGTCTGTATGTCTGTCTGAATGCCTGTCTGTAGGTCTGTATGTCTGTATGTCTGTCTGTAGGTCTGTATGTCTGTCTGAATGTCTGTCTGAATGTCTGTCTGAAGGTCTGTATGTCTGTCTGTATGTCTGTCTGAATATCTGTCTGTATGTCTGTCTGTCTGTATGTCTGTCTGTATGTCTGTCTGTAGGTCTGTCTGTCTGTATGTCTGTATGTCTGTATGTCTGTCTGTATGTCTGTCTGTAGGTCTGTGTGTCTGCCTGTATATCTGTATGTCTGTCTGAATGTCTGTCTGTAGGTCTGTATGTCTGTAGGTCTGTCTGTAGGTCTGTATGTCTGTCTGTATGTCTGTCTGTATGTCTGTCAATAGGTCTGTATGTCTGTCTGTCTGTCTGTAGGTTTGTATGTCTGTCTGTCTGTATGTCTGTCTGTATGTATGTCTGTATGTCTGTATGTATGACTTATTTCGCACCGAGACAGGGGGGGAGACAATGAGAAAGGGAGACAGGGAGGGAGTGAGACGGAGGGAGTGAGACAGGGAGGGAGACAAGGAGTTAGGACGACAGAGACAAGAAGGAAGACAGTGAGACGCTGGGTGGGGGTGACAAGTGATGGTATCCCACCAGTCGTTCCAGGAGCCGCTGTACTCCTGGTAGCCCCAGGGGTTCCGCAGCCTCAGCAGGCGAACTCTGCTGCCGTTCACCGTCACCTGGACACCCCGCTCGTTAGTCACCCCGCTCGTTAGTCACCCCGCTCGTTAGTCACCCCGCTCGTTAGTCACCCCGCTCGCTAGTCACCCCGCTCGCTAGTCACCCCGCTCGTTAGTCACCCCGCTCGTTAGTCACCCCGCTCGTTAGTCACCCCGCTCGTTAGTCACCCAGCTCGTTAGTCACCCCGCTCGTTAGTCACCCAGCTCGTTAGGCACCCCGCTCGTTAGTCACCCCGCTCGTTAGTCACCCCGCTCGTTAGTCACCCCGCTCGCTAGTCACCCCGCTCGTTAGTCACCCCGCTCGCTAGTCACCCCGCTCGTTAGTCACCCAGCTCGTTAGTCACCCCGCTCGTTAGTCACCCAGCTCGTTAGTCACCCCGCTCGTTAGTCACCCCGCTCGCTAGTCACCCCGCTCGTTAGTCACCCCGCTCGCTAGTCACCCCGCTCGTTAGTCACCCCGCTCGTTAGTCACCCCGCTCGTTAGTCACCCCGCTCGTTAGTCACCCCGCTCGTTAGTCACCCCGCGATGCACCGTTTGGTGCAGCGGCCCTAGAGAGCCTCGCGAGGGCGTGGACGGGCTGCCTCCGTCACAGAGTACGGGGCTACGGGCGCCGTGGGCTGCCGAGGGGCTACGTCGTCAGCGGAGGGGCGGCAGAGCAAAGTGGATCGTTGTGCTGTACGTCTATGCTTCCAGCGAGTGTTTAGGTGCGCGAGTGTTTAGGTGCGTGTGAGTGTTTAGGTGCGTGAGTGTTTAGGTGCGTGTGAGTGTTTAGGTGCGTGAGTGTTTAGGTGCGTGAGTGTTTAGGTGCGTGAGTGTTTAGGTGCGTGAGTGTTTAGGCACGAGAGTGTTTAGGTGCGTGAGTGTTTAGGTGCGTGTGAGTGTTTAGGTGTGTGTTTAGGTGCGTGAGTGTTTAGGTGCGCGAGTGTTTAGGTGCCTGAGTGTTTAGGTGCGTGAGTGTTTAGGTGCGTGTGAGTGTTTAGGTGCGTGAGTGTTTAGGTGCGTGAGTGTTTAGGTGTGCGAGTGTTTAGGTGCGTGAGTGTTTAGGTGCGTGAGTGTTTAGGTGCGTGTGAGTGTTTAGGTGCGTGAGTGTTTAGGTGCGTGTGAGTGTTTAGGTGCGTGAGTGTTTAGGTGCGTGTGAGTGTTTAGGTGCATGAGTGTTTAGGTGCGTGAGTGTTTATGTGCGTGAGTGTTTAGGTGCCTGAGTGTTTAGGTGCCTGAGTGTTTAGGTGCGTGTGAGTGTTTAGGTGCGCGAGTGTTTAGGTGCGCGAGTGTTTAGCTGCGTGTGAGTGTTTAGGTGTGTGTGAGTGTTTAGGTGCGTGTGCTCATGAGCTCACCGAGTCGACACCCAGCACCGCGTACGCGTGACCCATCACCAGGCCCTCCGAGTTCACTCGACCCACCTGTGCCGGGTCTTTGGACTGTAGGCATCGTCGTCATCAGAGGCGGAGCCAGGATTTTCAGGTAGGGAGGGCAACCCCTCCAGCAATTAAAAATGACAGAGGAGTTGTTAGTAAGGACTTGTCCCTTGCGTTTTATTCGAAGTGTGTGCGGCGATGGCGCATGGCCTGGAAGTACGCTACACAGTGGCAGTCGAAAAATGCCGATTTATTAATAATAAACCCCAATGATCCGATCGAAATTGGGGATGTCGATCGGATCATTGGGAGGGGGGGGGGGGCACGTGCCACACCCACTGGCTCCGCCACTGACCATCATCAATAATCATCACCTGACACAGGTGATGATAATTATCATTGCCATATTAATCCAACGGGAAATTGATATAACTGTCGTCATCATCTGACACAGTTAAATAATAATTGTTAGTGTCATCGTCATAGATCACAGGTGATTCATCATCTAAGGGCCGTATCCGAACAATAGCATCGTCGAACGCAGGTGAATTGTAATGGTGCATCACCATCGACACCACGATCGTCATTTTGACACGTAGGCTTTCGCGACCAATATCATCCATAATAGAGGTTTTTTTGGGGGGTTAAATCGCGTAAACAAATATACATAACCCAAAAAAACCCCTCTTATGAACCACGATCATCATCATCATCATCAGCTCGGCACCTCCGATTAGCGCGGTCGGCTCCGCACGGTGCGAAAGAAGTTGGACGTTCGCACAAGCTACGTTGGCCGCGTGCAGGAATCAACGAATCGACGGGCCAAAGCGCCGCCTCCTGCCTGCCGGGCTAGACGGAGGGAGAATCACCGAGACCGCCGCCGCACCTTCAGGAAGCACGCCACGAGCGCTTTGGCGGCGAGGGCGGAGCGCACGGCGCTCCAGAGGCGGCTCGAATCGCCGGGGCTCACGGGGTGTGACTCGCCGAGGCCGCCCGTGAAGTCCTCCATGGCCTCGACGATCTTGCCCGCCCGCAGGCCGGCGTAGGAGCCGTTCACCCTGCGACCCGGGTGGAGGAGTGAGGGGGGGTGTGTGGGGGGGGGGCATTGCGGAGCGAGGTCGAGGCGACGATCACGAGCGTCTTGAGTGGCACCGTCGCCAACCTCGACAAGTCAACTCCCTCCCTCCTCGCGCTCGCCAACAAACACATGCCGTGTGCGTGGTTTATTTATTTATGTGTGTGTTCGCACAAAACAACAGAGAGAGACAAGCGAACGACAAACAGTGCAACAACAACTAAATAACTAAGTAACAAAAAGGTTTGCAGGTGAGGTTGGAAACCCAAGGGGGCTTACATAAAAAAAAACACCCCCCCCCCCCCCGAAGAAAGAACACCGTATATCCAAAACAGATTGTTCAAATCAATTAAACTGACCTTACTAATTACAATTAAACATATTAAACTCAGCGTTCGAAAAAACCACGTAACTACCCCGCCTGGTTACAACCGGTGTGTCGAAGAGTAAAACACACAACATTCACGAGTCGAGTACTGCGGTGCCGCCGGTCATCACAACCGGCTTCAACGGGCCATTGTTCCAGACGACGCGTGGAAGGTGCGTGGGTGAATGGGTTTGCGCTGGGGGACAATCTTCCTCTTCGTGTGCCTCTCACTTGGCGTAGGCCTTCTCGAGCAGGGCGCTCCAGAACTCGTGCCTGGCGCTGGAGGACGCGTACACGAGTTTGCCGTGCTGCGTTGGTAGCCGATCGTCCACCACCACCTCCACCCAGCGGCCGTACTGCCAGAACTGCAGCGGTCAAATAAACAATAGACAAGGATCCACCGCGGGCCCCCACCTCCACCGCCGTCCCGTCCTCCACCCCGCGTAGCCTTCAAAAGGCTGTGTTGTGTGTACCCCTATGTTGAACGTCTTTCGCACCGTACGTATCCAGCCGCGCTAATCGGAGGTGCGGTGGGCGCTGTTAAGCGAGTAGCACGTGGGAGTGTGGCCATCGCCACGCCCAGTCGCCTTTGTCTCCCCGCTGTGTTGATGTTTACACACCGCGACAGGTTGACCAAGGGGGCGGCGAGGGTGCCCAGAACCGGTTCAGAGAATCGTCACTGGTGTTGGCCGTGAGCAGGAATCGGTTCGTAGCAGCAGCGCGCTAACTGCCGCGCCACCGATCCCCACACTGGAGGAGCGGTGGCGGGTGTGGCAGCAGAATGCGGAGACGCACACGTGCACGAAGACACACAGACACGCGTACACACAGACATACATACACACAGACACACGTATACACGTACACACAGACATACGTACACACAGACACGCGTACACACAGACACACGTACACACAGACACGAGTACACACGTACACAAAGACACACAGACACACGTACAACAGACACGCGTACACACAGACACACAGACACACGTACACACAGACACAAAGACACATGTACACACGTACACACAGACACACGTACACACAGACACAAAGACACAGACACACGTACACAAAGACACACAGACACACATACACAAAGACACACAGACACGAATATAAAACACACGCATGAACATTCAGCAAACACGTGGCAACGCACACACACACACACAACTCGTGAGGACAAAGGTCTGCCCCTCCGTATACACTTTCGAGACTGTTGGGATAAGTTCTGCTTGCGAACACCTACGGCGAGACAAGCTGCGATGTGGCCAGCAATACGCCCAGCTGCCTTTATCGCCCCAGTGCTGATGTGTTGACACCATGCCAAGCAGTTACTTAAGGCTGAGTGGGTCACGAGGAGGGGGTTCACGACCGGTTCGGATATCACTCGCTACTGATGTTAGCGAGCGATTAGCACGATTGGCTACGTACATCGCCAAAGAAGTTCAACATACACACGTTAGCCGTGGCCGGGAATCGAACCTAGGTTTGCTAACCATTTGCGTCACGCACTGCTCCCGACGTTCACAGGAGCACGCAACACACAACAAACACGGCGTACAAAAAACAAAGACACACCACGTGCAGCGATTAGCACGGTCGGCTACGTACGGTGAGAACGAAGTCCTACACACATACATGATTGCAGATGATGCGATTAAATGTGCTCATAAAGTGGCCTAATTGGCACTGGACGGGAACGCCCATTCATAGAGGTGACTGCACACCGATACACCACCGCCCCCCACCCCCCCCGTAATTCTGCTTGTAACGCAATGACCGAATGTAGTACAAGGAAAACTAATACAACATTTGCAACAACAAGGAATCCGCTTGTCCGTTATAACGCGGAACGTGTACTGTTATAACGCGCAACGCGCCCTGTTATAACGCAGAACGTGCCCGTTATAACATGCAACGTCCCCCGTTATAACGCGGAACGCGCCCCATTATAACGCGGCTTCTAAGCGGTCAATGACAAACTATTTTCTTGAGCTTCGCAGCTGAGCGGTACAGTGATAGAGTACATGGAATGACGCAGTAACACGGAATGACGCAGTCACGAGGAATGACGCAGTAACGCGGTGACGTACCTTCAGTGTGCGTAGCGACACATCGTTATCTCGCCAAAATTCATCGTCACATCTTTGATGGGGGAAATCGTTTTTTTTTTTCGCTGAACGCGACACTCTTTTTTTGGCGGACGCATCCACTGCGACTGCAACCCGTGCTGGATTAAGCTAGTGCGGGGCCTGTAGCATTTGTTACAAAGGGGTCCTGAATCAAATAAAACACGTAAATATTAAAACACAAATGTTTAACTTGCATAGTAAAGTAATTGTATTTTTGTATTTGCCATACACCCAGATAATACGACAAATCGCTGACCTTAAACACCCAGTCGTTCAGGCAGTATAGTACTATAATAAAAGTGTGGAATCACTGAACCGGAATTGATAGCTTGAAGAATTAAGCGCGGGACCCTTGACAGTGCGGGGCCCGTAGCTACTACACATGTACTACACATGTATAGTAGCTACTGCATATGTAGTAGCTACTATACATATGTAGTAGCTACTACATATGTATAGTAACTACTACATAGCTACTATACAGTAGCTACTATACATATGTAGTAGCTACTACATATGTATAGTAACTACTACATAGCTACTATACATACGTAGTAGCTACTACACATGTGTAGTACATGTGTAGTAGTAGCTACTACATATGTAGTAGTAGCTACTACTACATATGTAGTAGCTAGTAGTAGCTACTACATATGTATGGTAGCTACTATACATATGCAGTAGCTACTATACATGTGTAGTAGTAGCTCCTACATATGTAGCTACTTTTGCTTCTAGGGATAATCCGACACTAACTGCAACCACCACTGGCTGCGTTCGAGCGAGGAATCAAATTGCACGTACTCGGAAACGGAAGATGCCGCAGTAAGACGCTCCGAAGTGCTGCCCCTCCGGCACCACGTGGGCGAAGAGGCGGGGGTACAGCGTGAGAGAGGATAGCGCAGCCAGGAGCCAGCAGTCCCCTGCAACAAAGACAAAAGATCGCCCGTAAATAGCCGTAGCAGACTCGTCGAGGGCAAGCGCTGTTAGCGAGTATAGCACACTATGAAGGCCGGCACTGTGGCACGCGAGGGGGTGGGTTGCCAGCACCACGCCCGGCCGCCTTTGTCTCCCCAGTGGCGATGTTTACGCACCGCACCGGGTGCTCATTTTTTTTAGGCCGAGCTGACCTAGCGGAGGCCCAGGACCGGTCCAGATAATGGTCAATGGTGTTGGCCGTGAGCGGGAATCGAACTCGGGTTTCCCCGGGGTACGTAGCGCAGTGCGCTCACCGCTACACTCCACACACACACAGTGGCAGTACAGCAAGTAGGCGCTCGCAAACAGCACTTGTCCCGACAGTCTCTGCTATGGCTATGACAGAGGGATGTGTTGTGTTGCTGCCTTGTCCACGTTTACATTTGGTGTTGAGAAATCGGCAGGAATTAATGCACTCACGCAAATTGTACTAATGTACTTTCTTTATTTGTATTTATTTTCGCGACTTATGTACCGTCCCCATACTTTGCACTACTATCGGTTTTTATAACGTTGGTTGTTGTTGTAACTTTCTGACCCGCCCCGACTGGACGTCTGTAAAAAAGAAAAGAGCTTCATAGCTCATCGGATTCCTCGTGCAGTCTAAACTAAGATTCCGATTCGGATATTTATCTCTGTGTGTGGGTGGCGAGCGGTAGTGTCGTGGTCGGCGTCGTTACATCTTACAAACCACAGCCCCTTGATGCCTATCGGAAGTGTCCGACAGCAGTTGATCATCACTCGTTTTCAGTGGGGCGGCCAATTTCGCCCGATAAGGGGCCGTCCATAAATGACGTCACGCGATTTTGGACGATTTTTTACCCCCCCCCCCTGCCTCGTCACACGGCGTCACAAAAAGTCAGACCCCCCCCCCTCAGATATGACGTCACAAAGCTCTGCCCCCCCCCCAAAACCATATTTCCATTTTGAAAATAAAACATGCTTCAAATCGCTTTAAACTATTGGCATTGTAGTGCGTATTTAATGTGGCGCTGCACACTGATGTTGTAGGAGAAAACATTCATGAAAAAGTATTTAATTAAGTAGAATGTGTTGTCTATATTTATTGAAAGTTGCGCATTTTTATGTGACGTCACATTTCTCAACCCCTCCCCCCCCCCTCGTCACACATCGTCACAAATGTCTGACCCCCCCCCCCTAGGTGCGTGACGTCATTTATGGACGGCCCTAAGACGACATCAGTGTAGGGGCCGCCGGTGGCCTTGCAGTGCAGAACGCCGCCCTTACAGAGCTCGCCCTGGCAGATGTCGGTGGTCGTTGCCCCTTCAGCAATGAACCGCGGCGTCGGGCAAATCTCCTGGCCAGTGTCGCACACAGACAGGGACACGCGCACGTTAGCGTCAAGGGGAACACTCCCCTAGACCCCTCTCACTCCTCTACCCCCTCCACCCCTCTCGCTCCTCCACCCCTCTTGCCCCTCCACCCCTCTCGCCCCTCTCGCTCCTCCACCCCTCTCGCCCCACCACCTCTCTCGCCCCTCTACCTCTCTCGCCCCTCCACCCCTCTCCTCTATCGCATTTGCGCGGAATCCAAGGCCGGAGCTCAACGCCGTGGAGTGCGGTTGACGTCACCACCGAGTGCCAACCAGGCAGACAGGAATCCATGCGGGAACACGTTTTTTTTCCTCGTATAGTATATACATACATGCTACGGTGATTATTACCTGCGGTCTGAGCCAGTGGATATTCTCTGCGTCGGCATCCAAGGAGCCCAGTGCTTGTGGACCGAGTGGGAAGGCGGCGTCTTCGAAGAGTTCTCCCCGGCCGAGGCACGCGCGTCTCAGAATCTCAAAGTCCTGCTCGAGGTGCCTCTCGGGTCGTTCTGCAGATCCTTCTTCCATGGTCGTACACTGGCCCTCAACGAGCGTTAAGCCAGGGTTAGTCAGTTACTTTTAATTTGAGTCAGTCGTAGTCTCGGGCAACAACAGCCTGCGGAGTTTTCGTCAAGTCTTCGGTCTGCGGATTATATTTTTACCCGTCCGCTTGATGTAATGAACTAAAGCAGTCAAACATTTTGTGTGCTGCTTCTAATTTTTGAGTTCGGAAAAGTGGTGGTAAGCCTTGGGGCGCCACAGTGGCAAGATGTTAACTACCTCGCCTTAAATTTAGATTCAAAGCTTTCGTGACTGCAGGGATTCATATTCTTGTTTTTTTCAGTAAAGTCACGTAGAAGGGAAACAATAAAATTATTTTAAAAAATAATGAAAATATAAAAGAATAAAATTCTCACGACGTTCCGACTGCAACACGAGCAATCATCATCAGGTGTGAAAACCACAGCAAGAAAATTTGAAAAAAGTGGCGTTTTTTTAACGTTAGCACCACGGACAGCGATTTGACAGTTTGTTCAGATGGACGAGTATACAGAAGATCGTGGGTTCGATTCCGACACGAACGCCTGTATCGTCTCGTCACGGCAAGTCGTTCGCGCTTTGGTCAGCGATCATTCATCGTCGTCATGCTCGGTGATTAAAACATATATATAGACACACGCCTACTGTACATCTGTGAGAGAGAAAAGAGCTTCATAGCTCATCGGATTCCTCCAGTATAAACAAACATTCCCATTCTGACGAATATCTTCGTCACTGCGATAACTTTCGTTGACACACAAAAAATGTACACTGCCCTCGCCCGCGGACGTCCCCCTGTACATGGCCACGAGTTATTCAGCAACGGCAGAAATTCATCGGGATCTGCGACCCCTGGTAAAGAAGAAGAATAAGAAGTGGGACACTCGGCACACCAACGTGCGCTGTCCCTCTCGCTATTCAAGAGGCAGGTGTGACGCGCACTCCAGTCTAGCAGCGAAGCGGCAAAACTACAACAACAACAACAACAAAACCCTCTTCGGCGAGACATTAAAACCCCCATTGGGTTACACCGCAAGTTTGCGCGTGTTTTTACATCGGTGGTGCAGAAGCGGCGTAGTCCCTGTGGCGTGTGACGTGCGTAACGGGTCAAATGATTACTCACGGCCCTTCGTAACTCCACTGCTGGACGGATGACTCCTCACGCCGCGTGGCGTGTAGACGACACACCGACACGACAAACCAAAGCTGCAGGTGTCGTATCTTCACAGACTGTTGGGGCAAGTGCTGTTCGCGAGCCCCTCTCGAGGCCGCCTATATCCCAGGTCGCCGTTGTAAAAGAGACGGCCCAGACGTCTAGAGTTCTCACCTGGTTCAACGAACCTGACCTATGTACTGTATGGGTGTTTGTATGTAAATACTCACAATATGCAGACTACACTCTCCAGGTACACACACACAACATTCACCACTGCATTTTTCGTGTCTACAAGTGTCGCAATAAGTGTGAGCTCGCTGCAGTTTGGCTATCGGTGTGGGCCATGTACAGCTATGCCGCTTGCGATGGATGGCTGTGTCGGTCGAATAAACGTGCAAAATAGGATCAGAGATGACCCCCCCTCCCTCCACCCATTTTCTGGCTTTAATTGATCCGCCCAATTAAGTTAATTGGTCCGTCAGCGTCAGCACACGTGACTGCCCCCCTTGTATTCGCTAGCGAGGCAATTAGATGAGTCATGACGCCGCAGGACACGCGTGAGTTTGCGCTCATTCGCATCGCGATTAACAGCAGGGGTAAAAAAAAATTGTTGTAATTGAAAGCTTACGGCCTTACACGACAGCGCCCTTGATAAACATTGACGTCGTTATTTACATAACCACCATATAAATAAGTGGGTGGGACCAGGGGCGGAGCCAGGATTTTCAGCCCGGGGTGACATTCAACTAATTTTAATTTCAAGAATGATTGAATGAGAAATCGGCTATACCCCACGCCATCGGTTGGCGACACGCTCTGACAATGCAGTTGCACGGAGTCCGCCAGACCGAGTGTCGTACACTTATACGCAGAATGTTTCAAATTTTCGATTTTTATTCTTTTTTCGGGGGTGACAATTGTCTACCCTGTCACCCCCCCTGGCTCCGCCCCTGGGTGCGACTGAAGTTTGGCTCCCTTAAGTGGAACCGATTTCTCCTGTGGCCCATGGACTACCATATAGGGAGCAGCAACGGAGGTGGAAAAATGAAACCGGCTGGTGCGCCGGTGCTGGATGGAATGTTGCATCACAAAGACCGTGAGAGATGTCGACGGCCTTCATCCAACAGTGGATCGATCACGGCTGCCGGATGATGGTGACCATGCCTAGTCACCTCTTGACTCATAATTGAGGGATCCGTTTTGCATGCAAATTCTGGCTCATTAATCCCATGACAGCGGAGCATTTTGCCGATGTAATTGGTGCCTTGCGTTCACGTACCGCTCTGCCCACACATCACGGGCGTGCGAACTACGAGGCCGCTATTACGCGTGAATAATCCACGTAATAGAGTATAACTGTAGGAGGGAAAAACCCCAACATCGGAGTTATGTATACCTCGGCCAGGTGTTGGCAACATATCAAGAGCCGCGATACGATGTTGATAAACAACGTCACAAAGTATAATCTTGGTTCTTTCGGTAAGTCACGTAGGAGGGAAATAATAAAATAATAAAAATATAAAACAATAAAATTCTCACGACGTTTCGACTGCAACACAAGCAATCATCAGGTGTGAAAACCACAACAAGAAAATTTGAAAAAAGTGGCAGTTTTTGTTTTAACGTTAGCACCACGGAGAGCGATTTGACAGTTTGTTCAGATGGACGAGTCCATCTGTGTTCGGAAAAGAGGAGGGGGGAGACGAAAAATAATGGATGCGGTCTGAAAGTCACCGTAAGCGTGAACAATCAATTAAGACCCGAAATGGTTCATCAAATCCTTCCAATGATTGCTAACGTTAAACAAAAACCCGCCACTTTTTTCAAATGTTCTTGTTGTGGTTTTCACACCTGATGATGATTGCTTGTGTTGCAGTCGAAACGTCGTGATAATTGCATCGTTTTATATTTTCATTATTTTATTGTTTCCCTTCTACCGTGGTGACTTTACCGAAAGAACCAAGAATATGAATCTCTGCAGTCACGAAAGCTTTAAATAAAAACGTCACGAAGCACAGTCCTTAAAGAGCCGCATGCGGCTTCCGGAAGCCACATGCGGCCGACCCTCACCTAAGGCAAATCAGTATCGGAATGGTGGCATAGAGAGAGGCAAGCGTGAGTCAGGGTGCAGTGCTTTGGAAAAAACTGAACAATGGTCATCAAAAGTAAATGTTGCCGATGCGAATGAACGTTTCAATCGGTGAATATCGCCAGGCCGTACCGGAAATACGACTTTTAGTTCCAACGGATTTTCACATCGTTTAAAAACAATGTTTCTCTCGGTTAAAGGTGGAGTTTAGCCAAATGAAGTCACAAACGACATTGAATCGTTATAGGGTAGTTTTGTGCAGTTACTGGTGGCCAGGCTGAGACAACCATCCACTCTCTACACTTGAGAACCCTGGGTTAACCGTGCACAGTTGAAACCCGGATTCGAAACCAGGTACGGCTGCTTGTTTGGCATGACCATTAATCATCATCCATGATCATCACGATCCATGGGCAGAGAGCCCGTAGGTGTCCTCTGCATATTTCGTCATTTGTTTCCACTTTCCTCCGTCTTGTGCCAATATAGCTAGAGTAGTGCCCACATCCTTCTGGGACCGATCTCTTGCGATGTCTTCGTCGTGAAACCATTCTCTGCGAGGTCTTCCTCTCTTTCTGGTTCCTTCCATATTTATGAACAACAACACCAACAACAAACTTTTGATTTTCCTGCTGTTGTCCATCCTACATGTGTGTACATTCCGCCAGCTTGAATGTGAAGTACGTTAACACATCATCTAACTCCGTATCACAAGTTGCCCTCGTGCCGCGCGTTGGTTGTTGACACCAACGATTCAATGCCCCGTGTCCCAAACAACCGTTACCACCAACTCGAGCAAGTGGCAGAAATTCACCATCGCTATGACAGACAATTTCAGGCACACGAATAACGCGGCGTGTTAATATTAACGATACAAATGACGCTTTTCTGTTTGTTTGTGAATTAGCTTAAAATAAAACTTTTATTTGACGTGCCGCTGGAACAGACGGTTCGCGTCACACGCCACGCAAGAAACGCCTCGCAGTGGGACAGCGACGAGCCACGCCACCGAAAAAAACACCACCACCACAACCACCACCACCACCACAACCGCCACCACCACAACCACCACCACAACCACCACCACCACAACCACCACAATCACCACCACCACAACCACCACAACCACCACCACAACCACCACGACCACCACAACCACCACAACCACCACCACTACAACCACCACCACAACCACCACAACCACCACAATCACCACCACAACCACCACCACAACCACTCACTTGACGGCACGCACTCTGACCGTTATGGTTCCACCTCCTTCGTAGGTCATCTGCATCCCCCTCCCCATCTTCTAATGAACAGCCACCACGATGGCTATGAGATGTTAACTACCTCGCCTGGTACACAGGAGGTCGTGGATTCCATCCCGAACCGGACGCCTGCTGCTTTATATTTGGAGGTTGCGTGTCGCGTGGCATTTTCTCCTCCGTTTCCCCCCTGCACAATTTAGAATCGACATCACGCGTTTAGTGTTTGTCTGCTATACATTTCCCCGCGATAAGTCACTTCGTTGAGCAATAATTTGTGGCCAGGTCGCTTCTGAAAAAAGAGCTATATATAACTCAGTGGGCCTTACCAGGTAAAATAAAAATAGTTTTGTTTTTATTTTGTTTAGTTTAACAGCAAGTGTCCCATTGTGTGACCCCCCCCCCCCCCCCCCATTTTAGAGACAGCTCCCCAGGGTGGCTGAAGAGGCACTCCAGTCCGTGGCATTGAAGTCCGTTGCTTTAAAGGTGCCACCATCGACAATGTCACCTCTTTCCACCGCCGCAGCCACACCTCGCCATCGCTTCCTTCCGTCTGCCGTATCCCACAGCAAGCTGCGCCGTCGACACCTCCGTGACCTTCAAGACGTCGCCCTTCCAGGCCCATCGCTCTCGTGGAGTTGCACACCGAAGATGTGGATAAGCCGTCCCCTCCCTGCCACCTTCGCCACCACCGCCACCACCACCACCGCCGCCGCCACCGCCGCCACCACCGCCACCACCACCGCCACCACCGCCACCACCACCGCCACCACCACCACCACCGCCACCACCACCGCCACCACCACCACCGCCACCACCGCCACCACCACCGCCACTACCACCACCACCGCCACCACCGCCGCCGTCACCACCGCCGCCACCACCGCCACCACCGCCGCCACCATCGCCACCACCACCACCGCCACCACCACCACCACCGCCACCACCACCACCACCGCCACTACGACCACCGCCATATATTAATAGGTGCTGCCCTTGAAATGTGGGGTCGGAGCCAAGGTCGGGAGGTTCAGGATGATTTTAATTCTCAGCTCCAACCTTGTGCCAGGCAGTAGATAACAGCGAGCATGTTCATATGTCATTCGCCGTGAGTGCATATTAAATACAGGGCGTCCACACGGGCATCAACCACTATGAAACTAAAGTATAGACGGCAGTTTGAACTGCATGCGTGAAATGTTAGCAACGTGCCCCTGATGGGTTTGCATCTTTTTGTAAAACCGAACAAGCTTGATTGATCTTCAATGGCGCACGCTCGATATAGACCAGATATTTCACTCGTCGGTACCATCTCAAGTGGCAGAACTTTAGCGATTCCAATTCCTTTACGTGGCCAATGACGGTGAATTGTGTGACTATTTCAAACGAGGGGTATCATCGTGTAATTCACTCGTAGTGGCCGTATTAAAAAAAAACGGGTGAGACTAAATATGTGCTTGCTTCCTTGGGTGGTACCAAATTCTGCTCAGGTCCATGTGTAGTGGACTAATGATGATGTGGGACGCCATTGGCAAGGTGGCAGAGCCATCCCTAGAGTACGGCGAATCGGTCCGACCGCCCTGGGCCCCGTGATTGGGGGGGGCGCGCTTTGACGTCACGGCGTTAGATGTAATAGTTCCGTTTTAAATTTTGATTGAAAGCTTTCGTGACTGCAGGAATTGATATTCTTGGTTCTTTCGGTAAAGTCACGTAGAAGGGAAACAATACAATAATAAAAATATAAAACAATAAAATTATCACGACGTTTCGACTGCTACACAAGCAATCATCATCAGGTTTGAAAACCACCGCAAGAAAATTTGAAAAAAGTGGCGGTTATTTTTAACGTTAGCACCACGGAGAGCGATTTGACAGTTTGTTCAGATGGACGAGTCCATCAAATTTTCTTGCTGTGGTTTTCACACCTGATGATGATTGCTTGTGTTGCATTCGAAACGTCGTGAGAATTGTATTGTTTTATATTTTTATTATTTTATTGTTTCCCTTCTACGTGACTTTACCGAAATAACCAAGAATATAAATTTCGATTTAAAGCTTTCGTGACTGCAATGATTCATCTTCTTTGGTTCTTTCGGTAAAGTCACGTAGAATGAGAATAAAATAATAAATTTATAAAATAAAATAACACAATAATATTAAACACAATAATATTATTGTGTTATTTTATTTTATCAATTTATTATTTTATTCTCATTCTACGTGACTTTACCGAAAGAACCAAAGAAGATGAACCAAGAATATAGTTCCGTTTTCGTTTGAAGGCATGGGGGGGCGGGGGGCACAGGGTGGGGTTTGCTCCGGGTCCCTCCCCCCCTCCCCCTCTTATGGATAGCCCTACATGGTGGACATGTGGAGGTTTAGAAGGCTTAAGATCTACACGCTATAGTCCAGGGGTCGGCAAACTGCGGCTTCGTGACGTTGTTTATTAAGGACCACCACCGTCTCGTATTTACCACCACAGTGCATTGCGGCTCTTAAAATACAGATTTTTTTACCGAATTCGAAATAAATGCTTCTTCTTGATGTTCTGGTTGCCGACCCCTGTGCTAAACACCATGTGCATCATTTTGGTTCAGCGACCTCAAACTGTCGGCAAATTATAATGAACAAACACATTCATTTATTAATTGTGGACGTGAAAACTCGACTCGGAATCCCAGCGACCGCCAATTCCGAGCTGGCTCGCGTGGATTATCGCCGCTCGATTCTCGCTGGGATCTGCCGCTTCTTCCCTGCAGGAAAGTCGCTCACGATCCAGAGTGCCACCGGTCCCACCGTGATGTAAAATCGGATCATAAATAATGACAACCCTGTGATGCCAACCAGTGTTGCAACTAAGACTCTACACTAGGAAATGACCTCTCCACAAAGTGGTAAGTTAATTCAACAAAAAAACCGCAATGCCTTATAATTGACTGACATAATCCCAGACCTTCATTGCGAGAGCAATTAAAAACACCGCTGACCCTTACAGAACTGTATAGTACTTGTGAAATGGCATTTTACACACTTGTATGCGCATATTTACGTTCGATCAGCCGATGAACGTTCCGATTCGATTTTTACTTGAGGTCGTTATATTATTAAACGCCATCTAATGTCGCGTATGACCGGCGTACAATTATACGTCATTAAGAAGAAAAAAAAGTTACATCTAACGTTGAGTTTGTAGGGCATACACCGAGAAATTACGAGAGAGGCTTTTGGGGGAAATTAACGGGTTTATCTTTCGTACGTTACTCACACAAGTGTCAACACTCGCACACACGAGCATACAGACATGTACGAAAGAGCCCACCCTGTGGTTATACAATGCGAGCATGTGATATACAGGGCTTCTCTCGTTCTATGCGGGTTCAGTTTGTGCGATTTCGCATACATGGGACGAACATATTTCTTCAGGGGATTCGCTGTGCGGTTTTAATTCACTCATATGCGGTTTCAATTCACCCATGTGGTTTAAATTCACCCATATGCGGTTTGAATTCACTCATATGCGGTTTCAATTCACCCATGTGGTTTAAATTCACCCATATGCGGTTTGAATTCACTCATATGCGGTTTCAATTCACCCATGTGGTTTTAATTCACTCATATGCGGTTTGAATTCACTCATATGCGGTTTGAATTCACTCATATGCGGTTTTAATTCACTCATATGCGGTTTCAATTCACCCATGTGGTTTAAATTCACCCATATGCGGTTTTAATTCACTCATATGCGGTTTCAATTCACCCATGTGGTTTAAATTCACCCATATGCGGTTTTAATTCACTCATGTGGTTTAAATTCACCCATATGAGGTTTTTATTCACTCATGTGCTGCTTATAATCACCCATGTAGTTTAAATTCACTCATGCGGTTTAAATTCACCCATGTGGTTTAAATTAACTCATATGGGGTTCGAATTAACTCATGTGCAGGTTGAATTCACTCATATGAGGTTTGAATTCACCCATGTGGTTTAAATTCACTCATATGCGTTTTGAATTCACCCATGGGATGAAAATGATCAATTTCTAAGTTGCGAAAAAAAAGTGTAATTGCATGTCTGTGGTGCCTTTTAATTGCGATGGAATAATCTCACGGATTTTTTTTATTTCAGCTGGGCCTCGCTCGAACCATTGCTGCAATACACGCGGGGACGTGAGATTGTCGATTCAAATTCCTGGCCAAGTGGCACCGTGCCACTCAACTTCTGATCAAGACTGCTCCCTAGCGCCTGTATTGGCGTACAGCAGCCTCGAGGTTGAAATGTGATTTTCACAAACGATTAAATCTGAGGTGGCTCCCCACTTCCTCTGTTTTACTCAGCCGTAGCTTTCGTCTCACTCTCTCACAATGCACTGCACAGCATTAACACTGCAGCACACCACTAACAGAGCGTGTAGATTATTATTCGTGTGGCCAAGCCAATATGTATAGCCGCGTGTATTTATGTAAACTGCGCACGCCTAAACGTCAACGGGACTCATTCGCGTCTGGTACACGCTGCATGTATACCGGTACTTGGCTACGCAAAACAAATATCCCCCGTATAGCCTGGGGGGTAAGTGATGTTTAGGAGCACCTATGAAGGCCGGCACGGCACACGAGGGCGTGGATGGCCAACACCACGCCCGGCCGCCTTTGTCTCTCCCTAGTGCCGACATTTACTGCACACCGCACCAGGTATTCTCATTTGAGGCTCCGCACATGACAAACGTAAAGAGACGCGTGCACGCCTGTACCACTTGTGCGATGTAGTGACGTTCGTACCGATGGATGGAGGACACATAGCCGTGTACACCTCACCAGTAACGCGTACATGCATGATCGTTCATTCGTAGATTATTTACAAGACGTATGTACAACATTGCAGACGAGATACACAATTGAGATACCGCACTTATGTATGTACATGTTGTGTTGTGTGACGTGTACACATTACTATATACATTACCAGGTGTTATATATTTTTAGATTCCATATATATAAAATAAGTTACGTATATTATTCACGTGTGGAGTATATCTGTATATACGTGTGCGCGTGTGCATTTCAGTGAATTAAATTTCAGCTCAATTTAGTTCAATTAAATGGTAACCAAAAACTAAACTAATTTAACAATATCTTAAATCATAATACTTAATTTTTACTCTCCAAACGTGGTATTTGGGCATGAACCGTGGCCGCGTTGTTCGACACGATGTCCGACGTTTTGCCCTACGTGCCGGAAGCTTCTTCAGGATCTGACGAACACAGCCATACATTCGGCACAACCCGAAAACACATCCGTGGGCATTTGCGGCACAGCCGAGGCAACCTGTTGAGTGAATAAAATCAATCATTTTAATTACGTAAATGAGACAATTTTTCTCACTCCCCCCCCCATTCCCCGGGTTATACGCTCCCCCACCCCCTCATCAACACACGTCTAGTCCGTGGGGCCTGGCGGATATTCGCGAGCGGTTATTATATTTTTCTTTTTGTCGCTCAACGTTCTGCGGCGGGCCTTTGTCTTTGTGTACAGCAAAAAAAAAATATAGATTAAAAAAATTGAACCCCCCCCCCCGAATTTAATTACTGTAAAGATATCTCAAGATTCTGCTGCATAGGGCAGCGCAAATACGTTTTAAACAGCACGTGAAGACAAACCAAAACCGGTTAAGCAAATTGGGAAGAAAAAAAAACACCGATTTGGCGGATTGCGCGGTGGAGTTGTCGTGACGGATGTATCTCCACCGTGACCCCCAATGCCGACAGTTAAGTTGTAAACCGCGAGATTAAAGCAACACCAGCGCTCGGCATTTTAATAAAATTCAACATCTTTTGTTCCAAACAGAAATACTGAGATGTCATAATTTGAAGGGGGACTTCATTTGTGGTGACACCGTGGGAAAACGCGATAAGCAAAATAAAAAAAAAAGGTCTCTGGTTTATTGAGTTAAAAAGTACGATCGCAATAATTCATAAATAGCAACAACAAAACAATTAAAAGCTGACGATAGTGTCGAGTCCCACAGTTAAACTCGAAACGTAATGAAGCCGAAAAATGACTGAAATATTATATTGCACTGGTGTTGAATGCATCTTTTTTTTTTAATGTGTCCGAGTGCGTGAGCAGCGGCATAGCTCTTGAGAGTGTGTAGGGGGGGGATGGAACTGCACCAAGGCCCACGGGATGGGATGGCCCAAGATTTGAGCTATAAAGTGATCGGGAAGTGGAGGGCGCGGGTAGGGGGGGGTCCAGCTTATGTATTGCATCAGGGCCCTATCTGACCACGCTACACTGCGCGTGCACGCTTGTACTCACGCGCGTGTGCGTGCGTGCGTGCGCATATGCGGAGTAATGCATATCTACGGTACGTATTGTGTAGTCATATAGGTGGACATGTGTGTTACACGTATTACGTTTGCACGCGCACGCGCAAACAAGTTGTGTCACGTTGAAGCCACGATGGATGAAACGGTTGGAAAGTGCATGGCAACCGCATCCACAACTCGGCTCACACCACGCACAGGGAGCACAGTGAACTGGTACAAGTTTAGTGCATAGTAAACTTTGGCATGACGACGTGAAACAAACAAACAAACAATGATACAAACGCGACTCGTGGGCCGTGAAACTCCCCCTTATCCGCTACACCGGCGTTCTTCACTCATTTTAAGAGGGGGCGGGGGGGGGCACTTTGGTCGATGAGACGTCGTCAGTGTGAGCGAGGGGCCGCCGCACTTTGAAACCATTGGAGGGGGGGGGGGGGGTTTGACAGCAGCACGATGATGATGGGGAGCGTTTTCACTCTTTGTATTGTCGGGGGCCGCACGAAAGGTCACCACGGGCAGCCAGCGCCACCCCCCCCCCCCCCCCCCACGGGCCTTGCAATGAAGAACGCTTCGCTATCCTACTGCCCGCTATTTCTAATTTTACGCGGCCTACTGAATCGACAAGAGAAAATTCCTAATATCGTATTTTCAGTTCATATTAACTGCGCTTTTGCAAGGATAACAGGCGCAACCCAGGAGTGGTTGCAAAGCCATCGTCCTATCATCCGCACTTAATTGCGTAATTGACCCGACCAGAAGTGACCTGGACGTGGCCCAGTGGAACTACGTCATGCTAACTCCATTACGTGCGCCCAAGTGAGGATAAGAGGAGCACAAAAAAAAAGGCGGTCATCTTATTATTGGCGAGAGGTCCGCCTACCGCGGAGATGGAGGAGTGAAATCAAATATCGTGCGCACGAGTGCACGATATTTGATTGGCGCACCGCAAGACCGCGCGCGAGATGCCGACGGCTATGGGGAAGCCTTCATCCAACAGTGGCTAGATCGTGGCTAAAGGTGATGAACCGAGTCTCCCGGCACTGCTTCGCTTGCCCGCGTACCACCACCCAATAACGAGCGATGTCTTTGTCTTAGCAAAAACAAACGATATTCTACTTTGCGACAACCCACGGAGATAAAATGACTGTAGCGGGTTATATTTAACATCAACCTCGCCCCTGTAGGTTAAAGGACTAAAACAAAACCTTGTGAATGATCACGGGTTGGAAATAATATCCATTAGCCTCAATTGAGTACACGAACGAATCGGTAACCGAGACCCCGCAGCACAATAGCACCAAACCGATGATACGTAATATGTACAATAACATAAACAACATCCACGAAGTTCCATTGCAATCAAGTTCCCGTGTATTTTCACCAGGCTGCAGTAACGATGACTGGCAAGCAAACGGGCCGTTGCATACGGTGCAGGATGTTATGGTTGAGATCGGAAGATGGAAAAGAGAAAGAAAATTATCGACCGAGACGCCGTTAATTAATACCGAATCCGTACGAACGGCGTGGCGAGATGGAGTTGACGTTTACGCTAAGGCCACACAGGGCAAATGATCCACCAACACACACACACACATTCTCCACTTATCCTGCTGTAAATAATAATTATTTATGGTACTGTGATACGATTATTAACAACACTCGCGATAGTAGTTTTAGGGTTGTGTTTTTGTTTTGTTTTTACCCACAGATGATTGAGTCTCGGTAGGCTGGGTCAGTATCCTGTGAGCACTTCAACACTCATGCAGCTTGCCCTTAAGTCACACACGGCCTTTCACGCAGTCCCAATTAAAGCAACTTTCGGCATATACGGATATAAATTCAGGTGAACGACATCCGCCATTCATTGAATGTACACTTGCACACGGGCGCGCGTGCACGCACTCACAGCCGCACTCGTACACGAATATGAACTATGCACAGGTTACGTACAAGTACACAACACTGCCACTGACTTCTTGACACGTGCCTCAAGCCACCCGCCGCGTAAAGCTGCCCACATTTGTGGGAGGCTCAACGGGGACACACGGCGAGCCGACAGGACCCTCCTCCACTTTCACGCTCCGCCTCCTTTTACATAGCCACGCCCACCCAACCACTGGCCCCGCTCACAGCAAATGGCCCAGCCCCGCTCCGACGTTGGTCCTGCCCACTGCTCGGGTAGCCCCGCCCACTACCCAGGTAGCCCCACCCACTCCACATGTAGCTCTGCCTTTCACCCTAAATCATGAGTAGGGAGCACGAGACCCCCAAATGTTAAACCGGGGTACAAAATCCCGATTTTCATTAAAGCTTCGAGAACACCTGGACACACTTTCTGAAACCACCGAAACTGTCCCGGCCGAACTGGGACGTTTGGTAGCATTACCGCTGCGCCTCACCGAGTCGTATGTACACGGGTCCATTGGACGAAGGGGGTACGATATTTTACACGGCCGCGCTTAACCCTCCGCGCTTCGCAAAACGTCGAGGCGACGGCGGCCGTCGCATCGGCAGCAATGTGCTGCGTCTCCACAGTTGCGTCTCCACACAGCTGCGTCTTGCTATCAAGAAATGGCTGCAGCAGCAGCAGCAGGAGCAGCAGCAGCATCACCACAGGCACATACATCGGGGGACCGACGATTCTTATCCAAACTTCAGACCACGAATACCCCTTTTTTCCCAAAGCGCAAACCCGAGCCAGCTCGGCACGGCGCAGGAGCCGCCCGGTTGTTATCCACTGCAGAAGCCGAGCCCGTACCGCTTGACGTGACGTGACGCGCACCGATGGATCCGCGCCGCGTGGGCGATGACGCCGTTGTCCTCACGGCGTACTGACCGACGTCACACACGATACAGATGCGTCGTCAGCTCTGCCACCCCACCTATTGGCACCGAGCCAAATATTCAGAATGTCTCGTGAGGCCACAGCTTCAGGGTTTTGTGTTCCGGCTCGGCTCGAGCAAAGTAGCCGGTGGGGGAAAAAAACAAAAAAAAACACCCGAGGGCTTTGTGGCTAGCGTGGCGCTCGAAAGGTGCCAGCGGAAAAGGGGTAAAAGCATGGGCCAGTCTAGGCAGGGCGCTGGCCGTACGTACCCAGGCCGTTCGCAGGCTGTACGTACCCAGGCCATGCGCAGGCCGTATGTACCCAGGCCTACATAATTAGGCTGTGGCCCACATCTGTGCAATTCATTCACGACTTTCCCGCAAGCGGAAATTGTACGTGGAAAATAAGTGGGGCACAGGCCGATGTCGGTGCGCGATCGCGAAGACGGGCGAGCGCTCGCCCCCTCGCGAAGGCCAGTGGATGTGGGATTAATTTCTCGCATTTGAACTGACCTTGACATACTTGGAATGGACAGCAGTGACACTCGCCAGCCAAACACCGCGGGTGCCTCTGTAACAATGCCAAAGATTTAGCCATTGAAGCCTCCGTGAGTTTCAGGGCTTGTTTAGGTGGGGTGCTCCAGCATTATTGTGTTTGGCTTAATGTGGCAGAAAACCAGCGTATCCAGAGGAAAACCCACCAAACGCACTCAGTGGTGACACTCAATACTGCCATCTGCTGGCCACTTTGCAGCCTGAGCCTACAACACCTGGCAAGCCCCTGGTGGTCACTGCTCCTCGTGTTCACCAGGCTCAAACCTGCTTGAGCTTCTGAGATCGGTGCAACGTCCGGAGGCATCGCTACACGTCAGTCCGTGCGGCTCGTGAAATCGCGGTGAGTTTCGCTTCGCCTGCGCAGATCGCAAACCTCCGTAACCACCGAGTCTTACCGTAAACAGCGGGCCCGATCATCCCACCGCCAATTCAGCTCCACGTAAGGGCTTTCGAAAGCAGGCTCAATGTAAAAACGACACCCGCCAGAGCCGCGACCCGAGCACGCATTTACCGCGGCAAGCCCTTCGACGGAGGGTTGAACCGAACCCATCGATCAGGAGCCAAGACACTTCGAGCGGCGTCATCCATCGCGCGCCGCACGGAACCCGCAAACACGCCTGTGCCGCGCTCCGGTAAGGATGGCATAAGCGCCGCCGCTCCTTCCTTCTATCCTTCCCCGCGGCGGTGGGCCCCCAGGGAGCGGCGGGAGCAGCTTCGCACCCCGTCTCCCGAGCTCCCCCATCGCCCGACGATCATTGGCACTTCCACACGAACACGCTGCGTGGAGAGAGAGAGACAGAGGGCGGGGGGGTGGGGGCAAATGGGCACGCAGGATGTCTCGCAACTCGTCCACGCCGCGCTGGAGATGAACTGCTTTCCATCGCTGAGTGAATGTGCGCGGAATCCGCGAGAAACCCCAAACAGGTCCAGTGAATAGTTTTAATAATAATAATATATATGTATACGATTACATTTCAGCACATTGTCAGTCTGCTGCTGGATGACAGCCTCTCCGTGCCATGCGGGTCATGGGAGTTGTTTGACCATACCTCACCACGCTGGTCAGTGCGGGTTGGTGATGGGTAGTGGGTGGGGGGGGGGGGGCAGGAACTGCTCAGGTATCACTCGCACACCGATGTGAACTGTCACCCGGGATCCAACTCAGGTTGGCGGTTTCATAACGCAATGCGGAAAACACTGCCATTGTTCCACCTCCATGGAATAATAAAAACAACCTGCATTTTATGAAGTGCCATGTGAAGTATCTCAAAGTGCTTTACATAAAAATAAAACTACACTCACAAGTAACGATAACATCTAAGCGAAATAGAAAGCTGATAATAACAATATCAATGACTACGAAGCAATAAGGGTACTTCTGTACACAAAGGCGAGCACCTGAATCCAGTGAACTAAACCCCCAATAATCCTTTCCCGCAGCTATAGCGTACAGGACACGCGCGGTGGTGCGTGTCGAACCCATCACTTTGCAGGCAGAGGTCGGCGGATCACTGTACTGTTGTAAAAATCTCAAGAGCACTGTGCTGCGAGTGAGATGGCCTGTAGATGGCAGCACAGCAAGTGGGGTGATCATCGCACTGCGCTATGAACCCGGCAATCCCACGTCCCAGACCCGCTTAACATCAGCGGTTAAGTGGTGATATCTTAATTAACTCGAATCAAGGCCATCCCTAGGTCAACTCAGCCTCAAATGGGTAGCTGGTGCGGTGTGTGAACATCGGCAGGCACCGGGAGGAGACAATTTGTGGCCGGGGCATGGTGCTGGCCACACCACCCACTCATGCTCCGTACCGCAGTGCCCTGTGAGTGTGGCCACAAATCCCAAACCATCGGCCACATTGGAAACACTCCGCTGCTGCTGCTACTGCTGCTGCTGCTTTCACTCCTTTGAAGGGGGATGGGACGAGAACCACTCTGCTTCGGAGCAGACAAGTGGAGTGGATAACAAATCGACAACGACGTCTTTAATCTGCTGTTGTCAATCCACACGGAAGTAGAACAGAATGCTCCGTGCCGGCCTTAATCGGTGGCCAGTCGGCTAGGTGCTCGGGGATGGGGGGTTATTTTTGTGGACGAGGGTACCTGCTGTCCTGGCCTCCTGCCGTGAGCAGGAATCGATCTCCCTGGGAGAAGCGCACGGCCGTCACGTGCAGCGAGTGGCCGGTAAACCGCTTGTGTTTCGTCTGCACACGGAGACAGCGGCACGGCGACCTCGCGTAACCGCGCCGTCGGTGGTTTCAACGAGCCGACAATTGGAAGCTGACGTACGACCGCGTGGGTTGTCGCGTTCGTGCTGCCGCGCGGCAGCTCTCTACGACGCAGCGGCTTTTTCCCGAACACGCTCCCGGCACGCGGACGTGAGCCACGCGGATGTGAGCCACGCGGATGTGAGCCACGTGGGTTCGGCGCAAACATTTAGAGGTTCCCCGATGATCCCGGTCGACGGCTCTCGACGAGAACGCGAGCCCGGCACGCGGGGCCAGGAGGAAACGTCGGGACAACGTCGCGCAGAGCAAACGCGGGCGTGCGGGAGGGGCGGGGGGCGGGTGGGGGGGGGGCGTGACGCGACGCGGGAGCTCACGAATCGCTCTTGGCACGGGAAGTCGAAGAGTTTGACGAGGCCGAAGTCGTCGCCGGTGGCGACGGTGAGGCCCGAGTGGGAGACACTCGCGCAGTTCACGTTGCACTTCTCGGCGTTGCGCGGCCAAATTCCGAGCACCTCCTCACCCTGTGTGCTGCTCGGTCATCGCACGCGGACAAAGACGAAGGATTACCCCCCACCCCCCCCCACCATGTAGCCTAAAACGAATTTCTTTAGAACTGCTTTTGTTGTGTATAGTGTTGTTGTCCTTCCCCCCACCCCCACCGCACCACCGATAAGCGCGGTTGGCTACGTACGGTGCGAAAGAAGTTTAACATGCGTACCTAATTAGGCCTTTGTCTCACCAGCGGCGATGTTAACACATCGCACCAGGTACTTATTTGAGGCCAAGTCTACCTAGGGGAGGCGCAGGACCGGTTCAGATAATCGTCACTGATGTTGGCCGTGTAGCGCAGCGCGCTAACCGCTACACCACCCGCTCCCCCATACACACACAGACAGACACACAGACACACACACACAGACACAAACACAGACACACACACACACACAGACACACACGCACAGACACGCACACAGACACACACACACAGACACACACACAGACACACACACAGACACACGCACACACATACGCACAGACACGCACACAGACACACACACACACAGACACACACACAGACACACACACGCACGCACACACACACGCACAGACACACACACAGACACACACTGACACAGACACACACACAGACACACACACACAGACACACACTGACACAGACACACACACAGACACACACACAGACACACGCACACACACGCACAGACACACTGACACAGACACACACACACACACACAGACACACACACACAGACAAACACACAGACACACGCACACACATACGCACAGACACACACACAGACACACACACAGACACACACACAGACAAACACAAAGACACACACACACGTACCAGGTCCAGGACGCCCAGGTGATGCGGTCGACTACGGTCTGCTCTGTCACGGGTTTCCCCGTCGGCACCTCGTACACGACGCGCCGGTACGCGCCCGTCGAGACCTGGTGCAGCGTGCCCACGGCAGGGGGGGGGGGCGGGGGGCACAACGCCGCGGCACAACGTCAACACGCGGGGCGTCGGGACAACTCAACGGCGCCGCCACCGACCGTCGGGGCCGAGTTGACCCAGGGGGCTGAGCGAGCTACGAGCTGCCCCCAAAAGGACTTGCGTATGTCCGTCGAACTTGTGAGGAGCGGTGGTGTAGCGGTTAGCGCGCTGCGCTTTGAAACCGGCGACCCGAATTCGATTTGGGTCTATCTGAACCGGTCCTGGGCCTCCCCTAGGTAGACTCAACCTCAAATAGGGACCTGGCGCGGTGTGTAGTAAACATCGCCGCTAGGAACACAAAGGCGGCCGGGGCGTGGTGCTGGCCACCCACCCCTTCGTGTACCCTGGCCGGCTTTCGCAGGCGCTCGCTTAACAGCGCTCGCCCCAACACTCTGCTCACGTACGTACGTTGAGCTTCGTTCGCACCGTACGTAGCCGACCGCGCCAATCAGAGTCCCTCGCCTCCCTGCGGGGCCGGGGGGGGAGGGGGTGGGGGGGGGGGTGGGGGAGGCCGCGCGGAGCTCACCTGGATGTAGCGGCCGTCGGCGGAGAAGTCGAGCTGGATCACGAAGCTGGGCACATCGCGGCAGTAGCCGACGCGTGCCAGCGAGGGGCCCTGGGAGAGGTCGTAGAAGTCGACGGCGCAGTCGCACGAACCGACGGCCAGGTAGCGCGAGTCGGGGCTGAACCTGGCTCCGCGCCGGCGGACGCACACGCGCGGGCAAGGACGACGTTACGGGCGGCCGGAACCTCGTGCCGTTTACACGTCGGCCGGTGCGGCGCTGGGCCGGTGGTGGGGCCGGCACCACGCCGAGGCCGACCGCCTTCGTTTCAGCCTCCCCCGCAAAAAGGGGTTCAGACATTCGCTACGGACGTTGGCCGCGGCCGGCGACGGGAGCCAGGCGTGGGCAGCGTGCCAACCCGCCAACCCGCCAACCCGCCAACCCGCCAACCCGCCAACCCGCCCCCCGGCCCGCTCACCTGATGTCCTGCACGGTCGACTTGCGGTCGCGCTTCTTGCCCCACACCTTCATGGAGGCCACCACCAGCAGGATGAACTCGCCGTTCTCCAGGCCGATGGCCACCATGTCGCCGTCGGGGCTGTAGGCCGCCGAGCGCGCCGCCTGGCCGAGGCTCACCTTGTTGACGGGGCGCTGGGGGCGACGGGGGGGGGGGGGGGGGGTGGGCGGGGGGCGAGGTTCGTGGGAGTTAGTGGAGTCAGCGGCACGGCTATCGAGTGTGCAGGAGGTATGACCGCACCGAGACCCGCGGGTTGGAGGAGGCCAGGCGCCAGGCTAAGGAGAGGGGGAAATTGGAACAGGCGACGTCGCTCCCATCGACTGCAGAGCTCCAACGGTGTCAGGGATCGGTAACCGAGTTCTGTGTTTGACCCGTGTAATTGTTATTAGAGTCGCATCGTCGCATGAGTGAAATGGCAATGTGCGTCGTACGTGTTCTGCCGGTCTTGTGAAACACGAATCGGTGTCTATGGTCTCCATTCTCCTCGCAGCCGAATCCGACAGCCACGTCAGAGTATCAATTAACCGATGGTTAATCACCGCGTCGATTCATTAGCCAGCAAAGTCATCCCACTGGTGAGTGTAGCGTCGTGTCAAACGCTGCCCCCCCCCCCTCCCCCCGTTTCGTTTGATTGGCAAACATCTGCATAATCGGTGAACGATTTGCTCCCAGCCCGCTCCGATCGTATATCACAGTGCCCACCCCGCGCTGTGCGTGTGACCCCAACCTCCCCCCGCCCCCCCCGGGGCACCCACGGCACCTTGTCCGCGATGTCCCACATGCGCACGGTGCCGTCGTCGCTGGCCGACACGGCGGCGTCGCGCGACGGGTGGGCTGCCAGCCCCCAGATGGGGCCGCGCGTGTGCCCGCTCATCAGGATGTTGGAGGCCGCGTTCTTCTCGCCGACCTCGATGATGTCACCGTCGCGCGTGCCCACCAGGATCTTGCCCTGAGCACGCACGCAGGCACGCGGCAAGGCGAGGATCGTAGGCTGGCGTGGCCCCGCGAAAGAGAGAGCGGTGCGGCCGGATTTTTCCTGCTCGGCCCGAGCTTTAAACATCCGCGCGGTGACGTTCACGCACCACAATGGAAACTCATTTCAAGGGCGAGCCGACCTAGGCCAGGGCCCAGGACTGGTTTTCGGATATCGCCGCCGCTGATTTTGGCCACGGCCAGCAGTGGAATTCAGGTCTCTGGTTTTGTAGCACAGTGCGCTAACCACAATACCACCGCTCAAAACAAGAGTCGAAGTTCCCCCCTACGAGCTGCGTAGACGTTTAGGGCAGGTGTTGTTAGCGAGCACCTAGTGAGGCTCCCTATTCGCATACATCCATATACACCAACAAAACATACACACACACACTCACACATGCACGCGTGCATTTGGAGGCCTGATCGCCAAAAAGGGGCTATTATTGAGAGATTTCCAATTGGCGATTCAATCGGGAACGTTGTTACCTTTCCCCGGCAGACGGAGCGTACGCAGTCCAGCAGCTGCCCGGTCTCCAGCTGGAAGGCTCGGCAGCGTTTCATCTCCTGGTCCCACAGTTTCACGGCGCCGCCCTCTTTGCTCCTTGATAGAGGGGGGGGCGACAGGCGACGGGGCCAGAGTCGGGGATGGACGCGAGAGGACGGGCGACGGGGCCGAACGGCGGAACGGACGACGCGTTGGGAGCGGTGGGAGAACGGAGGAACGGACCGACGGTGGGTTCGTTCCTGTGCCCTTTGGGAACGCTGCTCAAGGCCGGCTGCTGAAAGGTGGGGCGTTGGTGGCCTGGTGGCTCACGGGGTACAGAGACAACGAGTCGGCACCTGGGTTTCTGGTGCGCGTGACTAAACCGGTTTCCCAGGTGTGAGCGGGGCAATGGGCTGTTAATATTAGGCTGGCTGATGGACTAGTAGAGACGTGGACGAAATGGTGCGCAGGCTGACTCGCAAACAGGTGGATGAACTGGTAGACAGGTTCGCTGGTGGACCGGCCGGCTAGCCGGCCGGCCTGCAGACTGGCGGCCGAGCGGATCGTCGCGCACTCGACTCACGGGCGCTCCTTCCCCCCGGTGACGATGAGGCCGTCCTTGAGTGTCGTGTACATGGAGAATACGGGGCCCGTGTGCGCGCGCGCCACCAGGCGCACCAGCACGTGCTCGCGCCACACGTACACGTCGCCGCTCAGCGAGCCCGTGAACGTCAGGCTGTTCTGCGGGTCACGGGGGGGGGGGGGGTGTGGAGCAATTGGAGAGAGATTGGGATGAGGTACAGTGGGAGGTGTGTGGAGGAGAGGGATGGGTAAGAAAGAGGGTGAGACGTGGGGGGCAGGCACAGAGAGGCGTTACAGTTATCAACAGCGGTGGGACAGGAGATGAAACACCGTTGACGCACAACCGAGAGTTCATTTGGAAGTGAAATTCGAGCACGGAGATCGAATCGCCCGCATTGTGCCCCCTCCCCCCGCCCCTCTCCCTATCATCTGCACCATTTAACATCACCGATGTTAGGTAATTTGTCCGGGAGACATTCTTTGGTTTAGTTGTGTGGCTACAGTTAAGATTTGTCAAATGTAAATTACAGGAAACTTTACCCAATGCAGCTGTATTGATCGCGCGTTTTGGCTCTACACGGTTGATTTGCGACCGTGCTAAGATCACCACCTCTGCACTTGAGAACGCGGTTTAATCACGGCACACTCAGACCTGGAATTTGGGACCTCAGCGGTGCTGGCTTAGTGTCTCTGACACGGCCATTATGAACGTACTGAGCCACCTAGCCACCCTAATGTGAATTATATTACCGTACTTTCCATTGAAAGTTACTCTGATGTGATCTTTGAGTTGTCAAGATTCAATTTTCCCGCATGCCCCAAAATAACAATCCCACGATTACAAACTCCGCGTGCTTCATCATCTACCTCACAGTCACAGACCCACCATCACCCCCCCCCCCCACCACCCCCCCACCACCATAACCGCCCCCCCCACCACCCCCACTACCCCTCCACCACCCCCCACCACGCCTCCATCCCCCCCCCCCCACCACCACCCCCACCACCCCCCCCACCACCCCCCCCGCCGGTAGTTCCCACGACGGCTCTCGTTGCACTCACAGCCCCAAAGGCGAGCGACAACATCGTCTGCACGCGGGCGCCCTCGACGGGTCCCAGGACGCCCTTCTTGGCGAGCAGGACGCCGCCCGCCAGGGTCCAGAACTTGACGCTCTTGACGCCGGCCGTGACGAGTTGCGAGTCCGAGTCCGGGCGGAACTCGGCGGCGAACACCCGCTCGCTGTGCCCCGCGCGGCTCGACACTCGTGCGCCTGGCGGAGAGGTGAGATGCAAAACAAAGTCGTGTAGTTTGACGTGTGTGTGTGTATATATATTTGTTTACCCTTTCTGTACTTTGCCCTCCTATCTCGTTAGCTGCTGTGACGTTCCGATGCAGTGCCCCCAACTGGACATCTGTGAACAAGAGCTTCGTAGCTCATCGGATTCCTCCAGTATAAATAAAGATTGTGATTCTGCTACAGGAGGTCGTCCAGACCTTGACACCTGCTGTATATTTGGAGTTTGCGTGTCTCTCTTCCCGTGGTCTTGTCAATTTTTCTCCGGGTCCCCCGGCTTGTCCCTCCACCTTTAGAAACACGCGTTTGGAGTATTTGGCTGCTATAAATGTCCACGTGATGAGCCACTTTGTTGAGCTATCATTTGTGGCCAGGTCGTTTCTGAAAAAGAGCTACAGTTTAGTAGTAGTTTGAGTGTGCCAACCGTGCTAATCGGAGATGTGGTTGTAACGTATCGGTTGCACGCGGTTGCAGTGCATCGATATGTGGTTGCAGTGTATCGATTGCACGTGGTTGCAGTCTATCAAGGTGTGATTGTAGCATATCGATCGCCCGCGTGAGGTGTGGGGGGGGGGGAGGGGGAGGGGGCTGTCTCTCACCCTCTTGCCAGCGCCACACGGTGAGCGTGTGCTCGGGGTCGGCGCCGACGCTGACGAGCAGCCGCCCCGTGGCGCTGAACCCCACGCCGCAGACCGCGCGGGCGTGGCCGCAGCGCAGCACGGCCAGCGTCTGCTTGGAGGTGGCGTCCCACACGTGCACACTCGGCACGGCACCTACGCGCACGCGCGCACGCACGCACGCGCGAGCTCACACACGTGCGCGCGCGCGTGTCTTCGAGGAAAGTTGAACTTCCTTCGCGCCGTACGCAACCAGCCGTGCCAATCGGAGGTGCGGGGGAAGAACAACAAAACTACAAAAAGCAGTTCTAGATAAATTGCGGTTTTCAATTTGGATTTAAAAGTGCACAAAACTCAAGTGGCTTCCTAACGTCAGAAGGCAGAGCATTCCAGACGGCCGCAGAAGCGCATATGAAAGCATGCGATACAGTGGTCGCCCGCGTTCGATGGCTTGCAATCGAACACGTACACGGACATGCACACGTGTACACGCAAAGATCCCCCGTAGAGTCTGTTAGCGAGCATCTATGAAGGCCAGCACGTTACACAAGGGGGTCGGTGGCCAGAACCTCGCCCGACCGCCTTTGTCTCCCCAGTGACGATGCTTACACACCGCACTAGGTACTCACTTCAGGCTGAGTCGAACTAGGGGAGGCCCAGGAATAGTTCAGTGTTGGCCATGAGCGAAAATTTTACTCGGGTCGACGGGTTCGTAGCGCAGCGCGCTAACCGCTACACCGCCGCTCCCCTTACACAAAGACAAAGATCCCCCCGTATAGCCTTGACAGACTGTTGGGGAAAGTGCTGTTGGCGAACATCTATGAAGGTCCCATAACAACAACCGCCATTTGCCACTAAGTGGCGGTGACGTCACCACGGCGCTTGTGCCAGGCTATGTGCACGTTAAGGCCCACACACACACGCAGGTACATGCACGCGATTACACGCAAGACAAACACACGCACATTCATAGATACGTTCCAACGCCACTGCTGGTGCTGCCACCGCAGACGTTACGTCGCACACGTGGAGTGTGCGATGCGTAGTCCAGACGATGCAAAGTCAGCGTCGAATTTGACCATTCGTGTTCAATGAGCAAATACCCCATGCCATGCACGCACACACCGGATCGAGCGTCTACGTACGAGGTGGCGGTCAGTACCATTTGAGAACTTGGATATTAAAACTTGGCCCATTGTGGGCAACTTCGCCAATGGGCCATGAAAAAGGGCCATTGCCCGAAACGTCACCGAATTTACATTTTATCTTCCAAGGCCCACGCAGTCTTATTGACGAACGTGTGGAGTTAGTTGTTTTTGGTTTTCAGTGCTTCTTGCACCACTGTACCAACACAGTGTCACCAAATAAAATGCTCACCTTGCCGTGACATATCAACCTTTGTACTTATTAAAATGTTTTTTTTTAAGTCACTTCATTCAAAATCAATCGTATTATGGGATATATGTATATTTTAGCTACGGCGTACTATACGGACTATAAAACGTGGCAAGTATGAAATTAAACACGGTCTGTGCATTTTTTTAATATCTGGTTTCACAAATGGCTGACTGCCCCACAGGTATGTATATATGTGTGTGTTCAAATATAAAAACACGCATGCACATTCCACTGATGTCCTATTGTCATCGAAGTTATGTTAAAGGACCCTGCGATGATTCGGGAGGTGGCACGATGCGGTGCGATTCGGTACAACCGCGCCCGATTCAGAAGCCCACGCTACACAGACAACGCCCGAATCGTTCCGTTCATCCACGTCTCAGAGATGTTAGCCAAGACAAGGAATGGCACGGTGAATTCATCGACTGGACACCTGTGAAAAAAAGAGCTTCACAGCTCTTCGGATTCTTCCAGTGGAAAAAAATATTCTTCTTCATCTCCAGCTCGCCAACCCCTCGCCGCCCGCTCACCCCGCCATTTAAACGAGACCACGTTGCTGTGTATTATCTCATTGCTCGCGTGTGCCGAGCAGGAATTGCTCGTATCCGCGTTGAACTGGGTTCTCAAGTGCAGTGAGTGGATGGTCTCAGCCCGGACCGCAGAGAAAGAGGGGAAAAAATGATCAGGTCAATATACTTGGTTTCAGGAACTTCATTTGGCTTCATTTCAGCACCAAGCATGAAGCTATATCAGATTGGCTGCCATGTGATGAACATTGCTCTCTGTAGCAGGGTGAGTGGGAAAGTGTTGCCGCCTCTTTCACTTTAGAGAGATCTCGGAGGCAGCTCTGTGATATCTACCTCTGTGGACCGGTCTCTCGCAAGGAGTACTGGAGACCGGTCTCTCGCAAGGAGTACTGGACTGCCCTGTGAAAGATCAGAAGGCATACCTCACCTCATGGTATGATGCCGATAACACAATCGATGAAATAAAATTGGTGGAAAAGTGTACGCACGAACTAGTAGACAGGTTGTCTGGTGGACTAGTCGGCAGGTGGATGAACTGGTAGACATCGGAATACGACCATCTCCGATAGCGGTGTCGATGAGGCGGTCTCTGAACGGCGATTACCGAACCCTACCGCTGAGTTGCTCTTCACTGGCACGAGTGCAAATCGAGACGAGGGGCAAAGCCTCTGCCGCTTGTGAACTCAAGATCAGCCCCTTGACGAGCGGGGCGTGCGCTGTTGTTTTCTCCGAATGGGCAACAAGCACAGGACATTGTAGACAACCAGGCGAGAGCGAACGGGCCGATGTCCGCGCGGTAGAGGAGGCAAGATGCGGCCATGGAACCCACGTTACCTACGGCCCTCTCAACCTGCAGTATTCCTTCGGGTAAATGGGATTTGTGGAAAAGACCGACAGGGATAAGAGGCGCCCCCCCTTCTCCGTGGTTATGATCAGAAATCCAGAAAAATCCACGAAGGCTCACTCTTGCAGATGTTGGTTGCACTTTAAGAGTACACGACATGCACGGGCAATAGGCGAGTGTTGATTCACCGACCCAGCGATTCAATTGAAGAATCGGCATAATCGCTTCCAATTTAAATAGCACTCTCGTTATTTCTCCCGTTTGCAAAGTTTTATCCAAACCGTTCTCCTAAATGTAAACATTAGCATATAATTTGACCGAAACTAAAAGAAATAAAAATTCGCACATGCACGATTCGCGGTGTGTGTGTATCGCGAGCCAAAATAATGTTACGTCATCAGTGAATAGACGTCTAATCCTTACATGCCTATTCATCAACAAGCAAGCATTTCTCTGGATTTCTCATCTAAGCACAACGCAAATGACTATCAATTTTTGTTTTAATTATTGGCGCTCGCTAAAGGACGACCGCGACAGCGGCGTGCAGACGGCACGCGGGGGGGGGGGGGGGCCTGTCAGCCGTCACTCGCGTGGACTCGGCGGCTGGTCCACGCCGTGACGACGACGACGTCGTCACACTTGCAGCAGTGCCGGCCCCCCACTCGACATCGCCCGCAGCGCACGCGGCTCCAGTCCGAGTCGGGAGCTGCGAGCCGCTCCGGGTTTTACTCTGCGCCGGGCAGCGCTCTCGTGGTGTGCCGGGCGCGCACAGGGAGCGTCCAGCGATGATTTTGTTGCCGCACGCGAAACGACCCGAAGATCCACGGAGACGAGTGGGGCGGGCGACTTTAGTCTTTTTTGTTTTTGGGTGAACTTGTGAACAACAGCCATATCAGACATTAGTGCATCTAATCGGCATAATCATTGCTTCACTGCAGCTCAAAGACTCAGTCCCGACAAGGCGAGCGGTGTAGTTAGGAAGATATCCATGTGCCCGGCATTTGAAGGCCTGAAGACCGGAATCAGTGATGTCGCCGACAATGTGTTCAGGGAGGCAGTTTGCGAGCACTTATTAAAAGGTTTGCCCCGAGCACGGATAAACACGCCTTGCAACTGAAGTGACCTCAGAAGTTGTTACGTGGTGTCATCTTCCAAGGAACGTGCTTCGACACAAGGTTGCTGCATTGCTTGCCGCAGAGTTATGCATGGAGATTCCTTTGCCGCATGAAGTGATGTCGATTGCAAAAGTGTAATATTACTGTGGGAGGAGGGGGGAGGGCAGGAAGCGAAACCTACATTTGAAAAAATGAATGAACGGGCAGCTGTATTGGCAAGCCACAAAGCTCGGATGAGATGAACCTCCCAGCTGGACTGGAGCCACGTTGGCAGCTATACTAAGCCATGAAGGGAAACATTCTAAAGGCCGGTGCATTGAAGAAACTTTGATAATGAAGACAATTATTCAAAACGCCAGCAATTAATAATGATTGAGACCAAAACAATCACCCTACTGTTGGACCAGCAGTTCACAGAGACTCATGCTTGGTACAACGTGCATTGAAATGTTATATGTACGATTCCTCAATAATAATTGGAAAATAAAACAACAAAGCGCTCCTCCGACATCGCTCTGGCCACACCAAATTTTCAAAGGCGTGACAGGCTGACGGAATCCGTCGCTCGCTAACTCTACAGCCGCAACGAAGTGACGGACGCGCGTTCGCCCCGGAGCGTCCGAACAACTGGACGTCACCGGCCCTTTGAAAATCTGGTCCGCAAGGCGCGCGAGGCGGATATTCGAAGATGCGTCCGTCCGTCCATCCAGGCGCTCAGTGGGAGTGCCAAGACATCCCAGGAATGTGATCGCGAGTGCATTGTTACCTTTTTGTTTTCTTTTTACCAACATTTTTCCATCAACATTATCTAGCACATTATTAAGCAGCTTTTATGATTGGAAGGGCTTCCACACAGCTGGGGAACCGAATTGAAGTCGGACGTGGAATTTTAACGTGCAGTCGATTGGAGATCTGTTCTTGCACATCACATCTCGCTTGGTCTCAGCACCGCCTCGCTCTGGGCGCGGGGCGATCGCCACCGAGGTCCAACGAGGAATGCGAACGGCTTACGGAGGAGCCCAAAACGCGTACTGAGCAAGCGGCCGAGACGGGGAAAACCCACGCTGATTTCCGATTGGACAAATCGCTGGGCGACGACGCCGCTGCGCTGGGCGGCGGCGGTGCGCGAGCACAATTGTCGGAAACAAAAAACCACAGCACGCGTTCCCTGCGTCAGCAACACCGTGGCCTTAAAAGAACAATCATATACTATATAACATCGGTGATGTTTGGGACAAATGATCCTTCTTCGTAGTGCATAGACAGCAGACTCGACCTCTCTGGCCTCTCCGCGAAGCTACGAAGAAAGGTCACAGCTTCACCGGAACGGATTGATAGGATGGTCTGAGTGTTTGAGGGCCTTCCGAATGGGAGTCCATGATTTAATTGTATTCTGTAGATTTTGCCACATACAATCGTAGTTTATATATATGTTCAATCGTTTGTTTAACGCCAAAAACGTCAAGGTATCAGAGTCAATACACGGGCTTACGAAACAGGAATTTGTTCAAAGCAAATTTGCAACCATAAAAATCGAACGCTTATTTAACTGAAACGACGCACCTGCCCTGCGCATCTTGGGCTCACTTGACCATTGCTTTAAAGTAGTTTTTTCTCGTTAACAAAAGTTTCAAACTCACAACAGACAATCCCAGGACACGCAAGCGAAGGCGTCTATCCACAAATGAACGTGGCCATTGCGCTTATTTTTAGGGTTGCGTAAATTTCTTTGACACAATTCCCAAAAAATAGGCCCCTTTCAACCGCGCGACACAATCGAGCGTGGAAATGCATAGCAATCAACGACGTGGGTCCACGAGCAAGCCACAAAAGCTCTTACCTGCCATATCAGCGATATCACCTGCGCAGCAGAAAGCGACGGTACAGCATTGCGTCGAAATGGGGATGCGGGTTGAGCGTGGAGAGAGGGGGCAAGAGGGCATGGCGATGGGGGGGGGGGGGTAGGGGAGAAGGGCGTGGCCAGAGTGGTTCAGGGGCAATCGAGGAAATGGGTCCAGGCGGTGCAAGGGAGAGGTTCACGCGGTAGAAGGTCAAAAGGGGCGGGGTGATGGTTGACGACAGCCGTTGGGGATGGAGCGGCACGGGGCGGTGCGAGTGGTTCCGCGATAGAAGCGAGGAAAGGGAAATGGTCAGCAGGAAAGCGGGGGGGGGGGGGGGGTGGTGGTGGGGAGGGGAGCACATTAATGAGATTGTCGAGTCACAAAGCGAGCGTGGAGTCAGGGGGGGTGGGAAGGTGGGGGCAGCAGTGCATACGACATTGTCACGGGGGGGGGGGGGGGTTACGTTAAGTTAGTTCAGTTTATTTTACTTAACCAGGTGAGAACTCAAGATAGCAGGAGAGTCTCATTTGCATGAGCGACCGGGAGCATCGGTCTACCAGCACGGGGGTTGACGATTGCTGCTGCTGTGTGTATAACCCCGCTTACGTAACATGCGGTGTAATCATCCAATCATCCAAAGACGCCGGCAACGCAACGGCCTACTCTTGCTAATGACGTTGGAGGATCTTTCACGTCCCCTGGTGAAGCAGGCGGCTCGTGGGATTGTCATGGCTGCTCCTGCTCCCGCAGTATTAATCGGGCCACGTCACCGCCACGTGGGGGGAGCGGCGAGGGAGTGGGGGGGGGGGTAGCGGGGTGGTGGGGGGAGGGGGGCTAACACGGACACGGCAGAAGCGGGGGTGCGCGATGTCGCGATCGGTCGGGGCCCCGAGCGGTGGCAGGGCCGGCGGGGGCGGGGGGGGGGGGCGAGTGGCGGCACCGGCGACGCACGTCGGAACACGACGACTTCCAAAGCGCTCGCTCGTTTCTGCCCGGTACTCGGCCAATGAAGCGCACAATGTAAACAAAGACAAAGGATCCCCTCGTGTAGCCTGAACAGACTGGTGGGGGCAAGTGCTTTTAGCGACCACCTATGAAGGCCGGCATGGCGCGCGAGGGGGTTGGTGGCCACCACCACGCCATCGTCTCCACAGTGGAGATGTTTTTGCACACTCAATTTAGGCTGAGTCGACCCAGGGGGAGGGTTTAGATAATCGGCACTGGTGTCGTCCGTGAGCGGGAATCAAACTCGGGTCGCCGGGTTTGTGGCGCGGCGCGCTAACCGCTGCACGACCGCTCCGCCCGCAATCTGCACGCACACACGCGCGCAGTTAACATGTGAATAGGCCCAATGGTAATGCGGGCGATGGAAATGACCCCGAGCCGTGGCCTCCGTCACAAGCGTGACGTGGGTTGAACCACACGGAACGCTTGAGGCAGATGTCGGCTTTCCTCCGCCCCACGCGGGTCCACTTGGTGCGATTTTGCGCCGTCTGTACGGCTGACCCAGGGGTCGACAACCCGTGGTTCCGGAGCCGCGCGCGTCACTTTGAGGACCCTCCTCGTGACCGTTGTTTATTTAGGGCCACCACCGTCTCGCATCCGCCACCACCGTGCACTGCGGCTCTTGAAATACCGTTTTTTTTGTTTAAACCCGAATCCGTAAAACAACGTCTCTTCTCCTTGTTTTGGTTTCTAGCCCAAAGTTCTCTGCGTGCAGTTCGAATTCACGCTACGTGCGGCTACGCGGTCGGACTCGGGACAACATTGCGCGCGTGTACCGTACGCGCTACTCGCATGGTGCGATGCAACTGTGGAACCTGCCGCGCTGCCCACTGCTGGCAACGTAGCCCCGCGGCAGCCTACAGCCCCTGTTTTGTTCCGGTAATAAGCCCATCCGAGCACTCGCAAGGGCTCGGTCCTTCCTAGCTTCCGAGATGAAACCAACTTGGTATTATTAGGTTCAATATGGCGATTTCCCTCGACTCCAACGGGGTTGCATAATTAAACCGTTGCATTAATGCCACAGCGGTAACGTCCCGCGTGCCCTTTACCAGAGGCGCGCACACTTTGGAGACTTTTCGCTCTTCGGCGAGACGATCAGCGGCGAGGAGCCGTCGCACCTGAGCGCGAGGCTCACGTCGCCTCCGCCGAGACCGACATCGCCCAACCGCTCCGCCGGCCGTGCGCCCGTATCAACCGTACCCACCACCAAGCGCGGCCTTCTGCCCTCCCCCCCCCCGCCCGCCCGCCCCATATAATCAAGGCCGTCTCTGCTCTCTCTCTCTTGTGCCTTACATCTCTCGTTATTTCTTGAAGGTCATTCGGCTGAAATGTGAAGAAGAGTCTTTCCCATTCGGTGACGGTAATCAGGTTTTTATTTATTATATATATATTAACCTGTTGTTCATTATGAAAGTTAATTTGGTAACGGCTTGCTATGTTATGCAATTAGAGCACAGCTGTCAATATTTGTGTTCTTATCAATGCAATAACCTTAGTCGTTTGTAAGATATAATCATTTACAGCCCTTTGTCAATCCACTACTGGATGAAGGCCTCCTCCTCATCACACCTTTCACGATGCGGGTTGTTTGAGAATTGGGTACTAGTTTGATGAAGCGGGCCGGAGCCAGAAACCGCTTCAGATATTGCTTACCACTCAAGTTAGCCGTGGCCGGTCGTTGAACTCGGGGTCGCGCGCGGGTGGAGGGGGTTCAGAGGGCCGTGTGCTAACCACCACCATCACCACCACCCCAGCTGGCCGGGATTAATTGGCAGTTCTGAGAAGTCTGCTTCAGCAGTGGTTGACTCGCCGCCCTGCGAACGTTTCCCAACGAACCAATCCACGACGCGACGAGGGAGGCCGACTTCAAGAGCGGGGGGGTGGGGGACGGTCGGATGGGGTTGCAGGGAGAATAAAGCGCTCGGGGCCGAGATGTGCATGGTGCCACAGAGGGTGTGGGTCGTACCGATTTGCCCGGTGGCTACGACGTTCTTGAACTTGGGATGCTGGTTGACGGTCAGGCAGAGGATGTCGTCCGTGTGCTCCAAGTAGAAGCTCTGGGAACCTGGGCGAGAGTAGAGCAAGCGGGTCCATCACTCACTCCGTCACCTATTGAAACAATTTTATTTGACCAGGAAGGGGCCCACTGAGCTATGTAGCCCTTCTTCAGAAGTGACCTGGCCCACAAATGATAGCTCAACAAAGTGGCTTATCGCGTGGAAATTTCTAGCAGCCAAACACTCTAAACATAGCTCTGTTTACATTTTAAATAAAGCATATCTTGGTTCATCTTCATATCTTGGTTTATATATATATTTTAATGACTATTGATTTCTTAAAAGTTTAAGATTTATTGTATTTTTTATACTTTAAATGAAGATATACATGGCTGATTTTGATGTCAATAACAATAAAGTGTAAATAATAATGTGTGTATCATGGTAAACTATATTTGGGGCCAAGGTGTTAATTAAATATATTAATATATATTAAAAATCCAGCCACCACTAACATCAATACCATACAGTGAATAACATTAAAACCATTAAAAGTCTATTTGTGAAAAAAATATACACTCCGCTTCCCAATACACTTAAGCTGCAAGGGTAAACATTGCTGAATAAACATAAAAAAACATTAAACAATCTGAACATGATGCACAATATCGCCTTTAATGCATTAATTACTGGCTCAACATTAGCAAAAACAAACTCCTCCCACGGCCAAAATTAACATCAGGCTCTTGAGTAATGTGGCAAAGAACACCCCTACATTAACATATTTTCATGTCCTCTGTAAGTTAAAAAAACATTTTCCAACATCGTTAGACCACAAAGCATGATGCGTTCAAGCACAACGACTTGTTAAGATGAAAGATACTCGAGCAACAAAGCTTCATGTGAAATACACAATGGCTGCGGTTCACTAATTGACGGACAGCGGAACACATCTCCTGACAGGAGCCAATCGCGATAGAGTTATCCGCCAACATCAGTGATTACGCGACTGTCTGAAAATTAAAGATTGTGCCCAATATGTTAGAGATTGAAGCTTCTTAAGTCACTCAGCACTGTGGGATGGCAAAGCAAAACTGCCCATCACATTTTTGGCCAATTGCGAACTTCATGAATGTCTTTGAAATTTAGACATTCTGAAAACCCATGACAGCTCAACGACAAGCCACGCCGGTTATTAATCACACGTAGCAGGGCTAATATCCAGCAGCGCTAAGAGAATAATCATGATTAAAACTTGTAATGCGCCACCATCGCCGCTGTATTATCTCTTGAGAGAATGACTCAAGGGAGAGAGAATGACTCGGGGAGAATGACTCGGAAAAAGAGAGAATGACTCGGAGAGAGAGAATGACTCGGAGAGAGAGAATGACTCGGAGAAAGAGAATGACTCGGAGAGAGAGAATGACTCGGAGAGAGAGAATGACTCGGAGAGAGAGAATGACTCGGAGAGAAGTACACGGAAAAAGAGAGAATGACTCGGAGAGAGAGAATGACTCGGAGACACGAGGAGGAACCACAGATAAGTGGAAAGGCAGCAGCGGCCACACAGTGAGTCGGCACCACATTCCCCCCAAGCTCTGGCGGTCCTCTATATATTAATGATTAAACTATTTATTTCACCAGGTAAGGCCCACCGAGCTACATAGCTCTTTTTCAGAAGCGACCTGGCCACAAATGATAGTTCAACGAAGCGGCTTATCATGTGGACATTTATTGCAGCCAATAAATGTGGAAGGAAAAACCGGAGGACCCGGAGACAAATCCACGTGACCACGGGGAAAGATACATATGGCAAACTCCAAATTTACACGTGTCAGGGTGGGGATCGAACCCAGGCGAGGTAGCTAACATCTCGCCACAATGGTGGCAAGGCGTGGTCAGCCAAACCTGTTGTCCTTCCCACGCGCCTCCGATTAGCACAGTTGGCTACGTACGCTGCGAGAGAAGTTCAACGTACACGCGCAGTGGACGCGCGTGCGCACGTACCCGTTGCGAGGTTGTGCACTATGGCCACGGACGCCGTGTGGTAGACGATGTCGGCCCCGTCGTTCAGGTAGTGGAGGTTGTTGCGGCAGTCGAAGCCGCGGTAGCCGAACACGTGCTCCAGCGAGAGGTCCTAGTTGGGGGCGGTGGGGGGAGCGGCGGTGGGGGGAGATGGGAGATGGAACGGATGGGGCGGCGCCGCGATGTTCCGCTTCTGCTGCTGCCGCTGCTGCGCCAGCGCGCCACTGTGCAGGTGCAGTTAACGGCAACCGAGTGAACACGTTTGTCAAGAACGCCGCGGCCTATATAGCAGGCGACGTTCTGGGGCAATAGCAATTCTTCACAGCGCATAATTACACTGGCCGGAAGGATCATGGAGTGGATATTCAGAGTTGGAGGCTGCACTTTACACCACCTTTTGGCTAGTCATCGAACAAAGATGGTCACTGCATCGCGCGCTTTCAAATGCGCTTCTGCGGCCGTCTGGAACACGCAGGGCATGTTTGTTTGCATGTTTTGCCAAAGGTAGGTGTGGTCAACGCAGACTTGATGCCTTGCAATAGGTATGTATTTGGTGTTTGGATACCTTAACAGCGGGAGCTGAGTTCTCGAACAAAGGTCGATCTACATTGCCACCCTCACCTATCGTCATGTGCTTTGGGTAATGACCGAAAAGATGACATCGCGGGTACAAGGGGCCGAAATGAGGTTTCTCCGCAAGGTTGCCGGGCTCAACCTCCGTGATCGGGTGAGGAGCTCGTCAATCCGGGAGAACCTCCGAGTCGAGCCGCTGCTCCTCCAGATCGAGAGGAGCCAGTTGAGGTGATTCAGGCACCTGGTAAGGATGCCCCCCCGGTAGACTCTCCCTGGAACTCTACCGGGCAGCAGCAACGTCGCACTGGGCGGAGACCCCCGGGGGCCGGCCCAGAACACGCTGGTGGGACTATGTCGTTCGGTTGGCCTGGGAATGCCTGGGAATTCTCCAGGAAGAACTAGAGTGTATCGCCGGGGAGAGGGAGGTCAAGATCACCCTACTCAATGTGCTGCGGCCACAACCCTCACCAGGACAAGCCAACTGAGGAACGAACGAAAGGTGAAAAACGTTCATCTTAACACCTCCTGTGTTTTGATTTAAAGCTTTCGTGACTGCAGGGATTCATATTCTTTGTTTTTTCGGTAAAGTCACATAGAGGGGAAACAATAAAATAACAAAAATATAAAACGATAAAATTCTCACGAGGTTTCTTGCTGTGGTTTTCACACCTGATGATGATTGCTTGTGTTGCAGTCGAAACGTCGTGAGAATTTTATCGTTTTGTATTTTTATTATTTTATTGTTTTCCCTTCTACGTGGTGACTTTACCGAAAGAACCAAGAATATGAACCTCCTGTGTGACTGCCAAAACGGGTTAAAGCCTCGTCTTTTTTTCGTCTTCATAATGTTGATACCGGCAAAAAAAGGGGTCCCATAGATGAATACGTGTTTTTTGTTTGCTTTAAGGCATGACGTAGCACAAAAAACAGTGTGAGATTCCATCCAAATCTATTCACGGACCATCGGGCAGGACTGCAAGATGTTTCTAACCTCGATCGGTTTGCGTTTCTTCCCCACGTTGTTCTTCTGAACCTTGTCGGGCATGGCGAGGGAGCGGCTGAGCACTGGCCTGGTCAGACGCAAGGGACGTGCATTGTTATTGCTGTTATTATTATTGTTATTAGAGCTACGACTATCATCGTTATTACCGTCACCGTCATCATCGAATGTCTCGTGCGAGTAGAGTGTATGTGAAAAATAAATTCACACGTGTCACCCTACCTGGTTCCTCTGTAAAAGAGCGTTGGCATACAAAGGATCGACTCACAGAGCGAGGCCGCGGTGGAAGGCAGCCAAGCGAGAGAGGATGGGCAAATGTACACAGATTCACACAGACAGACCGAACAATGGCCAGACGGATGCATCAGACAGACAGCCAGACACACACAAACACAAATATACAGACAAACAGCAGCATTGATGGTAAGACAGAGACAAACACAAAAACAGGACAAAGAGACCAACCAAAGACACATGTTATGCCGTCAGCCGCAGTCCAGGGTTAAGTTTAACTCCACTATGAGACGTACAAAGTCAAACAATCGATGTTCTAAGGAATTTTACATATTTACAGAATGAACGGATCATTGATCAATCGTGCATTTCAAAAGTTTAATTAACATCCTCTTACAATTTCACACATTTTCTAAATAACGATAACTTTTTTTTTACCAACAGGCATCACTAGAGACGATATTGGTGTGTGTGAGAACCAGAAACGAGACCAACAACAACAACAACGTGCAGAGCCGTCCCTCGGGTGGACGGCAAATCGGGGCCCCGCGCTTTTGCCCCCCCCCCACCCCTCCCGGCGCTACCACGTCACGGTGGGGTTCGCACCCCAAGCCCCGCACCCCCCACCCCACCCCATGGACGGCCCTGACAACGTGAGTCACGTGCTTACATTAAGAACTGAACTGGAACTAAATAGTTGCACACGATATGGAGGGAAAATTCAACACCCGATCAATTATTCCTGATCTCCTGCTCAGACGAGCATTAATGAGGCGGTGCTCATCTCCCGTTTTGCAGCCCTGAGTCAGTGATGGAAATTCCACATTACTATGATGGGGGAGGGGTAGTCTATCCACAGGACAGACCGCTGTTGACTTCCCTACAAAGTGTTACTCGAGTCATCAACCCGCAGAGGAACGATGGGCCGAGTCAACTCAACAGCCAGGATTTGAACTCGCAACCTTTAGGTTGGGAGGAAGCTGCTCGCCCTAAGCGCTGGAGCTAAAACAACGGCGCTCTGCCTCCACTACCCTGGGCACTCGGCGTAACGTGCAGATCCGTCGAGCTATTCCTTCAAGCGCTGAGGCGCTACACCGAGACTGAGTCGCTCGGGAGTCGTCGAGCGAGTGAGCGAGCGAGGGTGGGAGCGAGCGAGGCTTCTCTTTCACGTACGGTTGAATTAATTACCACGTGCAAATAACAGAGGTGCTTTGGGTTAGATCGCGTAACCCAAAAAAAACCTCTATTATGGATGATTTTGGGTCCCGAAAGCCTACGTGTTAAACTACAACGTGCAAGTCTACACTCACGTTACGCCCCGACCGGCCTAGGACCCAACCACGGGGAGAGAGACATGCAAACTCCAAATATACAGCAGGTTCCTCTTCTTTGGTTCTTTCGGTAAAGTCACGTAGAATGAGAATAAAATAATAAATTAATAAAATAACACGATCAAATTCTCACGACGTTTCGGCCACAACACAAGTAGCCTTCATCAGGTGAGAATTTTATTGTCATATTTTATTTTATTATTTTATTCTCATTCCGCGTGACTTTACCGAAAGAACCAAAGAAGATGAATCCTTGCAGTCACGAAAGCTTTAAATCGAAATTTATACAGCAGGTGTCAGAGTCGGGATCGAACCCATATCCTCCTGCGTACCTGGCGAGGTAGTTAACATCTCGCCACCTTGGGGGCCTGAGCGAGCGGCTCCCTCCCAATTTAGGTACGCCCACACAAATTCAGTCAGGAATTGGCTCCGGTTGACGATTGATGGCTTGCTTCAAAACCACCGCAGAACCGCACCCCGAGTTCACAGCGGCCGACGACCATCTGGTCGACCGTCTGGTCGGTGAATCTGCTCGGCGAGTCCGCCACGAACAAGAAGAAGACGAAGCACCACTCGTGGCTTCCCATTTTAAACGCGGCACGACGCCACCGCCGCCGCCGCCGAAAGCGCTCGCTCGCGCGTGCAACCCGGCGACACCCACCGATCGTCCGGCGACGCCTCCTTGGGCTGCAGGTGCGGCTTGGCGCCTCCCGCCATGGGGCGGATGTTGGTGAGCGCCGAGCGCGACGCGTAGTCGCTCACCCGCTCCCGCTCCACGTCGCTGTCGTAGCCTGCGGGATGGAGGAAACCCACCCCCAGGAGCGTCATCGACGAGGAAGAAGAAGAGGAAGAAGAAGAAGAAGAAGCGCCAGCGAGGAACATGAGCGGTCCGGCGCCGGCCCACATCAGGTCATCGGTGACGGACGATGAGAACTACGTGGAGGATGCCTCTGTGGCTTGCTGGTGCTGCCCCTGGGGCTCGTTGGTGCTGCCTCTGGGCCTCATTGCTGTATGAATGTTGAACTTCTTGTACGTATGCTGGACTTTTTTCACACCATACGTAGCCAACCGTGCTAATTGGAGGCGCGGGGGATACAGTATATACACGTGGGTACAATAAACAAAACACCCAGGACATTACGACATCGTGAGCCGCCCACGGCTACCGACAGAGAAAGAGAGAGAGAGAGCGAGCTCAGCGCGTTGGTGGCGCTTTCAAAACGTCGGGGGCAGCACCTCCGTCCTCCTCGGAGTCGGTGTCCGACTCCTCGCTGTCGAGCGGGCGGAAGTCGCGCGTGCGCTCGCGCTCGTGGCTCCACAGCACCAGCGCCGTGTCGGCGCCGCCCACGCTCAGCAGCAGGCTGTCGTCGTACGCCCAGCGCATGTTGGCCACCTGACCGCTGTGCCCGACGTACTGCTTGCACCGCGCGTACGCTCCCTGCAGACGTGTGGCACGGAGGGACGTGGCATGAGAGGGGGGAGGGAGGTTACGGCAGTGCCGGGCAGAAGTGCTCGTGAGAGGTTAACTACCTCGTCTGGTATACAGGAGGTCGTGGCTTTGATCCCGACACCGACGCCTGTTGCATATTTGGAGTTTGCGTGTCACCCTCCCCGTGGTCACGTGGATTTTTTCCGGTTTTTCCCTCAACATTCAGCATCAACGTGACATTTTTTTGGGCTGCTACAAATTTCCACGTGATGATATGCCATTCGGTTGAGCTATCGTTTGAGACAGCCAGGTCGCTTCTGACAAAGAGCTATACAACTTCAGCGGGCCAAACACTCGCGTCGGGCACCAGCGTCGGGCACCACCGTGCCGTCGGTGTCGCCCGACCGCTGCTCGGGTTGTCTAGTGCGGGCGACACCGGGAACGGTGGCCGCTGGCCTCCCTCGGAGCAAAGCGAGAGCCCACAGATTCAGGACAAAAGTAAAGCAGTTAACCCCGAATGTCGTCTCGGAATCAAATCCTGATCAAAAGAGAAATGCAAATTCATCTCTCAACCGTATCATCTCTGTCTCCCTCTTCTATCATCTCACGACATGTCGATCTCTTGTATATATATCTCTTCTGTCACCGCACTTTAAATGCATTAATCAAACTTGTGGTTTGGTCTCCTATTACTAAGACCGCTGAGCTGTTATCTCTTTTTCAGAAGCGACCTGGCCACAAATTGACAGCCCAACGGTGTGGCTTACCATGTGGAAATGTCTAGCAGTCAAATGCTCTTGAACGCATGTTTATTCTGAATCCATAGGGAAACAAACCGGAGGATCTGGAGAAAAAATCCACGCGGTTTAAAAATGAACAACAATAATCAGCTGCGAAAACACGCGTGCGCATTGCACTTCGCCCAATATTAAATGTTCATAGGCAGCCCGAGCAGACATTACAACTCCACGCGGAGCAAAACGCTCGCCCGCTGTGCAGAGATGGCTCTCGTTATTACGCCAATTAATAATTAAGCTGCCGCGATGCTCAGCATTTCCCAAACCTGAGAGGCAATGTCAAATCATCCGCTGCCAAACGGCCCCACTGGGAGGAGGGGCGGGGGGGGAGCGGTTTGACTGCGATCCCGTCACACACATTAGCTGCTATACTGTTGTTTTTTTCACTCATTTAATGCTATTCCCCCTTAATGACGAGCGACTAATTTCCACGCTTTGCCGGTGCTTGATTAACCGCGGCCTGCCGGGCAAAAGGTTCGGCGGCGGCGGCGGCTGGCGCTCGGAGAGAAGCTGCCAGCTGGCGACGCCGCGTGGCGAGGGAGAGATCGGATGGAGTGTTTCACGTGGCGAGTGTGTCGGCGCAGGACGCGCGGGCCGCGTTTGAATCGTTTGATTGTAGTTTGAATTGCGCGGGCGACAGTGGCACCCTTGGATTCATATGTGAGGAGTGTTTGCATCGCGGGATCGCCGAGAGGTGGCGGTGTCAACTAGGGGAGGCCTCCGTCCAGCAGTGGTTTGACCATGGCTGCTGCTGATGATTAAGTAAATGCTGGATGATGGCCTAGTTTGTCGTCCTTCACCGCACCTCCGATTAGCACGGTTGGCTACGTACGGTACGAAAGAATGAAGAAACAATAAGAATAGGTTCTACCTTTTCTGGCAATAAAACCGGAGGTGTTAAAATGTTCAAACACCAAATAGAAACCATTTGCAAGGAATCAAGTGCTGCATTAACCACACACGGTACTTGTGGTGAACACGCAAACAAAACATGCTCTGATAATTAATTATCAGAGCATATTTTGTAATATATGCATTGCATTTTAAACTGAATGGCCTCCTCCAGAGACAGCCTTCTTGAGGGCCTCGTCTCACCAGTGATAGACCAGAGAACGCCAAAAGGCGAACAGTACAAAGACAATGCCACTATCAGGGCATTTACAGCTCGGGGTGAGCAGCGACAAAATGGGACATTTTTGCCAAAACAAGAATAGGTTTACCCTTCCAGAAAGGATAAAACCTATTCTTATTTTTTCATACTTTTGTAATGACAATCGAGTCAACCTCTAGAGCGAGTGGTCTAGGGCCAGCGAGAGAGTTCGGGAATAGGGGCGTGGCCACGGGACGGGGGCGTGGCCACGCACCGTATATAAGGGAAACTCGGGGCTGTTGCAGTGGGGGTCTTCGCCTGTCCAAGGGAGAGCACGTAGCTCCTTAATAAAGAAATCCTTCCCAGGACAAGTGCGTCGAAGTCGTCTTTACACTATGATACTGGCAAAGTGTAAAGAAGTCCAACATTGTGGGGGTTGTTTGAGCAGACTTTGCCACACTGGTCAGTGCGGGCGGTTAAAGGAGGGGGTTACAGGCCCGGCTCAGATATCACTGGAGTTTGCCACGGCTAGGAATCCAACTTAGGTATCCGCGCAGTGCGCGAACCGCCGCAAGTCACCATAATAACAACGGTATCACTGTAATGGCAACACTCACAGCACTATTCATCAACAGTGAGAGTATGTAGACACACTCACGCTTACAACAGCTTATTCCGTCATTGCCCCTGCCACGGCAATGCGGAATTCCCAAAGGTGGGGGCTGTCCCACGACCTCCCGAGTGACCTCACCTAGGTAAGACAATGGAGCTGCGGCCAAAGGGAGAGGACGTCCACCGTGGAGGTGGAGCAAGGAAATTAGCTCGCGTGCGGGAGCTCGACAGCCTCGTCGCAGCGCAGGACCGGGAACAAAATCACGATGACGACTCGGGGAAGGCATTCACCCAGCAGCGGGATATCTGATGGCCGACGAGATAATGACGACGAGGGTGAGCAACTTGGGAGGCACGGAACGTGGCAGGCAGGGAACTGCTGTTGACGTCAGCGGACCGAGGCGGAGGTTGTAGTGGGTGGGGGACACGTGCAGCGGACAGAGGGGGCTAGGGAAGGCAACTTGGCAGGTTCGGAATAGAACGTCTGAGCTCGTTTGATTTTCTACACGCACGGTGGTTCCGTTCCGCCAGTTGCCCGGCTATATTACACGGGAGAGCCGTGGTGCGCGAGCGTTGCGGCGGGCCCCGGGGAGACCTTCAGTCAGCAGTGGGCAGACCCCCGGCTAACTACGATGACGACGATGGTGATGAGAGCGGGCACCTTGACCGGGTACTGGAAGAGTTTGATGAATCCGAAGTCGTCGGCCGTGGCGAGGATAGAGCGGTCGCGCGACAGGCTCGCCGCGTTCACGTCCGCGCCGTCGCTGTGCGCCGCCCACACGCCCTCGCACGTGGGGCCCAGCACGCACGTCCACGACGCAAACTCCAGCCGCTCGGCCTGTATCCACGCGAGTACACACACACACACGTCCACACGCACGCACACACACACACGCCCACGTCCATAACGCAACCTAAAGCCGCTTGGCCTGCACACACACACACACGCGTACGCCAATACCAATACCCGCCATTCGCCACTAAGTGGCGGTGACGTCACCACGGTGCCTGAACCAGGCTACGTGCACCTTGAGGCTACGTGAAGTGCCTTAAGGCTCACTGTAAGGAGGTCACAGGACAGACCCAGGTGCCATGGGTTGGCTGAGATGACTAGCAGACGCACCAGCTGTGCCAACTTGCTGCATCTTAGCCGCTCGGCGCTCCGCTCGTTGTTGTGAGAGTCGCTCCTCTGCCCTCAGTTGTTGTTGGAGGGCGAATGCCTCCAACTGCCCAGTATCGTCCTTCACGAGCCTCACATCCACACACGATGCTGCCGTGGTGAAACGGTCAGCATACGTGCACACACAAAAGTGTGCATACTGGGATTGCAACGGTGTAATTTTACCCAAAAATAAAATAAACCCCACCCACCACCCAGGTAGCTCCGCCCACCGGCCAGGTAGCTCTGCCCACCACCAAGGTAGCTCCGCCCACCGCCCAGGTAGCTCCGCCTATTACTCTGGTAGCCCCGCCAGTTGCCCACATCATGAGTAAAGCACGAGGCCAGACATTTTTACACTCGGAACAAATTCCCGATTTTCACTCAACCTTCAGGACACTCGGACAAACAATTATTCTGAAACCACCGGGGCTGTCCCGGCCAAACCGGGACGCTTGGGAACATTAGCCCATGGTACCTCGTGCGGATGGATGTTCTGTCGCTTTCCCCGCGGCGCTTCGTAAAACAGCTGCTCCCTGGCGGACGTGTTCACCTGAATGAGCTTCCCTAAAGGCGGGGAGGTTCACAGCACGGGTGGGGCAAGAGGCAGCTGGGGATCATGGTGACCGATGGGAACTGCGGTTGAGTGATGGGATGGTGGTGCATAGGAGTGACGTGGGACAGCGGTGAATTTAGGGTGGTGGGAGTGTGATGGTGGTGGTGTTTTGAGCTGGGCGAGGGGTGTCGGGGTTATGATGGATTGGCGAGGGTTGTGATGGTGGTGCAGCGTGTTTACACGCTGCACTTCGAATCCGTCGACCTGGGTTCGATTCCCGATCACGGTAAATGCCAGTGACAATTATCTGAACTGGTGCTGGGCTTCCCCAAAGTCGACTCAGCCTCAAATGAGTACCTGGTGCAGTGTATAAACATTGCCACTCAGGAGACAAAGACGGCCAGGCGTGGTTGCTGGCCCTACCCACCCCCTCGTGTGCCATGCCGGCTTTCACATTATCTCGCCAACATCACTTGCCCCAACAGTCTGTTAAGGCTGTACGGGTGGCCTTTGTCGTTGTACGGAGCAACGCTCGTGATGGTTCCTGCGACGGAATTGCGGTACATGACCGGCAAACGCGCCCGATACCAGAGGCGAGGTGCTTAAGTACGCGATGATCGGTCAAACGAACGTGGGACCAGCCCGCAACGTTGGGGTAGCCCGCATCGCTACGGCGAGAGCAAGCGACGAAACGAGCCGTTCGCACGGCACGGCGGATAACGGCGCGGCGGTGAGAGGCCCCGGCGGCGGCGGCGGCGGCGGCGCGACGGTGAGTTCGGCACCGTTTCGGCGACGGCGATGGCGGCGCACCTTTCGTGTCCCAGTCAAGGTGGGTGACGCACCCCGACGCGCCCTTGCACGTGCCCACGCGCTTGCTGCTCAGCACGCGGTACACGTCCACGAAACCGTCGTGCGACGCCACCGCCAGATACTTGCCGGGGTCTGCGAACGACGCGCAGAGCGGACGCCGCCTGTTAAGGGAGCCCCACGACGGCACCGCGGGAACGAGGGGGGGGGGGAGGGGGGGAGGGTGGGGGGTGTTCCGCCGGCATGGCTGTCGAGTGTGCAGGCGGTGCGACTGTGCCGGGGTCCATAGGCCGGAGGGGCCACAGGCGCTGGGCCACAAATGGGGAGGGAAAGGAACAGTTGAAGCCAGTTCATTACTTGTAGCATGGCTCATGCCAAGTACACGGCGCCGCTGGGACCATAGACTTACACAGCGACCCCGATATGCTCACATTTAAACCCACAGACTTATATTGAGACTCATATAGACGAACGTAGCACCTGTAGGTCCCCTGCTAGTCGATAGGACCGACAGACTAGGACACGTAGACGATCGTGGGTCAGTGATGTAGCTATCGTCACAAGAAACGATTACCGATCATCAGGCGTGTGCAGTGTGTCACGACTCAATTTGCATTCTATTATTATTTTCCCTGATGAGGTTTTGCCATAAAAGCCTCACCCAGTCACAATACACTTTTTCAGGAGGGTTCTGCCAACTTCATGGCAGTCGGGGGCCGATGTTGCCGCTGTGCGTCATCCCTCTTGACTCACGTCCAGGTGACTTTCAGCAGTGGAATGGTTGGCCAATACCTATTGGCCTATTGGCCAACCATTCCAATGGGGAAATTCATGCAGAAGGAAACGCATGCAGAACAGGAGCGGGTTGGGGTGCGAACACACAAACCTCGCGGATAAAGGCGCCCGAGTCGGGAATCGAACCCAGGGCGCTTTCTCGCTGTGTGGCACGAGAGTTGCCGCTGCGTAACCACTGCACTGCCGCTGCACCGCCACCCATAAATCTGCACGGACCACCCCCCATGTGACAAACGGCCCCGGTGGTCTCCCGGGGTGAAACCACGACGCTGGGCTACGTGGAACGGGCGGAGAGGAATCGGTAAACGCGGAACGGCGGCTTCGCTTGGGCCGCCCCCTGGCTCGGTGGGGAATATCGCGGCACGAGCCTGGTGAGAACTTGATGTCGGTGATCATCTCCCGGCGGTGCTGGAAGGACAGCATGTCCTCCAGCGTGTTGGCGTTCACCACCAGGAAGCTGCCGTCGTTCAGGCCCACGGCCAGGGCCTTCCCGTCCGACGAGAAGCAGCAGCAGCGGCCACCTGGGAAGCACAGGGTGAAAGGCGGCTCAGCCGTCATCATCATCGTCATAATGACGATGATAACGTCATCATCATTCAAGATGTATCCACTCCTGGATGACGGTCACACAGGTAGTCACAGTGGATGCAGTTGGCAGTGATGCAGTCAGAGCCGTGCTGTCACAGACGATGCAGCTGCATCCAGGAAATCAACATGATTTATCCACTGCTGGATGAAGGCCTACTCATCACCATCTATCTCAAGTCGCGCAATGCAACAATCGATCCGGCTGCTGCGACGCAACCTGATGTCGTCGGCAGCGTGCTCCGTGGTGGATGTGATCTCTGGAATGTTCTCTCCTTTGTCGAGAGTTTCGAGCACCGCCCAGCCGGCGTGCGCATGTGCAGGCGCTGCGTGGATATCGCTGCGTCGCGAGACCGCGTGAGGTGGGCAACTGCCTGGCAAGGGAGGACTTCATCCAGCAGTGGATTGATAACAGGCGACGATAACAAACAAAAAACTAATTCGACGCGTTCGTCAACAACGCTATGGGTTTAAAAATAAATAAATAAATACTAGGCGATGTTTCGGGCAATGCCCCTTCTTTATAGCTCATAAATAGAGAGGTTAGAGAGAGTCGGTAAGAGTTGGAGAGTGCACTTTACACCATTGAGCGTGATAAGAATTACATTTGAAAAATATTTCCTGATGAACAATTCTAAATTAGCACGTAAACATTTACATATTCGTAGGTATTGGGTAACAGACAAAGCCTTCAACGAGCAAGAAGTATTACTCCTAAATAAACTCATTTATAGAATAAAGAAACTCAATAAATGTTGCTCCACCGCATTACGGGTAGCCCCTGTTTGCAGTGAGATCAACAAAAAAACATCGGTTATCATAATCCACTTCGTGACACTGATGGTGAATGATGATGGGTGGCACAGTGGTGCAGCGCTAAACACCTGCGGCCCTCACAGCAACAAAGGGGCCCTGCGTTCAATTCCCTTCCCGTGTTGACATTGTGTGTTCCCCCTCCTGCTCTGCACGGCTTCCCTCCGGCTCCTCCTCTTTCCTCCCACGGCTGAAAGCGAGCATTACGCAACATAATAGATGTCGGCGACAGACATCACGATGCTGAATAATAACCCGCAAATCAACTAACCGTGGATCACACATCATGGCAGAGACATCGCCCCCCATCCCGACGCCACCGCCTCCTGCGAAAGACTTGGCAGAACTCTCCTGAAAAGGAGCCTCGGGGGAGGGGAGGACTCGGCAAGGCCCTTCTTGGACGTTAACGTGCGGAAAGGCCAAACGAGGCGGCTGTACCCTTCTTGAGCTTGCGCACGGCCAGCATGCAGTGGTTGTCCGAGAGGTCCCACACGCGCAGTGTCTTGTCGTCGCTCACCGACGCGCAGATGGGCAGGTGCGGGTGGGCGGCGAGGCCCCACACCTCACTCTGCATGTGTCCCTGGGGTCCGGTGTCAACGACAACAACAAACAACGACGATAAATGACAATCAAGGGGCCCAGACAAAACGATCAATGCGGACGGCCCGGCCTGCCTGCGGCCCTTATCGAGTCTTAAATATCACGCGGAAACAAACACACAAAAGCTCGGTCTCGTGGATTACGCGATAACCATCAACAGTTCCTGAGGAACTGCACTGTGGTCATCTTCTTGCCTTAGGTCACCGTCGAAATAAGATGTTTGAGCACGTGACAAGCAGCAGTGAGACAAAGACAACCGTGGACTGGTTTCCGCACTGATTAGGACTCGTCGGTACGGCACGACGCTCACTGCTCCGAAGTCTGCTTCTCGGAACCATATCTTGCAGAGGGCACACATCGATACTACGGGCGCCCACTGGCTTGGCTCATGCCAACGATAAATGCAACCTGCAAATGACGAGCCCAAATGAAGGTATCACGCGGCGAGCTGTGAATTAAATGTGGGATGTCACCGGTGCCCACCCAGCAGCAGCAAAACGGGTGTGCAACAGTTCGCCGATCGGCAGGTCTTGTGTGATGGGGTCGAGTGGTGGATACCCCCGCCTCTGCTAAGACCATTGGCACGCGTGGAAGAGTAGGCCAAAATCCTCTCTAGAGGGGCTCCTTACACTTATCTCTGTCACGGAGGCCCTTTTGCCAGCAGTGGCAAGAGACAGAAATTGTAGGGCTGCATTTTTACATTTCACAATCTTGGCCGCAGTGGGTGGCAACCTGCGTCCCGTTGACACCCCCCCCCCCCCCGTGGAGGGTCGCTCATGTGGCCCACTGACTCGTCTAGGTTTCCCATCACTGCTCTACACTATACATTACACATTTTACACTACATACTACACTACACGACACACTACACACGCTTTGCACGCTTTACACTACACTATACACTACACGAATGGTGGGCAACCTGCGTCCCATGGAGTCCCTCGTGGTGGCCTGGTCTCGGTGTGTCTCGGGCGATGCGTGGGGTCGCGATGAGTGCACGATCACGATGCCAAGCTCGCGGTCTACTCAGGTGAAGATTGAGTGGCCCACCGACTCGTCTGGGTTACCCCATCACTGGTCTAGGCCTAAGGCAAAGTGACTCCCTTTGATGATGGGAGGATGGGGGAGACACTACCCCCCACCCCCCAAATCATCATAACAAAATTTAGAGCCCTAAATTTCTACATATGTACCTCCCCCCACTCCCCTCCCCTTCACCTAAATGTGTACATCTTTTAAACTATAAACTTAAAAAAAAATTACGATGGAAGGCCCACTGAGCTATAGAGCTATTTTTCAGAAGCAACGTGGCCACAAATGATAGCCCAACGAAGTGGCTTATCACGTGAAAAGCAGCCAAATACTTTGAAATGCATGTCTATTCCAAATGTGGAGGGGAAAACCCGAAGGACCCGGAGAAAAATCCACGGGGAGAGAGAGAGAAACATGCAAACTCCAAAAAATATTTTATAACAGTCAAAAACCTCCCCCTCCCAAAACCACCTCCCCGCCCCTTCCCAATGAGGCCTGACTGCTCCCATCCGCAGAAAAAGCCGAGGCGTCACATGCCAGAGGCTCAACCCGTGGTCCCACCTGCACCAGCAGCATCATGGGGCCGCTCTTGTCCACCTCCAGGATCTCGCCGTTCTTCGTGCCCACCAGGATGTGTCCGTGGCCCAGCGTGATGGCTCGGATGGACGGGTTGTCCTCGAGCAGCAGGCCTGGCTCGGGCAGCAGCGCAGCGGAGGGGGTCACGACCGCGATCGCCGCGCGCCGACGCTCTCACTCTCTCTCTCGAGCCAAGGGGCATCCTTCGTAGGTGCGGCCCAGAGAAACGGCGGTCACTCAGTGCACCCCACTATCGCGACCAACTACCCTCTGCTATCTTTTGGTGATCCCTGAGCCACTTCGTTGGGATATCATTTCTGATAGAAAATTATAGTTCATCGTAAAATAAAAACGAGACGCAAAACATGGTTAATCGATTATTGAGTTGAAACGCAGCCCTGAATCCATTGCAGATTCATTTCATCGCGAGTGGCACGGCCGATGGGACGTGGACGGGCAAGCGCCACTACGACATCTCAGCCAGCAGATGGCAGTTTTACTTACGAATTCAAGATCGATTGCATCAGCACTCGTTATTTGGACGAAAGCCTCTTATAAATATATAGAGGACCGCAAAGCTTTGGCAAAAAAAAAAACGTTGGCGCCGGCTCAACCGTCTGGCTTCCCGCTTCCCTGTCCCGCAGCGACCGTGAGATGCAGTTTGCATGAACGAGAACAACGCGATCCAAAACTAAAACATTATGATCAAAACGACGTAACGCATCGATCAGCAATTTCACGCTGGAGTGACTCACGTTCCTATTATTTTGTGTCCCCAGCCTGGGGTTGGTGAATCGTGAAGAGATCTCACTACCTAAGGCCCATTTGCAGAGCTCTCAAGCTGGGAGACATGCGATTGCACGGGATTGCCCAGTAGGGGCACGAGTTGGGGAGGGCGGCGATCGTGGGGGCACGGGGTGGTGGGGGAATATCCAATGATGGTCGTAGTCGAGTGTTCTTCATCCGAAAATACACGAGTGAAAATACCCCCCCCCCCCCCCCCCCCATCATCATCATCGTCGTCGTGCCGTCAAAGCACCAACTGGCATGTTTTGTTCACGTGACAAACCTTACTCATTGGCCGTGTCGGGTGGTGGCGGGTTGAACGACACATTTATAATTTTGCGCTCTTAACTTAAAAAAAACAACCCTTTATTATGGAAACCCAAAATGGTCTCGAATGTGTGGTGAGCACCTCACGCTGATGTTGTCTTATCGGGCGAAAGTGACCCGCAGCTGTAGGGTTTTTTTGTGTCTCCCCGGCTCAGTATTACATCCCACAAATTGGTATTGTCCAAAAGGCACCGGAGGCTCTTTGGTTTGAGGTTGCGGTTAATCCAATAAGGCAACCGCCGCAGGTGAAAGGCAGGATGATGCTGGCGCTTAATTAAAATGTTCAACTCCCCCAGGGGGTGTCCCCTCTTGCGGGGAGTGGGGGGGGGGGGGGCATGACGGTGCCGATGCGTTAATTAGCTTTGAAAAGATTTCCCCCACGCAAAAAAAAAAGCGTGGCAGGCGATCGCGCGACCGTCATTCCCGAGGCACGTGTCGGGTCGGCGAGCCGTGCACAGCGCTCGCACCGTACGCAGACTCGCCGGCACGCGTCGCTGCGGTGCACGGACGACTCGAAGCAAATGAATAAATATAGATGAGCACAACTCTTGTGCGGAACGCTTCACCGTAAACGTGTTTTTATCGACCGGCTTTCCGGATGAGCGCGATCCAGCCGGCCTGTGTTTCAAGCACGCTAACTCCGCATGCGCCAGAGTCGGGATCGAACCCACGGCCTCCTCCTGCATGCCAGGCGAGGTACTGTAGTTAGCGTCTAGGCCCCCCGTAGCCGTTATTCAGAGGCGGCCTTGCCACGCGTGGTAGCTCATCGAAGTTGCTGATATCGTCCTCACCACACGTGGGGAATTATAGTGGCAGCCAAAACACATTCCTGCGGAGGGAGCTGGTAGGAACGTTGGGTTGCTCGGTCAATGGCCAGGGTCAACGGCAGGGGCGGAGCCAGGATTTTCAGCCCGGGGTGACATTCAACAAATGTTAATTTCAAGAATGATTTAGAGAGTCAGGCTGCTGAACTAGACGCCATCGGTTGGCGACACACTCTGACAATGCAGTTGCACGGAGTCCGCCAGACCGAGTGTCGTACACTTATATGCAGAATTTTTCAGATTTTCGATTTTTTATTTTTTTTCGGGGGTGACAATTGTCTACTCTGTCACCCCCCTGGCTCTGCCCCTGGTCAACGGCACCACGTGGTGTATTCCGCAAATATTCCCGACTGTGAGGGCGGGCATAAGCCGGCGTGAGCAGGTTAAACATTGAGTTTTATAAGGGCACCACGGGGTGACCAGCCCCTCCCCACCCTGCCCCGCCCCTCCCACCCCCCACCCAGCCCCACCCTCCCCACGCAGCCCCTCCCCACCCTCCCCACCCAGCCCCTCCCCACCCTCCCCACCCAGCCTCCCCTCCCCACCCTCCCCTCTCCACCCAGCCCCACCCCTCCCATTTTTGGATGCACGACGGACGGACGGACACAATAATCCCCTGTGGGCTGGTGTAACCTGAGGTGACCTACCAGTATAATCTAAACGCGTGTTGGTGCTAAAATGTGGAGGGGAAAACCGCAGGACCCAGAGAACAATCCACGTGACCACTGGGAGAGAACATGCAATACTCCAAATATACAACAGGTATCATCAGGGTCTGGAATCGAACCCACAACCTCCTGTGTGCCAGGCGAGGGAGATAATATCTAAAAAAATGCCGCTGCGTTATATTTGGTCCAGAAAGCCAGTGGGGCTAAAATATATTTTCGATATATGCGTGGAGACACAGAAGGGAGTTTTGCATATACAGTATACACACACAGATAAAGATCCCCCATATGGCCTTGAACAGACTTTTGGTGCAAGTGTTATTCGCGAGCACTTATGAAGGGCATCAGGGCACACGAGTGGAGGAGGGGAGGGGTGGCCAGCACCACGCCCGGCCGCATATCATCTCCCGGGTAGCGATGTTTACACTCCGCACCAGGTACTCATTTTAGGCTGAGTAGACCTAGGGGAGGCCCAGGACCGATTCTGATAATCGGACCCTCGGGGTCGCCGGCTTCGCAGCGCAGCGCGCCAACCGCTGCACCCCCCCCCCCCCCCCCCCCCCAGAACGCGCCTCGTCAAACTGGGCCGTCATTTACCACTTCCGCAGGCGCGAGGCCAAGCCTCGGGTGTCCACAGCGGCACCGCGCACGTCAAGTGACGTGCCGATAACAACGCCGCACGGGGTCAACCCCGCACGGGGTCAACCCCGCGAATTTTTCGGTGGCTTACGCAATCGCGGTTGCGTAACGTTACGCTGCCGCACGACGGCCAAGGCTCGTTAAGCATTACGATGATTTCCGCAGGAGGCCAAACAAGTGAGTTGTGATGCTATATGTGCATTTTAATGTTCCATTTTAGCTTTTATAAAATTTAAACAAATCCCACAGAGCGTTAAAAATGCATTCTATTGATGGCACGGGTGAGCGTGTGTGCGCCAGTATGAGCTTCGAGCAGCACTTGTTTATTCAAGGGGTACGTGAGTGGGTGCGTGAGTGGGTGCGTGAGTGAGTGCCTGAGTGAGTGGGTGTGTGAGCGGGTGTCTGAGTGGGTGAGTAAGTGGGTGAGCGAGTGAGTGTGTGGGTGGGTGTATCAGTGAGTGGATAAGCGAGGCAGTGTGTGCGTCAGTGAGTCGGTGAGTGAGTGGGTGTGTGAGTGGGTGTGTGAGTGGGTGCGTCAGTGAGAGGGTGAGTGGGTGTGTGAGTGGGTGCGCTGCTTATCCGCTCGACATATGAAGACTCTCTCCTATACAGTACTGTACCAAGATGACAGGTTATCACAGGATAATGGCCATTGCCTGAAATGTTAACTACATTATTTATATATTCTTTTAAAACCACGGTGTTATCGCTGAATCTGTAGCATTTTTGTAAATATATATTTTTTATTATCACAGAAAGAAAGAAAACTCTCTCTCTCCTGTACGGAGATGGCAGAAGTACACGGTAGGCTCATATGAAGATTTTCCCATGGAAAGATGGAAGGCGGGCTACGCCTGTACGGTGATATGAAGACTGCCCATCCACGAACTCCGATGGAAGACGGGCTACGAGAATAGTTTTGACACGAGAGCTCTCTCTCTCTGGACACACGGACGGGCAGGAGGGGAAGAGCTCTCAGGGCCTACCCTTGGAGCCCGGCGCCAGCGACGACCTCTTGATGGCGTACGTCTTGAGGCAGCGCTCGAAGTTGTCATCCCAGAGTCCGACGATTCCATCCTTCCCTCCCGTGACGAACCCCTAGCGAGCGGAACAACACCACGCGCACACAAGGCTCAGCACCCCCCCCCCCTCTACTCAAATCGGTGCATTCGTTGCTACGAATAAGCAATGGCGTTGAAGCCTTTCTCTTGGTGCAACAATGTCATTCCGGTTCAGTTTTACACACAGAGCGGTCGTTATCGTCCGGGGCAAGCTTCCATCTCACGATCAGACACGAGCTGGGTGGCAGCAGCCCGTCGGTGAGTCGGCGCTACAATCAATTGCCGAAGCTCTGCAATCCTCCATACATAAAGATGTTTCAGCCAGTTGGTGGGTTTTTTTTAATATATATACGTGGGAGGAAAGCGGAGCACATCTGGCGCGAGATGGGCTGTGACATGGCATGGCCTTGAGGAATGGACATGGCGTGGGGAGGCCTCCAACCAGCAGCGGATAGACCACGGATATTGACGATGATGTTCAGACGCCGATCAGGAACCGCGCACGCGTCTCAACCGTGTCGGATATTCACGTCAAGCGAATCGCAATTCACGGTCTCACAAACCCCGCACGGCTCCGTCCATCGCTCGCGATCGCCCAAATCCGATTTATGGCGTTTCATCACCGCTATTTCCTGCGCGCGAGCACAATGAGCCCGTGCAGAAACTCGAAGGCGGCAGTAAATCTGACCGTAAAACGCACTCTTAAAACCTCATTAAGGTACGCCGTAAACGTAACATTCGTAAGTAACAAAAAAAAACCCAACCCCTTCCTCCCGTTTCACGCCTGGGCGGGGCGGGCGGCCAGCTGGCGGCTGGAGTTTTATCGGCGCTCGTAACGCTCCGCGCAGTCTCCCGTCGGCGAGCGAGGCGAGCGTTTGGAGCATGCAACGTCCGTCTCCATTAGCCCATTGCGGCAGCGGCTGGAATCGCCCTGAAGAAGGACACCGAAACCAGAGCCAGATTACCGCGGGGGGGGGGTTCGTTGGCTGCCCCCCCCTCCCCACTAAGACGTTCGGCCAGCGTGGAGGAGTAGGCCAAAGTACGGTCGAGCGTGGGTTCTCTATAGCCATAGCTAGCGGAGGCCCTTCCGCCAGCAGTGACGTGGGCACGGGTTTGCAGGGCTGTCCCCTTTGTCTTCATTGTGGAGGGACTGCAAGCCCGAGGCTTTGTATTTCGAGGGGCTTACAAGCACACACGCGCATATTTGACGGTTGAAACGCAGTACTTTGGACAGCTGCTCGGCCCAGTTGGTAGCGCCTTCACCGCCTGACGCAGAGATTGCCGGTTCAAAACCAGGTGCCGCCCTGGTTAACACCGCGGGTGTAGAAAACCATACAAATGCCACGCGCCGTCTTCTTCACAGCGGACGTTAAAGATCCCGTGATGTGATTCGCAAGAGGAGGTCATTCGTGCGCCGGTGTCATGGTCCAAATTTTCCCCAAATTTCACTGCCTCGAACTGCGAAAGTTTGGCAGGAACCTCCTGTGAGGCTCTCCTGTGTAGCAAAGTGTACCGATAATTAGAAACATTCTTTCGTGCAATTTGATCGTTAAAGCCATACCAGCAGGTTGCTGTAATCATTTTCAATGTGTATTTAAACTTTTACAATTAATCCACAATATAAAAAAACAACCGAAAGTAATGGAATTGAAGAGCAATGGAGTGTTTGGCATTGTGGGCAGGGGTGTTGGTGAAGCAGCCGAGGGCAAGGAACCGGATAGACAAAGACGGCCCCCACCACCATCACAGCCCCCTAGAACGTGCGACAACCTTGGGCCCCACACCTCGCACGTGACAATTCACGCGCGTCGGTGGTACACGTCGTTGTCACGTACTTTTATTTTGCCATGGACGTGCCAATCGACACCCCTGGACACCTCTTGCAAACGATATGAGTCCACCTCTAGGGATTCATCCAGGTGAAACATTTTAATTGATGCTATGTTTTTTTGTCTTGCCTCCGCTGCGAATTTTTATGATTGGTTCACCAGCAGCAGTTTCTCCGTGGTTTGGCATCAGCCTGGCTCCAAAGGAATTTAATTATGTCCCCCCCCTTTCCACCTTCCCCACTTCTCTGCAGCCCGTAAATAGACACCTAATTCGAGACCAAAACATCGCACCTCCGGGCTTTGACATTCCTCCTCCTCCACCACCTCAAAGACAAGGGCGGTGGAACCATCGACAGCATCGGAAACATCACCAGCAGGCCGACGCGCAGCATCCCCTCCGTGAATGGAACATTAAAGACACCAGCCACGACTGTGGCCATGCCACCCACGCTACGGACGGTGCAGTTACACCCACTGTGGTCTTACGCTCCTTTCAGTCGAGGAGGAGGAACAGCACAACTTACACGAACTCTCTCCCTTCCCGAGGGCTCTCTTCTCGTCGTGCCCAGCAGACGTCGACATTGGCGCCTAGATCCTGAACGCATTGCTGCTGCCACAATGTGCAAGGGGAGATTAACCCAGTGCCCGGTTCTCTCTCAGCGCAGTTGTACACATACCTGTCAACCCCTCATCAGTGCCTATACCTTATTACAGGCCAATTCAGACCTTCTTGGTCACCCCCGTGCCCGTTATAAGTATCAACGTGCATCCTACAATGCCCGAATTGAAACGGCTGTACGCCGTACGGACCTGAAAACTCAATTTCCCTGCACAAGAATACGGCTAAACCGTACGGGTTGACAGGTATATGTACACCACGTGCACACTTGAACAGCTGTGCCACCAATTGCGAATCAAATTATAATTTTGTCATCGCCGTGAATGCTGCGCGTTCTGGTGGGCGCAGTGAAGCTTTCCTGAACACATATTTGGCGTTTTACGTGAACGGACAACGATCGATTCTCACGCACACGCACAGAGCGTGTGCGTGCATGCGTGCTGTGTACTCTGAGTAGATGCATCCTCACGTGACAACCGACAAGGACCAATCCACACTGACCAGCGCGACGAGGAACGCTCAAACCATCGCCACAACGAACGCGGTGGTGTGGGGGAGGCCATCATCCAACCGTGGATTTACAAACGGCAATTCATTATTTGACAAGCATGATAATGAACAAACTAAAATGTTTCTGCATTTTTCTACGAAAAGCATCGGAGAGTCCCCTAGAATGCAACAATACTCTTGGGAAAGTGGAGGCTTTACTTTGTTAATGAATAAATAATTCCTATTGTTGTTATTTGTATTGTGATCATTGTTGTGACCACACAGAAGGTGTACCATGTTCCCTGAATTATAAGACGCTCCGGAAAATAAGACGCACCCCAAACCTCTGGCCGGTGTCAATAAAGTTATTAAATCTGGTCACACACATGCACAGACCTGCACAAACACATGCACAGACCTGCACACACACAAGAAAACATACACTCGCACGCACACACTCGGGACGACGCACAAACATAACGACAATGATGACTTACGTAGATCCCCCCGTGTAGCCTTTACAGACCGTTGGGGCAAGTGCTGTTAGCGAGCACCTATGAAGGATGGTACAGCACACAAGGGGATGGGTGGCCAGTACCACGCCAGGCCGCCTTTGTCTCCCCAGTGGCGATGTTTACACACCGCACCAGGTACTCATTTGATGCTGAGTCGACCTAGGGGAGGCCCAGGACCGGTTTAGATAATCGTCACCGGACTTGGCCATAGCGATGACCGCACGCACGCGCACAGACACACGCACGCGTACAGACACACGCACGCGCACAGACACACGCACGCGCACAGACACACGCACGCGTACAGACACACGCACGCGCACAGACACACGCACGCGCACAGACACACGCACGCGCACAGACACACGTGCATGCGCGCCTACCTGATTACAACGCCCGCCCGACAACTTTTGCTCGAATTCGCAGGCCCCCCCCCAGAAAAAAATATAAAGTTGCATCATAACCCAAGGAATACGATAATAGTTATTTTCAGGACAAAGTGCTTCTTCAAGTGCTGTGGATCATTTTTGTTACGCTTGCTCGGACAATCCTCAAAGATGTTTGGCTATTGACATAACAGCCGAGGCCATTAATAGGCGCTCGGCAAGAGAGACAGAGGAGGGTGGGGGAGCGCCGTCCGACAATCAAAGTTACTTTGCCCGTCGCACGCAGAAAACAGCCCCGGCACGCACAATATCGATTCGGGCTGTCGGACGGTTGACCGATTTAGGTATGACAATACCAACACAATCTCATCTCATATTGGCACCATTTATCCCCGCCCCAACCCACCACCACCACCACTGTCCCAAGCCCAACGCCCCCTCCACCTACCCACCCCCCAAAAAATAGAGAAAAATTGACAAACGCATTATTGTCTGGTAAGACAGGGCCGCGGCAGGTGCATGCCTGCTGACAATTGATGGCCACTTTTGTGTTGAAAGCGGCGGCGTTTAAAGGCCGTGCTTGACAGTTTGATGGCAGTGCCGTTTTTGTCCGGCAGAGAAAGAATCTTTAAGGCTCCGTTCCATGGGAAAAAAAAGTTTAAACGGCCAAACTGGGCCCCCTCGCGCGGGGGGGGGGGGCGACGCTGGTCAACGACGTCGGGATGACACGACACAATGCAGCCGCGTCTCAAGGGGCCGTGCAGCAGCATCGTTGGGGGGGGGGGGGGGGGGTTGTTGAAATACACAGAGGAAGAAAAACAACACACACGAAACCCCAACGAAGGTTTAGAGCCCGGGGGTCGGGGGGTCCAAGGAGTTGACAGCGTAGATGGTCCGGGTGAAGGGAGTTGCAGAACGGCGAGGACAGTGGAGGAAGGATGAGCCAGCGAGACCTCCCGCTGAGCGAAGGTTGACCCTCCCTCCCCTCTTCCTGATGACGAACGCTTGTGTTGCGATCGAAACGTCGTAGTTTTTTGTTGTTATTTTCTTTGAACCTATCTACGTGACTTTACCGAAGGACCCAAAGAATGTGAATTCCTGCAGCACACGAAAGCTTTAAGTCAAGATTTGACTGTGGGCTTAAGCTAAAACTAAACTAAAGCATTTTTTTATTTTACCAGGAAAGTTCTCACTGAGCTATGCAGCTCGTGTTCGGAAGCGACTCGGTCACAAACCACGTCTCAACCGAGTGTCTTGTCACGTGGACATTTACAGCAGCACCAAATACTTCGAGATGCATGTTGATTCTAAACGGGGGAGGGGAAAAAAACCAGAGGACCAGGAGAAAAATCCACGCGACCACGGGGAGGACACGCAAACTCCAAATATACAGCAGCAGGCGTCAGGGTTGGGATCGAGCACCCACGACCTCCTGCATACCAGGCGAGGGAGATAACATCTTGCCACCGTGGCTATAACGGGAAGCCTCGGTTGCTGGAGTGGAGTTTTTGCTGACCGGAGTTCCGGACCACGCGGGCAGCACAAGAGGACGGGAGACCTCCTGCACACAACACAAAGGTGCCCCGTATAGCCTTAACAGGTGGTCGGGACAAGTGCCGTTCGCGAGCACCTACGAAGGAAGGCCAACAGCACGGCACGCGGGCGGCGTGGGTGTCCACAACCGCTCCTGGCCGCCTTTGTCTCCCCAGCGTTTTGTACGCATCACACCGGGCACTCGCTTCATGCCGAGTCGACTTCAGCGGGGCCCCCCCGGGCCACCGGTTTGGACATCCGTCGCCGACATTGGCGGCGAGCGGGAGGAGTCGACCTGTCGCTCGCGAGCGTCAAACCGAGCTCGCGATGCGGGGGGGGGGGGGGGGGCGGCGCGCCAGGTTCACCTTCTCCAGGGCGTGCATGCTGAAGATGGGCCCGTCGTGGGCCTTGACGGTGCGCAGCAGCGTGGTGCCCTTCCACAGGTAGACGTCCCCGCGCGCCGCCCCCGCGTACACCGTGTCCTCCGCCTTGCCGTACACGGCGCACATCATGGTGTCGCGCCGTGCCAGCGCCCCGAAGTCGCCGCGCCGAGACGTCAGCCCACCGCCTGTGGTGGAGGGGGGTGGGGTGGAGGGGGCGAACGACGACACGACGGTCTCGTGAGCGGGGGCGGCCGTTGCTCGTTGAGGGATGCCGCTATTGGCGAGCGCCCTGCACCGCAGTCATCGGCGCAACGACAGGTCGGCATACACCTCGCTCGGCGCTGTAAGAGCTTCGTGAGATTCCAATCAAATCACCTTGCCTCCCATCGTGAGCCATGGTCTATCCATTGACAGCTAAAGGTGTCTGCGAGCTGTCTACCTCCCCCCTCCTCCCCCGATGCTTCTACCCCCCCCCCCCCATGCTGGGTGCTCCTTCGGTTCCCCTTTCACTGCCACGTGGAGCGGAACGTCGGACACCGTGCCAAACAACGCGCGGCACAACCGCGGACGAAACGCCGGAGAGCCGCGCGGTAGCACAGCGGCGAACACCCACGCGGTCGTAGCGACCCGTGTCGTTCCATCTCTGTGTGGTCCCTAAGCGATGAAACAATTTTTATTTCTTCAGGTAAGGCACACTGAGCTATATCGCCCTTTTTTTTTCAAAAGTGACCTGGCCGCAAACGATAGCTCAACGAAGTGGCTCATCGCGTGGGAATGAATTGCAGCCAACTATCCTAAACTCCGTGATGTTGGTTCTGAATGTGGAGGGGAAAACCGGAGGACCCGGAGAAAAATCCACGCGGCGGCCGCGGGGAGAGGGACACGTGTAAACTCCACATGTACAGGTGTCAGGGTGGGGATCGAACCCACTGCCTGCCGCATGCCGGGCGAGGTAGTTAACACCTCGCCACCACGGCGCCCGTAACTTTGGCAGCCACTCCGTCGTTAGTCTCGAGCGACGAGTCCTAGCGGACTCCTCCTGGTGGCAACAGCCGACGTGTCTGCCAACGCACGACCCTCATTTCATTTTGGGGGCGGGAACAAAAAACTCTCGCGTAATGAACGTCAGAGGACACGAGATAGGAGCCAACAAGATAGGGCCGGACAGATTGATGGACATTTGAGAGATTCGACCACAACTCATGCACACAAGGGGCATTGGGTCCACAGGTGCCCCGCCCCGCCGCCCCCCCCCCCCGATCCCCCGCACACGTGACGTTAACCGGTCACACGTCAGGACTGACCGCCAGTGGCGTGTGGCCACCATCCCTGGTGGAGAGCTCACCAGTGACTTGCCAGAATTTGATGTGGTGAATGCCAACGGTCACGAGCTTCTCGGCATTGTGAGGGTTGAATCGGGCCACGAAGATCTTCTCTTTGTGACCCCTGCAGTGGTGGCCAGGACATAAAAAAAGAGAGAGAGCATATATACACACAATATATACAGTATATATGAATGCGATGCATACGTAGGTGGCTGGTGGCTATAACAGGGCAACAGTCACACTGATTCACCAGCGCCAGCGTGTACGGGCAGCCTACGCGGGCGAAACCTCTGGTGGCCGGGCCTTTGGCGAAGAGCACAGGGTTGTCACCAGTAAGAGCACCTGGAAAGATCGACAATCGCTGAGGCTGCAGCAAATGTAATTACATTCAAGACGGCTAACGTCACAAAAAATGTAAGAGGTCAGAACACGTGGGTCGAACCACAAGGGGCTGAATTAATACATGTAAAAATAATAATTATTGAACTGTATATATTTATCTTACAAGGCATCTTCCACGTCGATATATCTCAAAGGCGCTCGCTGTACATAAAAAAAAAGATACGTGTTAATTACGAGACTAATGTCGATTCATTGATTAACTAAAGCAATCGCCGATATGCGAATAAATTAGTTGAATCGTCGATAACCGCCGTTCCAGTGATGCCGCTGACCCGTTCAAAAAGGCACGCGGCGACACGACCCAGCGCAAGGCAAACAGCACACAACTGAACTCTCCGCTGGCCTTCAGCGCGAGGCCGCTTGCATCGAAACGGCACCACGCAATGCGACAGCCGTCACGGGGGGGGGGGGGGGGTCGGGGGGGGGGCGTCCTTCGGTGCTTCGCTCCCATCCCAGTGGTCCTGGTGCGCGACGGGGCCCGTGCCGAACGTTCAATCCCTTTTGTATGTACGTTGAACTTCTTTCGCGACGTACGTTGCCGACCGTGCTAATCGCATGTCCGCGGCGCGGGGAGGGTTGGGTGGGGGGGACAATGGACTAGACACAACAATCAGTTCTGAAGAAATGAGGTTTCGATCTAGGGCGTCAAGTCAAGCGCGGTTGCTGCGTACAGCTCCGTGTGCGAGTTTCGCCAAAATTGCACGACGCAAGCATGATAATAATAACAACAACAAAAATAACAATGATTTCCACGTTTCCTTGACAATCAACTGCCGGATGAAGGCCTCCCCGCGTGACTGTGCCGGTCACGGGGATTTGGTCTCCAGATCAAACGACTTTGCCGTGGGTCTTGATCGTGAGGACAAGCCCCCCGTCGACGCGTCCCAGCGACAAAACGACGATTTGTGTCGTTTGTTGTTGCTGTTGTAACTCGGTGACCCCGTGGCCCATAGTAGACATCTGTGGAAAAGAGCTTCACAGCTCATCGGATTCCTTCCCTCCAGTCTAAACAAAGATTCTGATAATCCATCGACTTTCTGGGACGAGGCACGTGGCGTGGATTTAGCAGCGACTGCAGGGCTCTCCACTGCGGCTCCTGCACCAGTGTAGGAAGGGTGATGCTTGGTAAATTGTCGAGTGACATTTGTGATGGCTTTAGAAGGTCTGTACCAGTGTTCTTCATTGCAGGTCCCCAAGGGCCACTGGCCCTCGACAATCACACAAATGGTGAACAAACCCCGATCATCATTACCGTGCTCCTGTCAAACCCCCAATGGTTTCAAATGGTGTGGCGGCCCTCTCATACTGATGATCTGATGATGTCTTATCGGAGAAAGTGCCCCCCCCCGTCTGAAAATTAGTGAAGAACACTGAACTAAACAATAACATCTCACAAATTGTTGAGGTTCGTTCGGCAACTCGCTGCTTAAAGGATTCGCCAACACTGGGCAGTCATTAGAGTTATTTTAACCATACTTCATCACGATGGTCAGTGAGGATTGGTGAAGTAGGGGGCATGGTGAGGGAGGGGGGGATGGGGGCGGCGGGGTGTGGGGGGCAGTGACCAGAACTGGTGCAGATATCGCTCGCAACCGATGTTGCCACGGCTGGCAATGGAACTCGGGTCCAACCGGATTCGTAGAGCAGCGCCCGGACCATTATGCCATCGCTCGCCCAAACTTTACGCAGATGATTTTTACAATCGGAATTGTAATTCAACGGCGCTGTAATTGCAATACACATTACGCCATTGTGTAGCTGAAGTGTGCAATTTTGGGGTCAATTTGATTTCAATTAGGGCCATAATTTTTTTAAAAAATTGCTGCTCACGCAATGGACGAGCGATTGCATTATTAGTCAACCATTCCTGCGCGCTCTGCGTGCGAGCCCTAAATCTGCCCGGGCCCCTTGAATTCAAGGCCTAATTTCCCAGTGGCGTCATTAAACGAATTAAGCACTCAGCCCAAATAAATCTCCGAGCGGAGTCAAAATAAATAAGTGAAAATGTGGCGTCGGAGGAAAGCATTTCTGTGGGTGGACCTCTCAGGTGGAACAGATTTTTTGCTCCACGCAAGCGGAATTCATAAACGTGGCTCCGCCGCCTCTCACTCGCTCTCTCCTCGTCTTAAAAGTGGATGGAGGCGATCGTCACGGTTCCTGCCGTGAGCCTGGATTCGGCACGGCTCGCTGCGGCAGCAGGGGAAGTGCAAATGGTGGCCGGCTGAGTGAGGTGGTGGCAACTCCACCACGCATGCCATCGGTTGCCTGCGACTGCACTACACATGCCATCAGTTGCCCACGACTGCACTACACATGCCATCGGTTGCCCGCGACTGCACCACGCATGCCATCGGTTGCCTGCGACTGCACTACACATGCCAACAGTTGCCCGCGACTGCACTACACATGCCATCGGTTGCCTGCGACCGCACCATGCATGCCATCGGTTGCCCGCGACTGCACCACGCATGCCATCGGTTGCCCGAGACCGCACCACGCATGCCATCGGTTGCCTGCGACTGCACTACACATGCCATCGGTTGCCTGCGACTGCACTACACATGCCATCGGTTGCCCGCGACTGCACTACACATGCCATCGGTTGCCGGCGACCGCACTACGCATGCCATCGGTTGCCCGAGACCACACCACGCATGCCATCAGTTGCCCGAGACTGCACCACGCATGCCATCAGTATGGGGCACCGCGGTGGTGAGATGTTGACTACCTCGCCTGGCATACAGGTCGTGAGCTCGATCCCGACCCTAACGCCTGATGTAAATTTGGAGTTTTTGTACATTCTCCCCGTGGTCGGGTGGATTTGTCTTTCCCTCCACATTTAGAATCAACGTCTGTTTCGAGTATTTGGCTGCTATGAATTTGCACTTGATGAGCCACTTCGTTGAGCTAGTGAGGGAAAAAAGTATTTGATCCTCTGTTGATTTTCTACGTTTGCCCACTGACAAAGAAATGATCAGTCTATAATTTTAATGGTAGGTTTATTTTAACAGAGAGAGACAGAATAACAACAAAAAAATCCGGAAAAACGCATGTCAAAAATGTTATAATTTGATTTGCATTTTAATGAGGGAAATAAGTATTTGACCCCCTCTCAATCAGAAAGATTTCTAGCTCACAGGTGTCTTTTATACAGGTAACGAGATGAGATTAGGAGCACAATCTTAAAGGGAGTGCTCCTAATCTCAGCTTGTTACCTGTATAAAAGACACCTGTCCACAGAAGCAATCAATCAATCAGATTCCAAACTCTCCACCATGGCCAAGACCAAAGAGCTCTCCAAGGATGTCAGGGACAAGATTGTAGACCTACACAAGGCTGGAATGGGCTACAAGACCATTGCCAAGCAGCTTGGTGAGAAGGTGACAACAGTTGGTGCGATCATTCGCAAATGGAAGAAACACAAAAGAACTGTCAATCTCCCTCGACCTGGGGCTCCAGGCAAGATCTCACCTCGTGGAGTTGCAATGATCATGAGAACGGTGCGGAATCAGCCCAGAACTATACGGGAGGATCTTGTCAATGATCTCAAGGCAGCTGGGACCATAGTCACCAAGAAAACAATTGGTAACACACTACGCCGTGAAGGACTGAAATCCTGCAGCGCCCGCAAGGTCCCCCTGCTCAAGAAAGCACATATACATGCCCGTCTGAAGTTTGCCAATGAACATCTGAATGATTCAGAGGACAACTGGATGAAAGTGTTGTGGTTATGTGAGACCAAAATGGAGCTCTTTGGCATCAACTCAACTCGCCGTGTTTGGAGGAGGAGGAATGCTGCCTATGACCCCAAGAACACCATCCCCACCGTCAAACATGGAGGTGGAAACATGCTTTGGGGGTGTTTTCTGCTAAAGGGACAGGACAACTTCACCGCATCAAAGGGACGATGGACGGGGCCATGTACCGTCAAATCTTGGGTGAGAACCTCCTTCCCTCAGCCAGGGCATTGAAAATGGGTCGTGGATGGGTATTCCAGCATGACAATGACCCAAAACACACGGCCAAGGCAACAAAGGAGTGGCTCAAGAAGAAGCACATTAAGGTCCTGGAGTGGCCTAGCCAGTCTCCAGACCTTAATCCCATAGAAAATCTGTGGAAGGAGCTGAAGGTTCGAGTTGCCAAACGTCAGCCTCGAAACCTTAATGACTTGGAGAAGATCTGCAAAGAGGAGTGGGACAAAATCCCTCCTGAGATGTGTGCAAACCTGGTGGCCAACTACAAGAAACGTCTGACCTCTGTAATTGCCAACAAGGGTTTTGCCACCAAGTACTAAGTAATGTTTTGCAGAGGGGTCAAATACTTATTTCCCTCATTAAAATGCAAATAAATGTATAACATTTTTGACATGCGTTTTTCTGGATTTTTGTTGTTGTTATTCTGTCTCTCACTGTTCAAATAAACCTACCATTAAAATTATAGACTGATCATTTCTTTGTCAGTGGGCAAACGTACAAAATCAGCAGGGGATCAAATACTTTTTTTCCCTCACTGTATCCCTTGTGGCCAGGTCGCTTCTGAAAAAGAGCTACACAGCTCAGCCGGCCTCATCTGGTACAACAAGTAACTCGTCAAATCGTAGCCCGTGTGCCACAAGGGCGCAGTGGTTCGAGCGCTGCACTCTGAACCCCGGTGACCCCGGTGAGGTGAGCTCGAGAGCCTCGGCACGGCTCACACCTGTTGCGAGTGAGTGACATCCCAACCGGTTTCCTGGACGTCCGACCTTCACCGACCAGCGTGATGAAAAAACAACGCGTGGCGTGGCGTGGGTGGGTGGGGGGACGAGAGGAGAGGCCTTCATCCAGCAGTGGATTGACAAACGGCAGGAAATCATGAAAAACGATGGGCCGTAATAGGTGCTTGCTAACAGTGTCATGCCCTACAGTCCAACTGCAGCACCTTCGTCTTGTGTGTGTGTGTGATTCTGTACGTGTGTGTGTGTGTGATCGCTAACAGCACTCGCCCCAACAGACTGTTAAAGGGCTACACGGGGGATTGTTGGCATTGTTCTTTGCATACTCCGCGAGATGCACACCCACACGGCGAAGCAATGTGAACTGCGCGGCGCTGAATTAATCCACCGCACATCGACTTAAGAAGCCGTTTCATGGCTATAACCAACCTGGACATGGACTTGGAAAGTTGCTGCTCATTCAGCTCTACACGAGAGAGAGATCCAATCTACATGAACTGCGCGCGCAAGCCACGTGCGAGTTATCGCTAAAAAAAGTATAACTCAAGTCTCGCCCTCGCTTTGATGTTCCCGCTGTATTCTTGGCTCTGTAATGACAGTGGGGAAAAAAAACCTCAAAATGCAACCCCCCCCCCCCCGTCACCTGGCCGACGCAATCTTCTCGCCGCGCTTCCACTCCCACACGACGATGGTGTGGGCATCGTCCAGCCCGACGCTTACCAGCCGCTTCCCGTCGGCTGCGTCACGGACACACGCAACAGAGACGAAGATCAACCGGCGCAGCCTTCAACAGGACCGTAGGGGGCAAGAGCTGTCTGGCACGAGCGCCCCGTTGTCCGTTCCCCCCCACCGCGCCTCCGATTAGCACGGTCGGCTACGTGCGGCACGACAGAAGTTCGACATACACACGTACGTGCGCACAGGGCGAACGAGCGGGGGCGTGGTGTGGCCAGGCAACCACGCCCGGCCGCCTCTCGTCTCCCCGGTGCTGAGCTACAAAGTAAATTTTCACAGATGTCCAGGTGTGTCACAGATGTCCAGGTGTGTCACAGATGTCCAGGTGTGTCACAGACGTCCAAGTGTGTCACAGATGTCCAGGTGTGTCACAGATGTCCAGGTGTGTCACAGATGTCCAGGTGTGTCGCAGATTTCCAGGTGTGTCACAGATGGTAAGGTGTGTCACAGATGTCCAGGTGTGTCACAGATGTCCAGGTGTGTCACAGATGTCCAGGCGTGTCACAGATGTCCAGGCATGTCACAGATTTCCAGATGTGTCACAGATTAACCAGGTGTGTCACAGATTTCCATGTGTGTCACAGATGTCCAAGTGTGTCACAGATTTCCAGGTGTGTCACAGATTTCCAGGTGTGTCACAGATGTCCAGGTGTGTCACAGATTTCCATGTGTGTCACAGATTTCCATGTGTGTCACAGATTTCCAGGTGTGTCACAGATTTCCAGGTGTGTCACAGATGTCCAGGTGTGTCACAGATGTCCAGGTGTGTCACAGATTTCCAGGTGTGTCACAGATGTCCAGGTGTGTCACAGATGTCCAGGCGTGTCACAGATGTCCAGGCGTGTCACAGATGTCCAGGCGTGTCACAGATTTCCAGGTGTGTCACAGATTTCCAGGTGTGTCACAGATTTCCATGTGTGTCACAGATGTCCAGGTGTGTCACAGATTTCCAGGTGTGTCACAGATGTCCAGGTGTGTCACAGATGTCCAGGTGTGTCACAGATGTCCAGGTGTGTCACAGATGTCCAGGCGTGTCACAAATGTCCAGGCGTGTCACAGATGTCCAGGCGTGTCACAGATTTCCAGATGTGTCACAGATTTCCAGGTGTGTCACAGATTTCCATGTGTGTCACAGATTTCCATGTGTGTCACAGATTTCCAGGTGTGTCACAGATGTCCAGGTCTGTCACAGATGTCCAGGTGTGTCACAGATGTCCAGGTGTGTCACAGATGTCCAGGTGTGTCACAGATGTCCAGGTGTGTCACAGATGTCCAAGTGTGTCACAGATGTCCAGGTGTGTCACAGATGTCCAGGTGTGTCACAGATGTCCAGGTGTGTCACAGATGTCCAGGTGTGTCACAGATGTCCAGGTGTTTCACAGATGTCCAATCGCAGGGCAGCACCTTCAACTTAAGGGAGGCCCCACGACCGATGTGAGCCACGGTCGGGAATCGAACTCGGGTGCTCGGGTTCGAAGCGCAGTGCTCGGCATTGCGTGATGCCGCGCGGCATCACGCACGGCACGCCGCATAGGCTTTTAATAACAAACGCGAGTACCGGTAATTACTCGCGGAGTCACGCCGACCTGACATCAATTTATTTTTCTGCGCTCCAATGGAAAAAAATGAAAACAATCAAACCCCACCCGCTCCTCCACCACAACAACAATAATCACAGCGTTCAAAATAAAAACAAACACGCATGGCGGTGGCTGGCCGGCTAATGGATTAGGGCAATGGTGACATTGAATTTTGGCTGCGAATATGAGAATAGCTGCTTGTGGTTGCACGCGGTCAACTACGTGCTTTGATTACGCGATGGCGGCACCGGATGTGGGAATGAGACGGTCGCAGGCGCTTGCGCGATTGCATTCAGCAGGATGTAGTAAAGGTTTGTCACCGGTGTGTGTGGCTTTGCTCTCCAACACACCGGTGTGCTGCACGAGTAACGAATTGGCATGTTCTGTTTCTGTGACAACCCTTACTAATTGCCCGGTTTAATGACACATTTATATTTAAGCGATCTATCCCAAAAAAAACCTCTATTATGGATTTTCTTTCCAACTGCAGCGGTAAGCTCGTTCAACCCGTTGTGGCTAAGCCGGACGATGGCTCAACGTTGGTGGATGTGGAGGCGGTCGGGTGGGTCAGAGGTCAAATCCACCATCCAGCAGCCTGCGACTACAACAAGGTTCTCAGCTGGGTCACCACTAAGCGCACGAAATACCATCGGAGTAAAATTAGTTTTTCGTTTTAATCTAGCAAACCACAGCACCGTGAATTAACGAGTAAACATTTCGGTTTAATTAGCAACGCAATCAACATGTCTCTCGGAGGGCTCTCAGAAGTAGATCAGCGGTGGCACCTTCCACCGGCTGCCATCTAACACAAACATTGGGGTGATGGCACTGCTCTGCAAAAAAATAAAAATCGGCACGGATATTTCTTCATTTCACGTACGGTATGTTGAACTTCTTTTGCATCGTACGTAGCCAACAGCGCTAATCGGAGGGTAGCAGCAACATTGTAATGGAAAATTTGGTAATTTTTTGTTGTTCTCGTATATATATAGATTTATACGCGCAACACCTGTGTATTTAAAACAGCGTTCACTAAATTACAACCGCACACGTTAGCAGTCAACGTGCGGCGGGCATTTCACGCGACGACTTCACACGAACGTGCGCCACCGGGGATAGAAGTGAACGCTCGCGTCTACAAATCGAACGGCGTTCCGTATCACCGGCCACCGCCAAAGTCGCAAGCCTCCCGGTCGTGCTGTCGTGAAACGTATCACAAATAAAAAGCGTACACGATAAGAAATCGAAGCGCGATTCGGTTACAGAGGTGTCGCTTGTGTGCGTAAGACAACAAGGGGTGAGCGGGTTGGCGCAAGAGGTTATCACACTGCGCTATGAACCCAGCGACCTGAGTTCGATTCCTGGCCACGTCTAACATCAGTGGCGAGTGATGCTTGAACCGGTCCCTAGCAGCCATCCCAAAATGACCAGCGCAGTGAAGTACGGTCAAACAAATGCGTTGGGAAGGCCTTCATCCGCCAGTGAATTGACGATGAAATGTTTATAATAAAAAAAAAAACATATATTCCTGGTTCTGGAAGCTCAGTCACATTTGCCATCAGTGTCTGCAATAAGCTGGTATGGAATTATCGTTTTGGGACCCTGGGCGTTGTGTGAGGGCTGCGGGGGTTTGAGCCAGCTGTATTGACCACGGAGATTTTTGCGCCGATTCTTTGGCAAGAGAGAGAAAAAAAAGAAAGAAAGAAAGAAAAAGGGACAGCCAAATTAGCTTCAAACATCGGCGGCGACTTTGCCGGATCTCTCGTCGTCACAAACCAGCGCGTGAATTAGGCCACGGGAGCGCAACGCCAAGCGTGTGTGCGCGTGTGTGGGCGCGTGTGTGCGTGCGTGTGTGGGTGCGTGTGTGCGCGTGTGTGTGGGTGCGTGTGTGCGCGTGTGTGCGCACGTGTGTGGGTGCGTGTGTGCGTGTGTGTGCGCACGTGTGTGCGTGCGTGTGTGCGCGCGTGTGTGCGTGCGTGCGTGTGTGCGTGCGTGTGTGCGCGCGTGTGTGCACGCGTGTGTGCGTGCGCGGCTAATAGCGTTCACAATTGCAGGGGAATTATGAGCTTTAGGATAATCCCCTCCCTCTCGAGGCCTCCCCTCAAAAACGGGGCAGCTGGGCTCACGACGCGGGCGCATGGCTGGGGCTGCGTTGAGAGTGGAGACGCGCGCAGGCCGGGGATCCCGCCACCAGGCGGGGATCATGGGTTTGAGTCCAGGTTTCCAGTCGCCCGAGATTGAACCGGGGTGCGTCGAGTTGATGGTGCCAGCCCGGTCACCAATGACTGCACATAAACCACTCCCCCACCCCCTGCCCACGCCCCCATCCTATTGGATTAATATCTATTTGAGAATGTTATATATACATATACACACACAAGTAGAAAATACTTTCGCCGCAATGCGATGAAAATCTGTTGTAGGTTTGCGCATATGCCCCCGAGAACAAATGGCTCGTCGTGAGTAAGCGTGGCTCAAAGCGGCCCCTCCATGATGCGACGCTGCCGACCGCGGCTCAGGGCGGCTCGCCGCGCGGCGCCCCTCCACGGCGGCGGCGACGCTCGGCACGGCTCGGCGTGGCTCGGCGTGAGCGAGCGTGGCTCCGACGCGGCGCGGCGCGGCGACGTGTCTCGGCTCGTACCGGAGAACTCGACGGCGCAGACGCCCCGCCGGTGCTCCCCCTTGAGCACGGCGAGCGGCCGCAGCGTCTCGGTGTCCCACACGTGCACCGCGGCGTCGCGCCCCACCTGCGGCAAAACCACACCGGGCGCACGGCGCCGCCACCGCCCCCGCGCCTCTCAGCCTCCGCTCTCGCTCGCACCGGGTCGAGCTAGCAAGGGCGGCGAAAACGGGACGCGTTGGGCAAATGCGTTGGGCAAATGGACGTGTGAATGGTGCGGGACAGGTGTGTGGACAGGCGGATAGATGGATGAATGGACAGATGGGCTAAAAAAAAGCACGTGGATGGACATGATGGACAAACTGAAGGACAAACCAATGGATGGATGTACAAATTGATGTTACAAATGGACAATCAGACGGACGGATAAGATCCATAAGCTAATAGACAAACAGACACATGGATGGACAGAGAGAGTGCCAAAGAGCCAAACGGACCTGCCGGAAGGATGAACGATTGGACGTACAAATGAATAAACGGATGAACAAAACGTAAGGACAGAAGAACAGTCAGACAGACAGAAGAACGGACGGTGGTGATGTTGGCACTCGCGGGGTGGATAGCGAGGCATGGCTAGCAGATGACGGACGGACAAACAGACAGACGGGCGGACGGAGGGAGGGACAGAAAGCTGGACAAACGAACAAACGGACCGACAGTCGCATCGTCACCTGGACAGACTGACGAATGGACAGATGGACGTTTAGACACAAGGGCCGACGAACTGATGGACGGACGGAGGGACAGGCAGCTGGACAAATGAACGGATGGACAGGCACGCCCGCAGACCTGCCCGGTGGCGATGTAGTCCTTGGCGGGGTGGATGGCGAGGCAGAGGATGTCGTCGTCGTGGCCCAGGTAGAAGCGCTGCGTGTGCTGCTGCCGGTTGTACACGATGCCCACGGCCGCCACGTGGTGCACCACCTCGCCCGTCTGCGTGTAGTACAGGTTGTTGCGGCAGTCGTAACCACGGTACCTGCTCGCACGTGCGCACAAAGACAAAGATACCCCTGTAGAGCCTTAACGGACTGTCGGGGGCAAGTGCTGTCGGCGAGCAATCTGTGAAGGCCGGCACGGCACACGAGGGGAGGGGGTGGGTGGCCAGCACCACGCCTGACCACCTTTGTCTCCCGAGTGGTAACGTTTACACGCCGCACCAGGTTACTCATCTGAGGCTGAGTCGACCTAGGGGAGGCCCAGGACCGTCACTGGTGTTGGCCGTGAGCGGGAATCAAACTCGGGTCGGTAGGTTCGTAGCGCAGCGCGCTAATCGCTACACTATCGCTCCCCACTACACACATACACACACACATACACACACATACACACACACACACGCATGCATGCAAACAAAGGTCCCCCCTCCGGAAAGCCTTAACAGACCGCTGGTGCGAGTGTATGTGTATTATGTTGAACTTCTTTCGCACCGTACGTAGCCAACCGTGATAATCGGGGCAAGTGCTGTTCGGGAGCAACAATGAAGGCCGGCCGCGGCACACGAGGAAGTGGTGTGGCTAGAAAGCACCACGCCCGACCGCCTTTGTCTCCCCAGTGCTGATGTTCACGCACCGCACCAGGTACTCATTTGAGGCTGAGTCAACCTAGGGAGAGCTCAGGACCGGTGCAGATATTCCTCACAAACCAATTTTACCCACCGTCAAGAATCAACCTCAGTTCTGCCGGAGTTCACAGCCCGGTGTCCCATCCACTGGCGCCTCTGTCGCACCCTCCCTCGCCAAACGTACGCCACGCGAAACGTAATTCATGCGGAGGAGTGTGTGTGTGTGTGTGCGTGTCTTGTTGTTTCATTTCAAAGTTTGTTTTTATTCAGCGATGCGAAGATATTTACATTTAATTCGCGCAATTATTCTTTCCCCACGAGTGAACTGCCCGACGCCGGTGTCACCGGCGGAGCATGCGAGCTCGTAAAGGTGGAGCCAAGGTACAGCGCATCGCTAACCGCCATCGCCATCATCATCATCAGCAGCAGCGTCGTCATCGTCAGCTACGGTTTATCTACTGCTTGATGAAGGCACCACCCCCCCCCCGCCCCCCCACTAACTCACGTCCCAATTGCTCACGATGTCGTTGACGTAACGACCCATTCGAGCTCCGGCACTCGAGACGACTTCACTGCTCCGTCTCCGCCGATGAAACGTGTCCCCTAAGGGTGGGCGCTGCAACTCCGTCGCGAGTCTCGACCAAGGCCATCTGGTCGCCTGCCCCAAGCCCACTCTCACTGTTCCGTGGCGGCGAGATGTTATCCACCCCGTCTGGTATGCAGGAGGTCGTGGGTTCGATCCCAACCCTGACGCCTGCCGTATATCTGGAGTTTGCGGTGTCCCTCTCCAAGTGGTCGTGTGGATTTTTCTCCGGGGCCCTCCGGTTTTTCGCTCCACATTTAGCGACAATTGTGGGAACGCGCACACGGAGCGGGAAGGCGAGGGCGGGAACGCACCCGTGTACAAAGTGCAGGCGCAGGCTGCTGCTGGGCGCCCGCTCGCGCCTCTGAGACGTCGCCGCTCGCTTCTTCTCGCGGTTCTGCTGACGGAGCTGCGGGAGGTCCTCCTTGTAGACCTGGGTCCGCATGCACACGCACGCACGCATGCACACACGCATGCACACATGCATGCACGCACGCACACACACACACGCATGCACACATACACATGCATGCACGCACACACACACACACGCATGCACACATACGCATGCATGCACGCGCACACACACACACACACGCATACACAACAACAACCGCCATTCGCCACTAAGTGGCGGTGACGTCACCACGACGCTTGTGCCAGGCTATGTGCACCCTGAGGCCAGGTGAAGTGTCGAACGCCCGCTGGCAGGAGGTCACGGGGCAGACCCAGGTGCCACGGGTCGACTGACTGAGATGACTGGCTGATGCACCACCTGTGCCCCCTACTGTGCCAACCTGCTGTGCTTTAGCCACCCGGCGCTCCGCTCGTTGTTCTGAGCGTCGCTCCTCCGCCCTCTGTTGTTTTTGGAGGGCGACTGCCTCCAACTGCCCAGTAGCATCCTTCACGAGCCTCCTCCACAGAGGCCGATCTTGACACCGCTGGTACCAGTCATCGGCAAGTCCACTCAGCTCCACGTCCTCCTGTACCACATCACTCCATCTCTTCTCTAGCCCGTGCCGCGCCCGCTTAGCCCCCTCAATCCGGCCAAACAAAAGCTGTTTCGGCATGCGGTGGCTGGGCATGCGGGCTACATGACCCAGCCATCGCAGCCTTGCCTGCCGGAGGAGCTCACCGATGGGACCCTGCCCAGATCTTTCAAGGATTTGTGAGCTCCTCACACAATCCAGTCTGGTTAAACCCAGGATGGATCGTAGGCAGGCCAGCCTAAATGTTTCTAACCGGCGAAGATGTTCCATTAGGGGGGTCCACGTTTCGCAAGCGTAGAGAAGGGAGGAATGACCGTGGCCGAGAAGACCTGAAGCTTAGTGCGGAGCGACAGACCAGGTAGCTTCCACACAGCGTTACGCAACCGATGAAAAGATATTGCCGCTCGACTGATTCGGAGTGAGACCTCTGCTGTTAAACTGGAGCCAGTCATAAGCACACTGCCCAGGTATGGGAAACTCTCCACTCTCTCCACAACTGCCCCATCACCGATTGGGAGTTGTGGGGGTGGAGTGTCCGATGGTACAAAATACCCAGGCAGGTGCTTAGTTTTGGTGGGGCTGATGGTAAGGCCCCACCTCTTAGTGGCACGCTCCAGTCTCAGCAGCAGCGTCTCCAACTCCTCCTCTGACTGAGCAGCTATTACCAAATCGTCAGCATACATAACGTGGTTGAGCAATAGGGAGCCATCCCTTGACCGCACCCGGGCATCGATTAGCCTCCCATTATATCTGTACCATATGGAGATTCCCCCGGTACAGCTATTGAAGGCTTCACGAACTACGTGGTCAAAATAGATGTTAAATAATGTGGGAGCCAGAGGACATCCCTGTCGCACCCCAAGGTGTACAGGGAATGGCTCTGACTCCCGGCCACGTAGTTTTACCCGGGCCCGCTCACCATCATGAAGGTCCTTAATGATCGTGAGCAGAGGGTCAGGTACTCCAAAAGCACGAAGAACGACCCACAGCCCAGGCCTACTGATGGTATCATAGGCCTTGACCAGGTCAATAAAGCAGAGATGTAGGTCTTGTTGGAATTCCCTACACCTCTGCTGTAGCAGACGGACAGAAAATATGGCATCTGTGCAGGACCGCCCTTTCCTGAAACCGCATTGACACACACACACGTACACATGCACGCAGCGCACACGCGCATATGCACAGGCACACACGCGGCACAATGCACGTACACGCGTGCGCGTGCATACATGCGCGCACGCACGCAGCACAACGCACACACGTTAAAAGTCAAAATGCTCATTTAACAAAAAAATCGTGTGGCTGCGTTGCTCAGAAGTATGGGCAAATATCACAGTGCAAATATGTTCCCACCAGTGAACGCGTTTCCCGCGACTTTTTTGTACCCCCTGGGTGAAGGAGAGGGTTAGGGCATGGACACTACCTTGGTTAGGACAACAGATGATGTGGAAGCACACTGAGCAGCTCTTTTGCATAATATAAAAAAAATAATTGGTCTTGAAATTAAGCATTTAGTTGAAAACGCATTAATGTCGACTCACTCACAATGAACGATAACTCTTAAATTCATAACACATTTGTTTTCTGTTCGGTCACTTCATGGCGTGCCCAAATTTGTGCCATTAAGAGCCCTGCACAACCTGACACAGCCAAACAAATTAACTCATAATAAAGGTTTTTGGGTTAGATCGCGTTTATTTATAAATGTGTCGTAACCCTCCACCACCCGACACGGCCAATCAGCAAAAAAAGTGTCACGTTGACAAAAGACAAATAATTCACTACTTTAGCCCACCAGTGTGTTGAAGAGTGAATCCACATTTACAGTTTGAGTACGACGTTTCGCTGGTAAATACATCCAGCATCATCGGGCAATTCGCCAGAATAATGTTGGTCGCGAAAGCCTACGTGTTAAACAAACAAATTAACTGTCAGAGTTTAACTTCTGGGACCGTCACTCTGAATTTCTGGATCTCGTCCTGACAATGACGGAGAGAGAGAAAGAGAGAATACTGTTCGGCGCGTTACAAGTTGATATTATCCTTAAAATATATTTTTTTACGAGCGCTGCCAAATTGTAAATTTCAGCACAGAACACAATTTGACTTTTATTTTTTTTTACCATTCGTGCCAGGGGCATTAGGGCCGGCATGAGTCTTAGGTCAATGGCTAACCCAGGTGACATTGCTCGTAGTGCGGTGCGCTAACCACTCCACCACCGCTCCCATCCCCGTCGCCCATCGGGACCACAGGGCACAGAAGTGAAATTGCTCGTCGCGGGGCGCTCCACCCACATGCCGCTCGTAGTTGATCTGCATCTCCTGCTCGATGTCGGAGTCCAGTTCCGGAACGTCGGACAAATCCGAGTCGGAGCCCTCGCTGTTTGACTCCGTGTACGTCTCTGTTGGGTCATCGGAACCAGAGGAGGCATGGAAGGGAACAAGGTGCCTGTGTAAGCGACGCACATTAACAAACCAACCCCTGAGTTTACACACGCACACCACGCACCGTTTTTTTTGTCTTCTGATTATAGCGAGGATACATTACGCCGATGGTCTCAGCCCAGTCGCCAGTGACTCTACCAAAATAAAATGTATAGGCAGCATTTAGAATTCATATAGAAAGGCAAAGATCCCCCGTATAGCCTTGAGCAGGCTGTTAGGGCAAGTGCTGTTAGCAAGCGCCTCTGAAGGCCGGCACAGCGCACGAGGTGGTGGGTGGCCAACACCACGCCCGGCCGCCTTTGTCTCCCCAGTGCTGATGTTTACACACCACACCAGGTACTCATTTGAGACTGAGTCGACCTAGGGGAGGCCCAGGAACAGTTCAGATAAATCGTCAATGGTGTTGGCCGTGAGCGGGAATCGAACTCGGGTCGCCGGAGATCATAGCGCAGCGCGTTGACTACTTCTCCCCGCATCTACACACACGCGCGCACCTTAACATGCACGCCGTCTTGCACGGCTCTATAAATGCAGATTTGGTGTAAAACTGAACAGTATTGTACTCGAATGTAGTTCTGGCAAATCTCCTTCTGTGGGTCGCTCGCCACCGCTGACGTTTTTCCTTCGACTCACGACACGGCGACAATCAGCACCCAACCCGAGCAAGGGGTGACAGTAAAAAAAAGAGAGAGACACGCACATTTCGCACATACTACACTGACCAGGTGCCGCGCTCATTTACCATGAATCGGCCCACCTTGGCAACTCACCGAGCCGCGCTGTAGCACAATCCATGGCGCGGTATCCCATTTGGGCTAAATAAGGGCCAGATCACTTTGCGAAGCGACGGACAACGACGACAAAAAAAACCCTCTCTTCTCTCAGCCGCGGATTCCATACCGGCGAGGGCGCGCAGTCCTTTCCGCTTCCGTCGGCCACTTTATTAAAATGTTCCGCACCGATCAAGTGCGCTCAAACAATCACCGCCCTGTAGGGAGGGAGGTATTTCATCTGGCAGTGGACTGACAAAGTGCTGTAATATTCCACACGAGCCAGACAACTGCAGAAGCATTCAGCGCTCGGGCAATTTCATCGGTTGTCACGATCCTGGGTCGTGATTTGGTTCAAGAACTGATTAGACTCTCTGTGCCGTCCATACTGGACATCTTGTTCGCATTGCCCTTCGAGTATGTACCGTCTATCTCGCTTGTTATGCCTGTGCCCTTTGTTCGGCATAGCCATGTTAATAATGATTTTACATGCCGATCCATAGTGCAAATCCACTGATGAATCAGGGCTTCCTCATGCCTTTCAATCATTGGCATTGTGTGATTACACATCACCAGGCCTGTGAGTGGCAGTTGATGATGGGGTGGGAGTTGGTGGAGGGGGGTGTCTAGGACTGATTCAGATATCGCTTGCCACTGATAATAGCCGTGGCTGTAAATTTAACTCGGACCGCCGGGTTCATAGCAGTGGCCCCTAACCAGTGTGCCAACCATTCCATCCAATACGGAATATACAGCGGTATTAATGTCTAGACTCAAACGTGGTGTTATATAATAGTATACATTGTCAATCCACTGCTGGATGAGCAGCTCCCTATATTTGTGCGTGGGGGGGGGGGGGGGTCACGGGGTTTATTTGACCATACTTCACCATTTCAAGGCACGTGTCACACATCAGTTTAAGCAACGAATAGCTGTAGCCCGGAGCCAACGGGAGTGCTGGCATTGGTGCCCGGCCACACGCACGGTTGAACGGTGGAACGCCAAAATATCGACGGCGGCATCGATTACAAAAAAATATAAAACAACATTCCGTTACGGGGGTCGGACCGCGCAATGGAAGGTGAAATTTTTATTGTAAATTGCAGTACGTGCTCGGGAAAAAAAACATCCGTGAAAAAGAGGTTCGCAGCTCATCGGATTCCCCCAGTCTGAATAAATATTCTGACTATGATTCTGCAACGTGCAACTCGCGAAACCCTCGAGAGTTGCACGTTGCCTTACAACTCTCGAGCGTGCACGGCAACGCACGCGCACACACACGTACCAACGCGAGCGTGCACACACGTACAAACGCACGCGCGCACACACGTACCAACGCACGCGCACAGACATACCAACGCACGCGCACACACATACCAAAGCACGTATGCTCATCATGCTGCTGCTGCTGCACGGCGCGACATTTAATCTAGCCGCTCGCCGCGACAATAAGAAGAATGAGCGTGAGGTGAAAGGAAAAATATTTAACAAAACAGAGACACCATTGTGAGAGTGTTTTGCAGCCAATCTTGCCCACAAACTATACATATTTGGACAATGATGCTGGTCAGCCAAGGCTGTGAAACAATGTACGGATGATTCACCGCTTCCATTTATTCTTAAGCGCAAGATGAAGCTTCCGTGGCGATCACGCCCGGCTTCCGTGACAGCCCAGACCAATTTAGTGATAAATGTCGCAAAGCGAGCCTAGAGCACATGTCCCAACCCATACCACTGCTCAGCCACCACCACCAAACAGACAAAGATCCCCCGTATAGCCTTACCAGACTGTTGGGACCAAGTGCTGTTAGCGAGCAGCACCTATAAAGGCCGGCACAGCACACGAAGGGGTGGGTGGCCAACATCACGTCCGGCCGCCTTTGTCTCCCCAGTGGCGATGTTTACACACCGATACCAGGTACTCATTTGTGACAGAGTCGACCTAGGGGAAGCCCAGGACCGGTTCAGCCAATCGTCGCCGGTGTTGGTCACGAGCGGGAACCGAACTCGGGTCGCCGGGTTCGTAGTGCAGCGTAGCACAAACCTTCGCACCACCGCTCCCCATTTTGTCTTTGTAGCCACTACCACAAGCACCACCACCACCACCCTCATAAGCAGAGAAAAAACAATCACAACCAAAACTCCTTTGCGTGTCGACGGCGCATAAACAAACGCGTTAGAGTCTCCGTTGGCCCGTTGGCCTTCACGCTGCACTCACAGAATCGTGCGTCTGAATCCATTATTCATGAATTAGGTAAATTGTACGCAAATTGTATTCCAATGCAAGCCGATCGCTCAACGAGGTGGATGGCACAAGGTGGCATAATAAAAAAATGTAAGCGATTTCTTGAATACGATCGGGACGCTGAATTCGTGACATTTCCGTTGAGCCGTTTGGGGACCTGATTTACTGCGTGCCCTAAGCAAGCCGCCACGGTACGTTACATGGTGACCGGTTTATGGGTCTAGCATTTTTCGTGAAAAATGTGAACTCGGTCGTCGCACGGGCAGAATATATTTTTTTTCTTGGCGTAGGGATCCGCCGTAAGTTATGATATCTCACAAAAGGGACACCTTTGACAAGCCCCGAGTTTATGGAGAAAAGACTACTCGGCGGGCCGAAACCCTGAGAGACACGACAGGCCTTGCTCGTACGTTCACGTGCCCTCTGCCATGACTGCTGACTTGGGTTCAAACCAAGCGGGTATCTGAGACAGCCCCAAGCCTGGAGATAAAGGAGCAGGGTCGGGCGAAAAGGTGACGATACGTCGGCCGGAAGGACAGCATTGCAACGCGCGTGACGACGACGACTACAGCGACGTCGTCCGAATGACAAAATGCGCAGCGGACACCTACGACGGCCCCTCTGCCCATGGATCGTGATGCTGCTGCTGCTGCTGATGATGCGTGGGTACGGTGAAGGCAGTTACCCTGCGGCGGGGCGTCGGACACGGGCACGCCCTCGGGGATGAAGCGCCACTGGAAGAGCGAGTGGTCCGTGCCGCCGATGCTCACGAGCCACGTGCTGTCCTGCGACCAGCGGGCGCACGTCACCGGCGCCGAGTGGCCCACGTACTTGCGGAACTTGGCCCCTGTCGCGAAGACGGGCGGCGACATCGGCGGTGAGCGCAGACGACAGGGACATCGGCGACAGCGTCAATGACATCATCGCCGACAGCGACATCGTCGTCGCCGTCATCGTCATCGCCGTCAACAACAGTGGCAACACACGACAGCATCATCGGCAGTGACAATAAAAGTGACGTCAAAGACGTCGTCATCATCGTCATCGGCTGACGACGGTGAAATGAACAACAACAATACGACTGCACCGACTGCCAAATCACAACAAAAACAACAACAGTAGCAACAACATCAACAGTAAGGGCATCTGCGTGTAATGTGTATTGAAGTCTTCTTCCCAATTCCCATCCCAATTGCGACATTGGCATCGCGTCACGAGAATGGAGAGAATCCACATCACAGAAGCGGTGCAGCCCTGGACCAGTTCGGGACATCACTCGCCACCGACGTCACAGGCGTTGGGAAGCTCAGCTGACCAGCATTGGGTGCACTCCGGGTGATTAACCCTTACCCAGGGGCACCGCGGTGGCGAAATGTTAACTACCTCTCCTGGTACGCAGGTCGTGGGTTCGATTCCCGACCCTGACACCTGCTTATTTGGAGTTTGCATGTTTTCTTTCTCTCCCCGTAGTCGCGTGGATTTTTCTCCAGGACCTCCGTTTAATGTCTCCGCATTTAGAAACATGCGTTGAGAGTGATTGGATGATATATTTCCACGTGACGAGCCACTTCGTTGGGGTATCATTTGTGGCCAGGTTGCTTCTGAAAAAAGAGCTATACAGCTCACTGACCCTTAGCTAGTAAAATAAAAAAATAACTGAAAGATTAAGACACGGGAAAATGTGAGTTACGATGATGGAATGCCACCAAGGGTACCTTTACAATTAAAGTATAGAAAGTGGCTGTATGGCCAAATCGGTTTTGTGAACAATTAACTTACTTAGCCGAAGCTTCTTAAGCACTCGGAGTACCCCACGGAGATTGAGAGGTGTGAGGCGTGGGCGGGCATAGAAAGCTGCCCACAGTTATCCGAATTAAAATCTAGCACAGCGATTATTTCCTTCCCAGAAAATTAATGAAATCTAATCAGGAGAAGTTGCCGGGCGAATCGATTTCCATTAATCCCACTCGCGGTGGTCTGCGCCGTGTGAGAGCGGTGATAATCTACGGCGGGCGCTTGCTTTCTGTTCTTCTTCTTCCTCGGGTTTAATTTGACGTGTTCTCCTCCACACCCCCCCCCCCCCCTCCTTTGTTGGTAAATTATCGTCGCGGGGCTGAAACGGGGAGAACGGGCACGCTGATGCCAAGACATCAGCGTGCCTGGTTGCCCGTGCGGTACAACGTGACTCGCGCCGACTCGCGACTGTGGCACGCGAGCAACCCCCTTTGCCTCGACGCGTGAGCTCTCACGCAAGCGAGGGGGTAATGAACGATCCCACATGACCGGGCCGGTAGGCTGCTGCCGCTAACATCCTTGCGCTCCCAGCACCGAAGAAGCTCCTGGCAAGTACAAGGCGAAACGCCCCGACATCACGCCCAACAGTGGGCAGTTAAAGCCGACAAACAACACCATCGGAGAGCCACAAAGTATTGCAAGAGATGGCAGTGCGGTCGTGAATGTTTAATCCATCTGTGTGGCGCTCTGAGTATTCCCCTCCCCGTATCCATGGTGGGCTCTCCCCGGGCACTCCAGTTGCATCCCGCATGCCAAGGCTCATTAAGATTGTTTTAGCCAAACATCCCAAAGACATGACCCTCCTGAAAAGTAGTCGTGAAGCTCAATAAACCTTTCCTGCGTACATCTTAAGATGCACCCCCCCCCCCCCCCCGATAGTTTATATCTATCTAGTATGTACCGCCATCGTCAGCCACGATGAATCCACCGCTGGATGACAGCCTCCCCAAGCCATCGTCGCTATCATCTGTCAAAGTCTTGCGGAGCGAACGAGCGGTGTCCCGCGGGGGCCGACGTCGTTTGTTTGAAGCGGCCGAGTTGCCCGGGATGAATCGGCGGGACGGCGCTGAGCCTCCGGAGCCGCGCTTTGACTCGTGGTCGCGTCGTTTACAAAGCGCGCAGGAGCAGGAAAAAGAAAGATAATAGCCATCGCGAATGAAGAGCAAATCATGGGTTCTGTTTAAATAAATAACCGTTTCAACGATGATTTAATTGGTGATGCTGCGTTGGCAGTGGTGCAAACGCACAATTAAGAATAAAACTTAACACGTTCGTCAATAACAATGTGTGTGGCCTTAAAAAGCGGAAATATATAATAGGCAAAGCTTCGGGCAATGGCTCTTCCAATAAATGTAGATTATGTTTACCCTGGAAATCTACGCTTTGTTGCACCGCCCCACCCCACCTCGACCACCTTCGATCAATTCTCACCATGAGAGTTGTAAATATCACGAACCCCATGCGCTCACGCAGGGCTTAAAAGTCCAAGCGGGAGGTGTACTCGATGTGGTGCGGCTGCTGTGGACAAACCCGGCTGGTGGACTTGAATGTGCCTTGCTTCGAGTTTTTTTTTTCTTTCAATTTTATTCCAAAATTTAAAAATCTCGGAGAGCAGTGACCCTAGTTAGAGAACGGGGCATGGTAATGGATATCACAGAATCACTTTTGAGATATTTTCCAATTGACCTTTGAACCACACTTGGCTTCCTGCTAAAGGGATGTTTGCCACATGGCAGTCAACCCAACGTTATTCATTCTAAGAAGTGGAATTGTTGCTAAATTTAAGTAAAAAAAATCTAAAATTTACTTCACGGGTATTCGTTAAATGGCAAGAGCACTCCATTGGTGACCAAGCTGAGATCATCAACTCACTGCACCTGAGATTTTGATTTAGTAAAACGCCACTGAAAACAACCTGGCATCGAACCTAGGTTCTCAATCGTGCCGGCTGCTTATCACGATGATGACGATCAATGATTTTTGTTAACGATGATCTGCTGCTGCTGCTAATGGTGACTTGTGAACCTTGTAATAATAACGTAATTTGTATAACAAACATTGTTTCATCAAAATTGTTTCTAAACGACAGCGCTACTTCTTAGCCTGGCCGGAACGCGGTTCGGTGCGTTGCACACCGAGCACGTGACGGTGATTTGTGCTCCGATTGTAAATCACAGCACGGGGTGTTCAAGGTGGAAAAGAGCCCCTGACGAATGAGCTTTCATCATGCGCACACAAAGCCCGTCCATCGCAGGAATTGGATTCCAATAGAATCAGACGGCGAACATCCACGAGGTTTGCTAACGGCTCAAGAGTCGAGCAGACGAACGAGGGAACGACGGCGCCCTTGAGTTGGCCAGCCAGAAGCCAAACTCACCGCCGGCTGGCCGCTGCGCCGCCGCTCGCCGACGCCTGTGACCGCTGCGCGAAAGTAAAAAAGGCACCGCAGGCGATTGCGCGGCGTTGCGGCTCTCGAGCGAAGAACTTTGACGGCGCAAGGAGAAACCCCGGTGGGGGGGGGGAGGGGGATGAAAGAGCTGCGATTGAATCAGAACAAACCCAATAAAGCCGAGCTCAGGGCGGAGCCGTCAACCGTTGCCGTAACCTGGCGGGCGATCGGATCCAAACAGGCCTCGGGGTATATATATTTATTTTTTAACATGTAATTTGTAAAAAAAAAGAAACGTGTTAGGGAAGTGTGCGGCGGGCGTCGTGAGAACACGTGGAGAGCGCGGACAGCGAGCAGCACACACAGCCCGGTTGTGAGTGTGGCTCCACGCGGAAACACAAACGATGGCGCGCGTCCATCAGCCTATCGGCTTTCCAGACCAGATATGATCCAGGAGCATTTGTTTGAGTTTAACGCTGGACCGGTTTTGACCTTCTGGGTCTCAGTAGCAGAATCGTGCTTGTTAAGCAAATGCTGCTGGTTTAACCGGATGTTATTGGTAAGAGCACTCCATGTGAACTCCATGAGGTTGCCACGGTGGTGAGATGTTAACTGCCTCGCCTGGTATGCAGGCCGCGGGTGCGATCCCGACCCTGACACCTGCTGCTGTATATTTGGAGTGTGCATGTCTCTCTCCCCGTGGTCGCGTGCGTTTTTCTCCAGGTCCTCCGGTTTTCCCCTCTACGTATAGAATCAACGTCACGCGTTTATAGAGTGTTTGTCTGCTGTACATGTCCACGTGAGAAGCCGCTTCATTCGTAGCCAGGTGGCTTCTGAAAAAAAGAGCCATTTAGCTCAGTGGGCCTTACCTGGTAACAGGGAAGGACAACAAACTAAACACAAACAGCAGTTCGAAAGAAATTAGTTTTCAATGTAGATTACATAAAAGTGCATTGCCCCAAGTGGCTTCCTAATATCGGAGGGAAGAGCGTTCCCAAACAGACCGCAGGAGCGCGTCTGAAAGGGAACGCGATGCGGTGACCGTCTTTGTTCGATGGCCAGCAGCCAAAAGCCGCTGCGAGGACGACCACCAGAGTTCGAATGGACAGAGCACTCACTGCACGTACGTAGGGAGTAGCACACATGAACTTGCATAGCTCCCGGTGGCTTCCTAATATCGGAAGGAAGAGCGTTCCAGACGGCCGCAAGAAGCGCGTCTGAAAGCGCCGCGCGACGCAATGAGCGGTCATCGAGTGACGCGTACTGCCCAGGGCCCAACTTTCATTCATTTTTTCACCCCCAAAGGTCAAAACGATGTCCCTCCGATCCACGCGACCTTCCGTTCCATTCCGCTCTCTCTCTCTCTCTTACCGTAATTAACAAAGCAAATGCCATCTTGAGTCCTGGATGTAACAAGAGGGTTTTATAAGCGAGTAAGGTAGCTTAACCCGGCGACCCAATCATTTGATTCATTTGCACGTCGTCGTGCACAACACCTGAAGTCGTTGCCATCGCGAGAGACGCGCGCAACTGGCGGAATTACGGGAGCTAGAGGCGTCCGTTTAATGAAACCGATGCCGCCGGCCGCATTGCGCGTGCAAAGGGGCTTCTGAGACGAGCGACCGAATGAATGTGTTAACGAAGATCACCGGGGATGGGGGGCACGAGCCCCCGACAACCCGAAACCCAACGCCCAACCCAAGGGGATTTTATTAATCGTCGTGATTTAGAGCCGCGGTTCAATCCAACGATGAATTTTATTTTTCTCGTTTTTTACCGTCTCCTTTGTATTATTAATAGGGGTTTTGTTCCCCCTTGTCACGTTCGAATAGTTTTGTTCATTCTATCAGCCTAAATGTAACATTGGCATATATACACGACAGCAATTATTAATAGTAGCAATACTCACTGCCACTTGTCCGTACAATACACCACGAGGGCCTCAGTGACGGGACAGGGAACTGAGCTGAAACCAACAAAGGCACGGCACGGCACGGCTAGGGTCCTACCCCTAACGGAACCGTGCCGACGAAGCACGATTAGCTGGTTCCTCATCCCCCCCCCCCTCCTCTCTATCTCCCCGTTTGTCCACTCGTGTCTCCTCTCTCCTCTTCTCCTCTCCCCTCGCCTCGCCAACGCCCTCTCTGGCCCCCGTCTCCCTTCCGCTCTCCTCAATCCCCGCCTCCCTTTCTCGTCTCACCTCGAGCGTCTTGCCCCCCGCCCCTTCCTCCTTCACCCCCCCCCCCCCCGACCCCGGCTCTCTCACACCTCTTCGCTCGCTCAGCCACTCTCCCATCGATTCTGCTTCCTGTGCTGGATGCCCGTCACCGTCAACTCGCGCAATCTCTCAAGAGCGCGGAGCGGCGAGCCCCCTGTAATTTATTATCGCGGCGCGAAATTACGAGCGAGGGCCCTTGGGAGAGTCTGAACTGCCCCCCACCCTACCGCCTCCTCCCCCCCCCCACTCCAGCGGGATAACGCAACTCCATTGCGGCCACCTTTTTAGTGTCGCACCAACCTGACCGTCTGGCTGCCGAACGCAGCGATGAGGAGTCCTGCATCAGCGCTGGTACCTGCGGGTACCCACAGATCACCTGCTGGTACCAGCGGGTTACTCACAGATCACCTGCTGGTAATAGCGGGTTACCCACATTACCTGCTGGTACCAGCGGGTTACCCACATTACCTGCTGGTACCAGCGGGTTACCCACAGATTACCTGCTGGTACCAGCGGGTTACTCACAGATCACCTGCTGGTCTTTGCGGGTCACCCACAGATCACCTGCTGGTACCAGCGGGTCACCCACAGATCACCTGCTGGTACCAGCGGGTTCCCCACGGATCGCCCGCGGGTATCCGCAGAGAGGGGGTCGGAACTCAGTAATTTCCACAGATTGCCGTTAGGGTGCAGGTCCAGCCACGTTCATCGCAGTCACCTTGACCCCAACGGCAAATCCGTCGAAACGACTTAGTCCCGACCTGCTTAGCGGGTCACCAGCAGGGTCACCCGACGCAGACGTCGATTGCAACGCGGCGACAACTGCATTGCAATGCAATGGGCCCAGCTACGGATGGCCCACGGCACGCTGCGATGTCACGTGCTCACGTTTCGACGTCGCGCTCTGCACGCCAGCAACGCAGTACGGCCACGACCACGACGTCGTCACTATCGACCGCCCGCCATCATCCTTCCTAACGACTCAAGCCCCACTTACGTTTATTAACGGTCAATACGACGTCACTGATTTGTGGTGGCTCCTTGCTGATCCACGTGTTCGTCCTCCACCCTCCCGACCTCTCTCTCTCTGTCTCGATGCGATTCCAGGCAACGAGCCTCTCTTTCTCTCGCTGCCCTCCGCTGCTTTTGCGAATGTTGCAAAGCTATTCATTGTCGCTCCCTTGTTTTTTGGCGACGGCGGATTTCGTTTTAATATCGAAGCGTCGCGGCAGATGATGACGCACGGGGATGATCATTGCCTCCTTTGGGGCGCAGCGGAATGTGGATTTTTCGTGATTCGATTTAAGTTTTTTTTTTCCCACCGACGATGCTAAAGCTCGGCGCGAGGTTGCATTGCTCGCTCTGGGAACGCCGATGTCACGCGTGTGGTCACGTGATTTGCCGTCGCAGGCGTCTGTGCGTCCCTTGTGATCACAGACGGCGTTCATCTTCAGGACAAGGAAGTTTTCAATTCGAGTGCAGTGCTGTCATTCAAGGATGACAGGAAACGCGAACAAATATTCACCACGCTGCCGCACACCACCACCGCACCACATCACACAGCACCCACACATACCACCGCACCACACAGCACCACACCACACATACCACTGGAACACACCACACATTCTACTGCGCGACACAGCACCACCGCACACTGCACTGCACCACACAGTACCACCACACAGGACCACACATCATCGTGCACGCCACAGCACTGCACCACACTGCACCACACCGCACCACGCAGCACCGCACACATCATCACACACACGCCACGCACACACATCATCACACACGTCACGCACACACATCATCACACACGCTTCGCACACACATCATCACACACACGCCACGCACACACATCATCACACACACGCCAGGCACACACATCACCACACACACGCCACGCACACACATCATCACACACACGCCACGCACACACATCACCACACACACGCCACGCACACACATCACCACACACACGCCACGCACACACATCATCACACACACGCCACGCACACACATCATCACACACACGCCACGCACACACATCATCACACACACGTCACGCACACACATCATCACACACACGCCACGCACACATATCACCACACACACACACACCACGCACACACATCATCACACACACGCCACGCACACACATCATCACACACACGCCACGCACACACATCACCACACACACGCCACGCACACACATCATCACACACACGCCACGCACACACATCACCACACACACGCCACGCACACACATCACCACACACACGCCACGCACACACATCATCACACACACGCCACGCACACACATCATCACACACACGTCACACCACGGCACTCGCTCAGCACCGCAGCACCGAGACAACGCCGACACACAGTCAGGGCGTGTCGGGGGGGGGGGGGTTGCGATGTGCCTTGGCTCCCAAATATATTGCGGAATCGACGTTTCGGGACGGTTCCGGGTGATACCGAACGCCGTTCAGCAGCCTCGACCGCGTAATGACACAAGCGTAACGACGACGCTGACGACGACGACGATGATGACGATGACGACGCACAGCCCCCGTTTGGCGACGACGTGAGGCGCCGCTTCCTCACCCCGCGTCCTTGGCGGAATGCGGCACTGCCGGTTTTTATTTCCCCCCTTCACGTCGTCTCTTCATCGGAGTTGCCTGCCACGTTACGCCGCGGGTGGAAGCGCCACGCACGACAGGCCATTCGATCCCATTGCGCGGATATTATAATTAGCAACGCGTAGCAATTCTCAAACGTCGTTTGAGAATAAAAAAAAATTTACACGCGTAAATGTGTGAAATATTGTCTGTCTCTTAGAGGCATTTGTAGCATTTGGCCTCGGCTCTCATTTGATGAATTATTCCCCATTCAGGGTCGTGGTTGCCTCAACGCTCCATTCTCTTTTGTTGTTGTTTACGTTGTGGCGACGTTGCGGTGAATGCAGCAGCCACTAGTGGCTGCGAGAGGTCACGTGAACCCATTACGCACAACACACATACGAATAGGAAAAACACAACACAATTAGGATTTTTTTTGTTTCAAAACATGTAAACGTAATGTTTACACGTATCAACGTGGCCGTATTCTGAAATGCCGTACACAGAGGCAGTCGGTCACATGTAGAGTGAAAGAGGAAGGTCAATCACGCGTGTCGTACATGTGCCAAGTGCGTACGTGACGTGTATATCACGTGTTGCACGCGTGTACAATGTCACAAGCAATGTCACGCGTGTGCCACGTGTGCGCTACACGCGTGTTGCATGCGCGTCCAAATACTCGAGTGTGACGTATGCTATGGGCATCTGCGGTGGCCTTACAATATATTCCACGGACGGCATGCTTGTATCATGCGTGCGACATGTGTGTATGCACGTGTCATGCCCGTGGGACGTGCCCGTGTGTCATGCCCGTGTCGCCCGCGTGCTGCACGTGACACGCACGCGACACTCGTGCGACATGTGTGACCGCCGCACCGCGTTTGAAGCTGGGGAAGCGGTAGAGCCGCACGAGGCCCTGCTCGTCGCCCGCCCCGAGGACCCCTCCGGCGATGTTGGCGTCCAGCGTGCTCACGTTGTTGCCCGCACCGCCACCACCGCCACCGACGGAGCCGCCACCGCCGCCGTACTTGGGGTGGACCCCGGCCACCTCGATGCCGTACGGGCACGTCCAGGACACCCACGGGCTCACCTCCAGCTCCTCCTTCTCCGTCAGCACCTTGCCGACTTGCGGCCGCGGGACACGGGCGAACGTCACCGAAACGCCAACGCAGCGTGCATACATACGGCGGTAACGGGGGAAGTGGGGGTGCGGGTTGTATTGATTTGATGTTTAAAAGTGGTCAGCCTTAGGTAGAGGGCAAAGGACGCTGTTGAGTTTGGGACCTGGGCAGGGAGTGGACAGCATGGACGATTGGGGGGAATGGAGTTCCAGACCTTGGGGGTAGTGGAGGATAATTAGCGACATTCCACTGAGCAATGGCTCAATGAATAGGACCTTCGATTGAAAGCCTTAGTTCCTGGAGCGGAATGTGTGTGGAGAAGAGTGGAGGGAGATGAGAGGGGAGAGGTAGAGTGCGTGGAGGAGAGTGGAGGGAGATGAGAGGGGAGAGGTAGGAGAGTGCGTGGAGGGGAGATGAGAGGGGAGAGGTAGGAGAGTGCGTGGAGAGGAGTGGAGTGAGATGAGATGGGAGAGGTAGGAGAGTGCGTGGAGGGGAGATGAGAGGTAGGAGAGTGCATGGAGAGGAGTAGAGTGAGATGAGAAGGGAGAGGTAGTCAGGGATGAGTCCATGCGAACTTTGACGATAGTGGGCATTAAATATGGCCATTGTCAGTCGTTATTTTATCACCATCATCATTGTAATTTACCCATAGCTATTTACTTATTTTTTTCATTCCCACGGAACAGCCAAAAACCACAAGTAATACACAAACAATATAAAAGCACCCACAATCGGAAAACAACTCCCCGCGCATTTCCCACTTGACGATGAACCGTCAATAGATTGTTGATGCCCGGCGGTGCAGGGCCCACTCACAGGGCATCCTGTAGACGGCGCGGTGCCCGCTGGTGTCGTTCGTGTGAAGGAACCGGCCGTCCAACGTCCAGTCCATGTGCACCACCACAGCCGGGCCGCCTGGCACAGCCAAACCACCGCCACCGCTGCCAACGCCACCACCACCACCGACAGCCGGCCCGCCGGGACCTATCGCCACCACGGAGCCCGGCGTCACGGCCGCCGGCACCAGGGCCATCCCGCCGTCGAGCGGAACTCCGGACGCCCCCACGGCCCCCTGCAGCGAGCAGGCGCCTGCGGCGAGAACAAGAACGCAGTTTTTGCCATGGAGCCGTTGGTCCGGCTCGTGGAGCTGAAGGGAAAAATCGAAGGGAGGCCTTTGTGTCACCCGTATCCGAGCGTTCCGTTATTCAAACGGGCAGAAAAGGCCACATTTGTACAACGGGGGCACTGTAAAAGTGACAACCGTTATCGTCGTCAGCCGCGGTCTATCCACTGCTGGACGAAGGCCTTCCCAAGCCGTCGTCGTCTCTCGCGCGTCTCGCGACGCAATAATCCGTCTCGCTCCCGCGCGCGAGCCGCATCCATTGTCAGTCTTGAGCGGCGGCTCCGATGCCTTTCTCACGACGCGTCCTGTCCACGCCCGCCGCCAACACGATGCCTTTCGCTCGCCCGCCCTTCTCCCGCGCACGTGTTCGTCCGCTCTGCCCGCTCCTTTTTTCTCCCACCCCCCCCCCCCCGTCTGTCGGCGAAGGACAGCGGCGCGCTTCGGTCGCGAGCGGCGGTGGGCGCGAATCGTGCCGAGCCACGGCCTCCTCACCCGCGGGTGCCGGCGAGCACTCGCCGACCTTCTTGTAGCGCTGCGACGTCGCGTAGACGTCCACGCCGCCCTCCGCCGACGCCGCGGCTAAGTACGCGCCGTCGGGTGAGAAGCGGAGCACGTGGACCGCGTCCTTGCGCTCGCGAATGTGCACCACCTCCGACATGTCCCTGGTAGGGCGGGGTGGGGGGGGTAGGGAAGAATCCGATGAGCTACGTAGCTCTTTATTTTTTTTGTCAGCGGACGTCCAGCAGGGAACCGGGTAGTAATCATGTCCCCACGATGTATGTACGCTGAACTTGTTTCGCACCGTACGTAGCCAACCGTGCTATTCGGGAGGTGCGGGCGGAAGGACAACAAACTACACGCAAAAAAAGCAGTTCTAAAGAGATGAGTTTTCAATCGAGATGATTTAAAAGTGCATAGCTCCAGTCGCTTCCTAATATCGGGAGGAAGAGCTTTCCAGACGGCCGCAGAAGCGCATCTTGAAAGCGCGCGGTGCGGTGACCGTGTTTGTTCGATGGTCAGCCAAAAGTCGCTGCTGCGAGGATGACCGGAACGCGCGTGACGGTGGTTCATGCTCCTTGACGAGATCGGCGAGGCATTGTGGTTCATTCGTGGAAAGCACTTTGTGTGTGTGTGTAGTGAGTGCGACCTTATAACTTATTCGGTCAGCAACCGGAAGCCAATGCGGCTCGGCGAGCACTGGACGGGCACGGTCGATGGCATAACGAGGCCTCCGCCAAGGTCCCACGTAGTTCTAGGCGCATGCAGAGATCCCCCTACAGGGTTACCGATTGCGGGATCAAGTGCTGTTTTCGGCGAGCAGCCTCTTAAGGCCCTTAACGGTGCACCAGCGCTCATCTTGACAAACCGCACCAAGTAGTCACTCCAGGTCGAGTCGATATAGGGGAGGCCCCAGGAGCGATTCAGATACGCGCCGCTGATGTTGCCCGTGGCAGGGGGGAATGAAACCCAGGTCACCGGGCTTATAACGCGGCGGCGCTGACCGATACGTCAGCACTCCCCACGATTTTCCCATACCAACGACAGACAGATCGCCCCCTATAGCCTTAACAGGCCATGAAGACAGCCACGGAGCACGAGGGGGTGGGTGGCCAGCACCACGCTCGGGACCCCTTTGTGTCCCGAGCGGCGATCTTTACACACCGCACCAGGAACTCATTCGAGGGCGAGTCGACCTAGGGGAGCCACAGGAGCGGTTCAGATAATTCATCGTCACCGGCGTTGGCCGTGGGCGGGCAATCGAACTGGGGTCCCCGGGTTCGTAGCGCGGCGTAGCGCTAACCGACTACGCTACCGCTCCCCGCATCCCGCGCGCGCACGAGGGCAGCTGAGGGGCAACAGCGGAGCGGAGCGGCCGCTAAAAGGCGCGCAGTGGAAATCAATCGCCGGCGAGAGAGCGCACGCGTGTTGGAGGGCGGGGGTGGTGGAAGAAGTGTGGCGCCCTGGGGTCGAGTGCTCCGAATGTCCCCCCCCCCCTTCACCTCCCCCACCTCCCCTCCACCTCCCCCACTCCGCCGGGCGCAAACATCGCGAAGGGTTTTCCGCGCCAACTCCACCCGCCGGGTTTTTGTTTTTCCCACCAGCGACGGCCGCTCGCGGCAGACGGAACACGGGGGTGGAAAATTGCCAGGCAGGTGTGGTGAGGGTGGGTGGGTGTGGTGAGGGTGGGTGGGTGTGGTGAGGGTGGGTGGGTGTGGTGAGGGCGGGTGGGTGAGGGCAGGTGTGATGAGGGCGGGGTTGGTGAGGGTCGGTGTGGTGAGTGTGGGTGGGTGTGGTGAGGGTGGGTGGTGAGGGTGGTGAGTGTGGTGAGGGTGAGTGTGGTGAGGGTGGGTGGGTGTGGTGAGGGTGGTGAGGGCGGGTGTGATGAGAGTGAGTGATGAGGGTGGTGAGGGTGGGTGTGGTGAGGGTGGGTGTGGTGGGTGAGGGTGGGTGGTGAGTGTGGGTGGTGAGGGTGGGTGTGGTGAGGGTGTGTGTGGTGAGGGTGGGTGGGTGGTGAGGGTGGGTGTGGTGAGGGTGGTGAGGGTGAGTGTGGTGAGGGTGGGTGTGGTGAGTGTTGTGAGGGAGGGTGGTGAGGGTGGGGGTGGTCAGGGTGGGTGTGGTGTGGTGAGGGAGGGTGGTGAGGGTGGTGAGTGTGGTGAGTGTGGTGAGGGTGAGTGTGGTGAGGGTGAGTGTGGTGAGGGTGGTGAGTGTGGTGAGGGTGGGTGTGGTGAGGGTGGTGAGTGTGGTGAGGGTGGGTGTGGTGAGGGTGGGTGTGGGAGGGTGGTGAGTGTGGTGAGGGTGGTGAGAGTGGTGAGTGTGGTGAGTGTGGTGAGGGTGGTGTGGTGAGGGTGGGTGGGTGTGGTGTGGTGAGAGTGAGGGTGGTGAGTGTGGTGAGTGTGGTGGGTGTGGTGAGTGTGGTGAGGGTGAGTGTGGTGAGGGTGGGTGTGGTGAGTGTGGTGAGGGTGGTGAGTGTGGTGAGGGTGGTGAGGGTGAGGGTGGTGAGTGTGGTGAGGGTGGTGAGGGTGGTGAGGGTGGGTGTGGTGAGGGTGGTGAGTGTGGTGAGAGTGAGGGTGGTGAGTGTGGTGAGGGTGGTGAGAGTGGTGAGAGTGAGTGTGGTGAGGGTGAGTGTGGTGAGGGTGAGTGTGGTGAGGGTGAGGGTGGTGGGTGTGGTGAGGGTGGTGGGTGTGGTGAGTGTGGTGAGTGTGGTGAGGGTGGTGAGTGTGGTGAGGGTGAGTGTGGTGAGAGTGAGGGTGGTGAGTGTGGTGAGAGTGGTGAGTGTGGTGGGTGTGGTGAGTGTGGTGAGTATGGTGAGAGTGAGAGTGGTAGGTGGGGGGAGGGTGAGTGTGGTGAGGGTGAGAGTGAGGGTGGTGAGGGTGAGTGTGGTGAGTGTGGTGAGGGTGAGTGTGGTGAGGCTGAGTGTGGTGATGGTGGTGAGTGTGGTGAGGGTGGTGAGTGTGGTGAGGGTGGTGAGTGTGGTGAGTGTGGTGAGGGTGGTGAGTGTGGTGAGGGTGAGTGTGGTGAGGGTGGTGAGTGTGGTGAGGGTGGTGAGTGTGGTGAGGGTGAGTGTGGTGAGGGTGGTGAGTGTGGTGTGGTGAGGGTGAGTGTGGTGAGGGTGGTGAGTGTGGTGAGGGTGGTGAGGATGAGTGTGGAGGGTGTGGTGAGGGTGGTGAGGGTGGTGAGTGTGAGGGTGGTGAGGGTGGTGAGGATGAGTGTGGTGAGTGTGGGTGTGGTGAGTGTGTGGGTGGTGAGGGTGGTGAGGTTGTTGGTCATGAGGACACTTCGCGGACGCTTCGCGGGAGCCGCCACGCGAGCCCCTTCGTTTTGACGTCATCGTCGTCATGGATACGAGGAGAGTCAACAACCAATCGGGGGCGACCTGCGCCCCCCCGCCCCGCCCCCTTTCGGTCGGCAATTACAGAAGAGTCGCGGTGTGTGAGAGTGGCTTTTAGGCGTGATGGCCTTCATGCCGCATCAGCGGTTTATAAACAAAAACACGGACGGATGGATGGGGGTATGGAGTGGGTGGGCGGGAGGGGGGGAACGGTGGGGGTGGGTAAATAGCGCCGATAAAAACAAAGGAAATATGAATGAATAACCGCACACGGACACAACGCGCGTGCATCACGTGCCGTCCAAGGAGGCATTGTCGCAGAAGCGTCGATGCGATGGCAAGCCCCGTTTATTTGGCTCGCGCGAAGACACAACAAAAATGAGAAAAGGAGCAAGCAAGCAAGAAGGGCCCACGTCTCGTGTCAATGTCCTGCCGTTGCCCAGATGAATACACGCACGCAAACCACGACGCGTCGCTTCGTAGACATTGACGTTTTATTTTATATATATTGTTCCGTGGCCACACCTCCCCACATCAACACACGGGGCGAGATTTAGAATTCGCCAACCGCGCAGCGGACAAGCCAAGCACGCCGAGGCTGCAGCTGGTGGCACTGGGATCTCGGGAGAAATTGAGGCTCGGTGCGAGGCATGCCTGTGGATGAAACAGAGATGGGACAACGAATCGCCGCGTCTCAATACATTTACCTTGATTCGTATTCATGCGGAGCGCCTTATCTCAAGGCGCTCTGTAACATAGTTTAAGAGCGATAGCAATAAATTGAATGGATTAGATGGCAGGGGCAGTGCAAGGGCCGAGGAATGAGTGACCATAACAGAGGCCACGTGGGGGGGGGTCATTAAGGGGCAGGGAAGAGAATGGGCAGTCAATGGGCAGTGTTGAGTCTACGGGCAGTGTTGAGTCTACGGGCAGTGTTGAGTCTACGGGCAGTGTTGAGTCTATGGTGCAGTGTTGAGTCTATGGGCAGTGTTGAGTCTACGGGCAGTGTTGAATCTACGGGCAGTGTTAAGTCAAAGGGCAGTGTTGAGTCTATGGGCAGTGTTGAGTCTATGGGCAGTGTTGAGTCTATGGGCAGTGTTGAGTCTATGGTGCAGTGTTGAGTCAATGGGCAGTGTTGAGTCTACGGGCAGTGTTGAATCTACGGGCAGTGTTAAGTCAAAGGGCAGTGTTGAGTCTATGGGCAGTGTTGAGTCTATGGGCAGTGTTGAGTCTATGGGCAGTGTTGAGTTTATGGTGCAGTGTTGAGTCAATGGGCAGTGTTGAGTCTACGGGCAGTGTTGAGTCTATGGGCAGTGTTGAGTCTATGGGCAGTGTTGAGTCTATGGGCAGTGTTGAGTCTACGGGCAGAGTTGAGTCTACGGGCAGTGTTGAATCTACGGGCAGTGTTGAGTCTATGGTGCAGTGTTGAGTCAATGGGCAGTGTTGAGTCTACGGGCAGTGTTGAGTCTATGGGCAGTGTTGAGTCTATGGACAGTGTTGAGTCTATGGGCAGTGTTGAGTCTACGGGCAGTGTTGAATCTACGGGCAGTGTTGAGTCTATGGTGCAGTGTTGAGTCAATGGGCAGTGTTGAGTCTACGGGCAGTGTTGAGTCTATGGGCAGTGTTGAGTCTATGGACAGTGTTGAGTCTATGGGCAGTGTTGAGTCTACGGGTAGTGTTGAGTCTACGGGCAGTGTTGAGTCTACAGGCAGTGTTGAATCTACGGGCAGTGTTGAGTATACGGGCAGTGTTGAATCTACGGGCAGTGTTGAGTCAAAGGGCAGTGTTGAGTCTACGGGCAGTGTTGAGTCTATGGACAGTGTTGAGTCTACG